TGATTCAAGCTTTCAATGTAGGCGGAGAAGGACAGCCCGTTGCCATGCATCCATTGCGACACGGTATAAAAGATGCTAAATAGTTCGCCAGAGCCTGCATGACGCTGCTCTTCAACTAGACTCGGTTAGCATGGGTCCCCTTTCCGACATTCACGTTGAAGAATTTCATGGGCAAGAACTATCCAGAAGGACGCCACAGCTCAACCCAACAGCAGGCTGTATGTCTGATTATGCGTGGGTGAGCATCATAGACTATGTCATGCGTTTGTTCTTCGGTATGAATGGCCCTCGGGTAGATGATGAATAATCAAGGCGATGATCCATGCCATCTCGTAGTCCTGTTCGGGGAGTGGTGTTATTCCGGTGCTGGTCAGCATATCTTCTTTGTTGTCCGAGCTTGGCTCATGTCCTTCGTGCAAGACCTCCAATTCCTAGTATGGTTGGGATCGCAAAACATCAACCATGGACCTCCGGATTTCTGTAGCTCTCCCTGTGTTTGCAGTACGATGGGGTACTCGTTGATCTCCGCATGCGCGATTTGCCAAGGCTTGCCCTCGGTAATGGACCCGTGGGCACTTGCTTCGGATACAGCTCATGAATCACACCTTACTCCTCTTTTCCAGATGGCTTTCTTACTCGCATGAGTGTCAAGCCACATACATAACCTCGTGAGCAGTCTACGCCATCGCTCGTTGACTTCGGTGACAAATAGCCCACCATACTGTAGCTACCCCGCTGGTATGCCGTCTGCTACTAAGAGTGCGATCCCCAATTGGGCGTACCTACCCCTCTCCGTGAGTGCCAACTCTGTCATTGATGTGAGAAATTGATGCCACTCTGAACTTGCAGTCAGATGGGCGGTTTGATGCATTGGCAGCTGAGTCCCTGGCAACTCAGTGTAAGTCGCCTCATACATCAACCGAGCGCTGACAAAGAAGTTGATCACAAGAATACTTGCCGCAGCGACGTCGAGTAGTGCGAAGACTCATAGCATTACTGTGTCAAAGGTGGCCGCACCATCTACGGCCCTCGTTACATCGATCGTGGCTGTTACCAGTACATCACGTTCGAACTCTATGCCGTTATCCGAGTCACCATCGATCTCCACACCGACTTCGCATCGACAAAGTACCCATGCAACTAACACCGCGCCCTCGAGCACAATTACCTCGACGCTATCAATCTTGGAGACCATGACTGAAGCTGCAACGTCTCTCATCCCCTCCACGTCCATAGACACGGCACCACCTCCCGCGCCCTCAACGGCGATCGCGGGTGCCACCGTGCCTCGGAAGGACGCACGACAGATTGTAGCTGGAACTGTTGGGGCTCTGCTAGTTGTGTTCGTCTTAATCGCGGCCGCCAGTCGCATTGTACGGTGGAGACGGAGTAAGTGAGCTACGCTTTGTACTACGAAGCAGAAGTCTTACTGACGATCGAAATAGAGCTAAAGAGGGAGCAACATATATCTCCCCTTGAGCCATCGGACCTCCAGGGAGCGTCGGAGCCATCCGGAAAGCATAGTCGTCCTTCCAGTCATTCGCACATGGTGGAGCATGTGCCTGGACCGCAGTCGGTATATGCGTCTTCTGTCGTCGCTGTTCCTTCTACCTCTTCCGCAAGAGGTGATGGACTAGCAGAGGAGCCCGCAATGGTGCCAGCGCAGGCACCTATCACGCTATCCTCGCTCGTCAAGAGGCTGGCGCGTGAGCGCAGTGTCACAGCTGCGCATGCACCGATGAGGAGAACGAGATCGCCTGTTTTCCCAGCCATTCCGTATCAAGAGTCAGACTCGGGATGGCGGTTGCCAGCAGAAGAAGCTTCTTTTCCTCCTCCATACACCCGAAACTGAGTACTATAGTAGGAATGAGTCGCATTTTGGACGGACCGTTTCACAATGAGCGTAGTACCTCCTTTCTCAGTAGAGTGTATCTGCACGGTGATGTATCGAGGTGGCGCTGGTGAAAACCCGGCGCCAGCAGATGAAAACCGTGGCGGATTCGTTACCGTAGGGCCGCTAACGCCGGATCCACCTGTTGAAAACTCAATGATGGCGGGTAATGAAAATTCTGATAATTATCCGTGCAAATACACTCTAGTGTATGTTGAACGAATTGACCAAGCCTTGAACACTTTGGCAACTCGAGCGCCTGATAGGCGCTGGTTGGCAGCGGTGCTCGGGGTCCCCCTTCTCAGCCATCCGTTGCTACTCACGATGAGCCGACACGCTCTCTTGACGAATAGTACTCTAGCTTGGTAGCGGAACAGATGCAGAAACGGCTACCCCTAGAACTGCTTAACTATGTTTTGGACTTTCAGTAGTGTCCGGCACAAAGACGTTAGCCTTTGTCGTCATGCTCGCTTGCCTTGAATTCAAGCACAACTTCGGTCCCACGATCACGTCCTCAACTTCGACGCATCCCTTGACGCATGACCAGCACTTTCGCGCTTTGCTTGCCGTCTTAATTTCAAAGGCCTTATGTGTGGAGCTCTTGCATTGCTATGAGCCTAGGCATACGCTACACCGCCTCCTTTCTCACTTCAAGTCAATGTTCATGCCAATGTACGTTCCAGGTTACCTCGCCTCCATCCACAAACCTGTTGCTGTCATTGTCTTGTGATCTGATTCGCACTCATGTTGTCCGGGGCGCCTCGTCTCCATACAGAAGCTCGCACTACGGCTGGCAACGATTCTCCTTCCAGGTGCGTTGCGCGGGATTTCTGCCGGCACTAACTAACGGGGTTTTGCTGCTATGACGTCAGGAGCGCAAGCCTTGCTCATATATGCTGGCGTTAGCCCTGCACGGTCACAATATTGGATATGGCTATCACCGTAGAGCCTTACGGAGATTGAGGCGACGAACAGTGTGAGTACTACGCGTCTCGCTCTTGAAGGATGCATGTATCTGCAATTCATGTATTTGAGGTCTCTTTTCGCACCGGTGTGTCATCAGGCGACACCATGCGAAGGGTAGATTGTTGAAATCTTGATGGCTTGACAGCACCTGTTGTCAGCACAGGTCGGTATCCTCGGGAAGCCATGCGCCCCGCGATTTGTCCACGCTGTCGGACTGTGCTATTGCTACAAGCGGATGTTATGTGGATACAGCCCGTCTAGACACCCACGAGCTCGAGTCTCTCACCTCCGTTGTTGCGTGATATGCGGGGCATATCCTTTGTATCTCTTGCTCCCTTACTTGGGCTGGCCACCGTGATCAAAGGGCAGAGGACGAACGCGACCTGTGTGGAGCAGTATGATTGGGTACGTCTGTATTATCGTTCAAGCTCAGCGTTCTGTCTCACGGGTCTGCCGCATTTGCCGGCAGCTGGACAATTCATTGGGCCAGAGTCCATGTCTTGTTACTGCTTATATGTACACCGCTTGCCAGACATGCAATACTACCCCCGGAAACGGTGAGCACCATCGTACTCGTGTGATTCCACTTCTTACTGAGACGGTCATCCTGAAAGACTGCTTTGTTAGTGCACTGGATCCCGGTATCCCGTACACTGGTCCGCCCAATCTCGAAATTGCGATCTCAACAGGGAAATGTGAATGTAACACCGTAGTCTACTCTATGCTAGCTGCATGTGCAGTATGTCAAGGAGGAGGGATATGGGATATCGTGCCGCGAGTAGCGTTCATGTGCGGATTTCATTCGAGGCTAACTTATACTCATGCAGCTTTTCCGACTTCTCTTCTTCTTGCGTAGACGCGCAAATAGAGCTGTAACTCGATCCTGCTTTCTTTTTCTACTCGTCCTGATCGGTCCGGGTTCCCCTTTAGATACCCGTTTGCAACGCCAAGTGGAACGGCAATTCCACCATGGGCATCGCTACCCCTCGTGGTGAGTCGCGCTACAGTCTGTCTAATCCTTGCTTGCCCAACGATTTTTCGTAGAACGACACTTTTGATGCCGTGGGAGTACAGGTTTTCTTAGGGAATGATAGTGAGCTTCCCGCGAGACTACCTGCATCCAGTACTTATATACTTCCTCACAAAGTGCCAGTGAATAGAGCTACCAGCCCAAAAACTACCAAGGATGTCGCAGGAAAGGTGGCGGGCGGTGTAATCGGAGGCCTTGCGCTCTTGAGCACGATCGGGGGAGCAGTATATTATGCTGTCAAGAGAAGACGCCGTGTACCATACATTCATGGTGAGCTGACATATCTCTGCAATTGGTCAAACAGTAAACGACCACGAATTGTGTGCGCCAGGTCGCGCTGAGCGATACAACATTCTTCTCTTCCCGGGGGACTTTGCGCCGTCTTTCCGTTCCCCCCATGCCTCAACAGCCAAGATCTCGGGCGCTGCGGCCAGAACATTTGCAGATCCCCGGGTCAGCATGCTCTCCAGCGCTGAAACTATGGCCTCCTTCGGAGGATCGGCTACTGATATGCGAGAGCAACCAGCGTTGCCAGAACCCATGTTCACATCACCTCGTATCGAGAGAAAAGCGGCTCCGGGGGTGCTTCCGTTCCCTAACCCACCTCTTCCTCCATTTCCACCAGAGGCAGTCGAAGGAGTGCCATCTTCAGTGCGCCAAGCATTTGACTCAGGATGGAGGCTTGGGGACAGGCCTGCAGGCGGGGATCGTCGGACATTACCTCCGCCATACACACAGGACTAACTTTTTTCTCGTTTCGCAACGTTCCTCAGTCCTGTATGTAGCGAGGCCGGCGTATAGCATATGACATTGATCGCGTTCGAGGACACTCTCGAAGAATTTGAGTCTCTGAGGACGCCAGCAACTAGTTCAGCCACAGAGCAAACATGACCATACAGCCCTTCCCACAAAGGCGTCGATACAGTGGAAGCACTGCCTGCAATCTCCCATGCGCTTTCTCACCATGATTCATCGCGACTAGTACGTCTGCGTATCCGAGTACTCGTTGAGGTGACTCAGTACCACAGTTCCTACGAAGTATGCCTGCGCTGCAACGGATGAATATTATGTGCCACCTCGCTATGGCGCTTCGAAGTACCCGCAACATTGAACATGCCACCTGGCAACCTGTCCTTCGCAAAGCTGTGCATCCCGATATCACCGCCTCAGCGGTTCGCTCAGTACGCAATTCTTACACGGTAGGCCTGTCTTTTTTGAACGCCAGCATTCTGACTCCATTGACTGTTGCACAGCCTATGCTGACGTCCTTTGATGAGATCCGGTTGCCTCGCTCTCCAGAAGCTCACGGTCACACTGCGTCGGAGACCGGCATACTATTAGAAGGGCAGCGACCCAGTCTTGGACGTCCGTCACGACGGTCATTGTGCGAGAAGCCCAGTCTACAATATCCTTTCGTCATTCACAGAGCATTCAGGCTTCGTCCAACGTCCACTCCAATGGCACCAGTCTCCTTTCTGTCGTTCACAATCCACCACCCGATCCTCAGCCAACCTTCAGGCTCTCCTTCAGGCTATCTTCCATTTGTGGGGATTGCTGCAGTCATGTTACTGCTCATCGTGTGTTGCGGAGACAATGATGCTCCAGTAGGACCCAGGAGACGTAACATCTCAGTGAGTATCGTTTGCACTTTGGAAAGCGCATAATTTTGCTGACGTGCTAGGGGATTTTAGTATGAGTCATGGTTCGGACATGGGATGTCGACCCATGGCGCGGCAGAGGAGCACGCATCTTCATCCGGACTTGCCTTGGCGAGGGTACAAACCCCAACGTGGCCCGTCGCACCGTCTCCGACAGAGCCTCCGCCCTACTCTCGTCATGCCCCCTTCCCGTATTGATTGCATCATCGTCTAACTTATGTGTATCTATTTAAGAGCATCTCGGATGTTATGCCTACGCAGCTTTACGCGCAGCTTCAGAAGAATCTATTCACAGCTGATTGGCCGTTCCATGGCGAGATACTGTTGAACATACCATTTGACTGCAAGCCGCTGTGATGTCCAAACCAATCAGCATATATTCAGGAACTACTCGCTGGCGAGTCTGTACTTCATCCAGCGTTCAGCTTCACTGATGCGATTGATCTCTGCAGCTGCGTTGGAATCTGGCGCAATGACCGCATGAAGATCACTCCCCGCCGTCGTCTTATGTCTCATTCGCGGATCCCGAGTGGATCATCATGAACGCCGCCATGAATAAGGCAGCGCAGGACCCGAGTAACACGGTCTGCAACTGCAAACGGCTCATGTTCGCCGCAGGTTTTCCGACCCAGATCGGATTCAGTCCGACGTCTCCAACGTTCCGTTCGAGATCTTCGAGAAGGATAGCAAACCTTATATTTGGGTACGTAATTGCCGTAGGACGACGGAGAGTGGCCGAGTTTCGAGACATCTCGCAAGATCACTGAGAACACACCTCTGGTCGCCGGAAGGGGTGTCCTCCTTGATTATGACGAATATAGGAGATCGTGCAGCCTTGATCCTGGACTCAATGATCACCTCGAGTCCGCGGTGATCACCGTCCCCGCGCATTTCCACCTGTCCCAGAAGCAGGCGACTAAGGATGCGGGAACCATGGCGGGGCTGAATGTGCTCCGCGTTTTCAACGAGACGAGTGCGTGCGCGATTGGGTACAGCGTGGACTATAGAATTACTAGTGAGCGCCACATTCTTATCTTCGATTTGGGCGGAGGGTCGCTGAGCGTGTCCCTCATAACCGTCGAGGAAGGCGTCTTTTGGGTCAATTCACACGCGGGCGATGCGCACCAGGGCGGAGAGGACTTCGACGACCGTCTCGTCCAGCACTTCTCCGCCGAGTTCAAGCGCAGACACAAAGTGTATCTGTCTGGAAACCCGCGTGCCATCCGTCGTCTCCGCATTGCCTGCGAACGCGCCAAGCGGACGCTCTCCTTCGCCATGAAGACCACGGTGATGGTCGACGGCCTCTATGGCAGCATCGACTTCGAGACGTCCCTCACCCGCGGGAGCTTCGAGGAGCTCTGTGAGGATCACTTCCATCGTACGCTCGACCCTATCGACAGGGTGCTCCCCGACGCCAAGTTCAATAAGTCACAAGTGTATGAAGTCATTCTCGTCGGCGGTTCGACTCGCATCCCGCGTGTTCGCAGGCTCGTCTCGGAGTACTTCGACGGCAAGGAGCTCAACAGGTCTATGAACACTGACGAGGCGGTCACACGTGGAGCTGCCATTGAGGCCGTCATCGTCTCCGGCGACACCTCAGAGGAGACGCAGGACGTGTTGCTTCTCGACGTCATTCCCGTATCGCTAGGGGTCGAGACCGCCGGGGGGGTCATGACGCCGTTCATCAAGCGCCAGACAACGTTCCCGACGAAAAAGGCGGAGATCGTCACTACATACTTCGACAATCAACCCGGAGTGTCTATACAGGTCTACGAGGGCGAACATGCGAGGACCAAAGACAACAACCTCAGTGGGAGGCTCGTGCTCTCCGGCATAGCTCCAGCTCCCCGTGGAGTCCCTCAAATCAAGGTGCTGTTTGAAGTGGACCAGAATGGTTTCCTGGTCGTCAGAGCCACCGATATGGGGTCGGGAAAGTCGAACGAAATTTCTATCCCGAGTGACATGTGGACGTTATCAAGGGAAGAGACGGACCGTAGCGCAGCGATGAAGAATCTTGAGGCGGATGCATCCAGCCTGGAGACAACCGTAGCGGAGCTTGAGCTGCAGAACGCACTCAGCCGAGCGACCTTGCTGCTGAATGCTGACAACGACATCTCCGCCGCGGTCTATAGACGCCGCCAACAGGCGATGCAAGTGGCGGCTGAGGCGGAAATGCGAAAGCTCTCTGGTTCTGCTACCAGTCAGCAGGGAGAGCGATCAGGACGGCGCGTGAGCGACGAGAAGTAGACATACGTAGCCGGCAGCTGTCGCCGGTTTGAAAGTTTTCAGGTAGATGTGTTGGTGTAGCACTGCCAGTGGTACCTTTTGGGAACCACACGGTTGGCTACTATCTGGTCTCTATTATCAGTATATGCAGAGTTCTTGCAACCGCTACGCACTGTACAACTCATGGCCTGCGATATTCATGTTTTCTGCGCACTGGCCAGTGCATATTGGGAGCCTGAGCCCTTAGAGTTGTTGAAACTGCACAAGGGATTAGCCAGGAGTATAGGGCGATTGAGACATGGAACATGGGTCGGGTGTAACACGAACTTTGTGTTGGCGTACATTGTACAAAAGCAAAGTGATGGTGACTCGGAAAGCCCGCAGAGAATGTGACGCTTTGTTTGTGTATGGTGTGACGCGTCGCGACGCGTTTGTTTGGCTGCCTTGAATGGGCAAGCGGGCGCGCGCCTCGGCAGATGACGCCCGCGTGCCACCCGCGTCGCGCCCGCTCCGTGTCTGCCCTCCACGTCCTCTGCACCTGTATGCGTATGTCTGGATGCCCTGCTTGCCCTGCTTGCCTCTGAACACGCGCTATCATGGGAATATTTGGGCTGTTGCCTCTCCTCAAGGACATCCACAACACCAAGCATCTCTCCGAATTTCGTGGCCAGACACTCGCCGTCGACGCATATGTCTGGCTCCATAGAGGCACATACGGATGTGCGGCGGAGATCGCCACGGGGAAGAAGACGTCAAAGTGAGGTTTACGCGTCGTATTGGTGCCCTCTCTCCCTCCTTCCCTTCCGGGCTTGCTTAACATCGCCGCCCTGCCTCGTCTCACTCGCGTGTCAAAATGCCCCTTGAAGACGATCTTCACGCAGAGCTTGCCCAGGATTGGCTGCTCATGATACTCTCGTGACTGAAGCGTCGGCCGTGTGAACGTCTGCGCGGCGAGGATCTCCAGGATATACTCGGTCACGAACATCCTGGAGGTCCCGTGCGTCACCTTCACGTCTGCTAACCACAAGGGTCTGTCCTGCAGGCGGCCTTCAGACTGCTGTACAATGCAGCTGTCTGTCTACGAAGAAGCCCTCACCATTCACACGCAGCGATAGGGCTGCATGACGTCGTTGAGGTCTGCTGTGCGAGCGCACCTTGTCAAGACACGTAATGTTTCTGCCACATTCTGGGCGAACCCGCAGACCCTCTTCTGTGTTCGGCGATCGCGACGGCGATCCGCTTCTCCTCACAGCGCGGACTGATGTCTATGTCTCACTTCATATGGCTCGGACCATGTCGCGTCGCGTTGTGGGATGAAACGTGATTATGCGACTGCTTGTGTCGCAACTCGATCTTCTACGAGCGGGAGACCACGAGCAGTTCTGTTACATTCAAGTTTGCAGCATTAATGAATACGGACTGCCATGAGGGGCAAACTGGCTTCGATGGGGTGGTGATTCCGCCTGAGGTCCGAAATATGGACGAGTCGTGCGTTCGTAACGTTGAGTCATTAGGGAATGACTCCTGTGTTCCTCTACCTGTGAAGCGTCATCTTGGACGCTTCCTTAAAGCCCCGATGACGTCCACACCAGGTGCGCTCTCTCATACACTTCGACGACTTCATTGGACGACTTCTCGTCTATGTCCCGAGCTAGAAGTGCTTGCTCGTTCCTACTTCTGAACGGTAGCGTGAATATGGCTACTCACTCGGTACCGGGCCGCCTAGCCTGCGGCCCCGATGCTCCGTAGGCATTGCCAAACCTACGAGCCCGGACCGGTCGCCACAAGTCCAGATGCACGCACTCTTCGCGAAAATTTGGTTCAGTGAGCCCTGTGTATTTTCGTCGTCTCCTCCTCTTCTCTCCCCCCGACGCTGCGCACCCGTACGCAGTGTTGAATACCATCTCTCTCTCTGCCATGTGGAAGTCCCGTCTTCTGCCAATCTCTCGCAGCAATTCGCACGAATTCTCTAAATGCTCGGTGAGCCAGGCTAATCCACTGGGCACAGCGTGGCTAGCGAAGAACTTGTGTAGTGAGCGGGGATTCGTTCAGCCATTGGCATACTTGTCCCTTTTGCGCGCCAGTGCCTTGCGTTGGGACGCGGCGCCAAGGCGCCCTCGGCAGCTGTACCTTGTTGACTTTTCCGGCAGTCTTGGGTTGGTGTTGCATAGACGTAGAATCGTGTCTTGTGGTGGGTGTGCGCCCTTAACCTGCGCTCAGGCTAGCGTGTCATGCTTTCCTCATATATACGTAAAGACGCCCTTGTCCCCGCCCACCTCTTCGCTAGTTCCAAGTGTGTGGGCCTCACCTTCAATGGCGCGTGAACCTTCTCAACGTAATGTCTACCGTTTATTTCCAGCCGCCCTACATCTCAGCACAGATCGTCGGGTGAACCGTGGAGAAACACTAGTCTCCCTACCTGCCGGCCACCGTGACCGCCGCTGCACTTGCTTGAGATTTTAGATATGTTGAGTATGTGATGCACCACGTGCGGCTGCTACGCCACCAAGGCGTCGCTCCGTACCCCTTTGAAAAAGCTGACTTAAACATGGCTCACACCCATAGCGGGGTGAACGTCTCGGGCCGTCGCGACGCTTGTGTGTACATACGGGCCCCCGCAGTCTTTCGCTACATTGTTGTTTTTGACGGCTATTAGTGTCTACATCTCCACAAGTACATACGAGTGACTTCTGTGGCCCGAAACCGCCACCTGGCCGGCAATGCTTGCAATTTGTGCGCGCACAGCTCCCTGCGTGAACTCGATGATATCGTCCCAGAACCCCGAGAGCTACTTACCTTCCGATAGTACCAACAGAATGGCGGTCAAAACGCGGCAGTCAGCTGAGTTACAGCATGCACGAAATGTTGCATTGGCTTACGTCGGCAGGCTGATTACTAACATTTCCCGACAGATCCCCCTGACGCACGTGCGTGTGTTTGCTGCAAATGGTACAATGAGGAGCGAGCATAAAGATCAAACGAGAATGAGCCTTGAGCCTGATCGTTGGGAAGATGTAGCAGAGGTATGAACATGAGGAATGGTATGACGAGAACAACAACACAACAGCATACCATCTGTAGCTCAGATACTACAATACTAGTTCAGACATCAATTATAACCATCTCAAGGCCGAGCTCTGTAGTGACACGACAACTACTGGCTCGCGCATCCGCCGGCTACGGTCGCATAAGTAGTACTCGCCAAGTGAGAAGGGCGCGAAGCTGCGATCACGACGAGCCTGCATATCCCGGTGGGAAACAACGATCCGAGCCCTGTGCTGCTCAAAGGAACACACCACCGTGTCTACTCGTGATCACATCGAACATAGAGCACCGCAAGATCGCAGCAACCCTGCGCCCTAGCCTGGTCTTGCGTTTGCTGTGGCCGTCGTCGCTTCTCAGATGACGCAGCACGAGGGCACGAGGGCATCAATACATACCTTGCACCATGGTGCCCCATCTCTTGCTTCTGTTGCTTCTCGGAAACCCACGCCACAAAGCCCTCCGTAGCCAGAGCCCAAGGCCTAGGGGAACTTCCGCAGCTCAAGAAGCTGCCTCGTACAGCGGAGCGCATGAGCTATTCTCCCTTCTACACAACACGTCATGAGGGTGCTGCAGCAAGGAACGAGACCTGCCAAACTAAGCGAAACTGTCGGAGGCGAGTACCGCCGCGGTGGCCACAGCAGTGGCATCGTGGTGGACCCTGGCGTCTGCGAAGCGACGTCAAGGTTAGCACTTGCAGTCGCAAAGACACGATACGCCCACAGACGATATCGATATGGCCGAGACTCGCGGCGCTTACGCATTGGGTAGATGCCGGAGCATGCGTGATGCAACGTTGTCTAGGGAGAACGCTTATAAGCGCATGAATTTTGAGCCTAAACGGCGGCAGTCTAGTCAACAGCTCGCAACGATCGATGGTCGCTGACACCCGCCGTCTTACGCGATGTACGCGCTGCCCTGGGGATCATGACCTGGGGGATCCTGGCACACGGACATCACACGCACTCGTGTATGAAGTTCGCAAAGCGAAGCATGCATTGTCCTGACGGTCAGCAGAAGAGCATGCGTACTGAACCATTTACAAATGTAGTGCGGGAAGCAAAGGAAAGGAAGACAACGTAGTGGTGTATTCGCATGAAGGTCCGAGAACTGCGAAGACCAGCGTCTGAGTCTATTATTACCGGCATGAACGCGGGAGGAGATTGCATACCTAACAGAAGGCACTAAAGGCGACAATAAGGTAGCGACGTAGGAGAACAAGAGCTGATGGTGAGGAGAACATTCTTGCAGGATCCGGGTTATCATGTGAAGACGGGCAGGGTATCGCAAGAAGAGACCGGGTATTGAGGTTCCAGGAAGTAGCCTTAGCCCTAAGCGACGTATGAAGACCGCATGATGGGAGACGAGGGTGTCGAGAAGCGATGCGCAGCAGAGAAGGCCAGCTGACCAGGACCTTCATAGCGAGGGCTACAATGATTCCCAATTTATACAGGCGTTAGCACCTCAAATCTAGATATGCACGAGACTTACGCCGTGGGGGCTGAGTTCGGTCGAACACCGGTGAAAGGAACACAGAGCAAGGGACTTCCGTAGGGTGATATTGACTGAGGACCAAAAGCGAGCAGTCCACCTTTCGAGAGCGCAGCAAGATTATTATGGGACAAGCCTGAGCCAGGATAGACAGGAGTCACAGAAGCAAGCAGGGCATTGGGCGCCAGCCCGGCTTGAACGACGAAGGGAGTGGCATGAGGGTTGAGACCGGGCTTCCCGTCAGCATCATAGTTTTGGCTAGTATCCGCACGAAGGAATTCGACGACAATAGGAACACTGGAGTACGCTTGTCCGTGGAGCGCTTGTGCGGCTTCTGCAGCTTGAGACGGAGTAGCGTACTCCACTACAGCCGATACCAGACCATGTTCTCCAGACTCAGCAGGTATGATCTCCAACTTCTTCACGTCGCCATAAGGCCCTAGAAGGGGGTGCAAGTCAGAGAGTTGAGAGAATAGTACTGCAGGCAGGTGCTTGATCTGGAGGGAAGATGAAGGAGTGGAGAACGTGAGTGTTGGAGGACGTTCGATAGGTGGCGTAACAACGATAGACGCTTGCAGAGGGGGAAGCGCAGGAGTGAGAGCTTTGACGTCAAACGGTGCTGGAGATGGCGACGGAGAAGAGTTGGATAGAACAGTCGCGCGGTCGCCCCCGTCAAGGAAGCCTAAAAAGCATTAGTAGACTGATCTACCTTCACGGCGTTTGTTGCATACCTTCGGAACGCTGAACGACAGCCCAGGAGACATCGATGACATGACCCCTGCGACATACGTCATCAGCTGGTGACAGACTAGCTAAAGGGTTGGTTTACTTGATTTCCTTGCGATTAAAGGTGTCCATGGCTAGTTTCGCCTCGTGGTGTTGACTCATCACAACGAATCCACGCCTCCTGGATGCGTTGTCGACGGTGGCGAGAATGACGGCATGCGATACCGTCCCAAAGCGAGAAAAGATCTCAGCAAACTCAGTTCTACCCGACCGGGGTCATCAAAGAACGGCGCTTGTGATAAGAAGGATACATACTTGGTAAGGTCGAAAGGCAGCCCCAGGACGTAGAGGTTCCGACGAGTATCAGGTTGTTTTGCCGGCTTCGAGCGGGGAAGTTCCGATGAAAGGGTGACGGTAGTGACGACGCTTAGTGGACTCGATTCAAGTCGTGCATGTAGAAGGGAAGAGTGGAGTACTCACAGCGGGGTGCCGTCGACGTTGTAGCCGGACATGCAAAGCGCTTTCCTGATTAGGAGTTCATGAGATTATGAGAGGCGCATATAGTCCATGAGTACGCACTTGGCGGCGTCTTGCGAAGCAAATGTCAAGGCGTAATATCTACGACCCGCTGCGTCATAGTTTTCATCGCACTTGATGATGTCGCCTGGATGAGGAGAGAGTTAGCGATCGGCGAGAAACGACTAATAAGGCGAATACCTATAAAGTTGTTGAAGAGGTCGACAAGTTCTCTCCTTGTGACTATGGATAAAAAACGATGGATGAGGAATCTGTTGTCGCTTGAGTGTAGAGAATGCTGACCTGCGTCGGCGACATTGCTGACATGGACGGCGAAGCCATCGCGATTGAACTTGAAGAGGGGGTTGGGCGAGGGCGACATTTTTGTTGAGAGCAGCTTGTGCAACGGCTGTAGGAGGTAGTGTATATCACACACCAACGAACGAACAAGAAGCAAGAAGAGGAGCACGGAGGGGAGGGAAGGCAGAGGTTGGAAAGAAAGAGTGTCCGGCGACCGCCGACTCGTCTCCGCCCCGTTTTAGCAGGCGGTGTTTCCCACGCCACGGACGCGTTAATGGGCGCGTTCAGATCGCGTTCTGCGCGCTTGGCTTGTTCACACACCAACCACCACTCGAGCGCTTTCATAGCTCCTCGATATTCCCGTAGAGAAAATCAAGCCCTTAACTCTGTCTGACCGTGCTCAGCAACCGTACTCAACGCTCAGCACCAACACCTGACATTCGCAGAGTCCAGGTCGAGCATCCCCCGGCGGACCACCCAGCCTTCACAGCTTCCACCATTGGCCAATCGCTGACGTAGTATTCCCGCCAAAGAGTCTGGTAAGCATCTCGCCCCCTGACGTCGACGCCCGATGTCAGGAAACTCTTCACTTTTTTCGGGTGTTCTCATCGACGCTTGTCATATGCTCAGCATCTCCTCCTGCTTGTAAAAATCTCTGCTACAAATACTTGCGACAAGTATTTCCATGTCCATAACGCGGACAGGAAGCATTCTCCACATACGTCTTATCAACTGCTGCAATAAATACATACACCCATCCCACCGGAATGTCAGACAGGTCCCTCTCCTCCCTCGGCCTCCCAATTGCCACTCTATCCGCCCTCGAACGCTCTGGATACGACAGAGTCAGCGATCTATCAGACTCTACCCCAGAACAACTGTCCAGAGGTATGACTTACGTCACCCTCCCTTCTACGGCACTATTGACCATTGCTCACACTATCCTTACCTCTCGCAAACTCTCTCCGTGGACGCCCCCGGACCCTCAAAATCCGTGTTCTTGAATAGATGCGAACATACCGCTTCCAGCTTCGCAGGCCGTCTTCTCCTCGGTCTCCCGGGCTACCGCGACCCCCGCCATAGCCATGACCCAGTCCGCCGCATCTATGATGGGCGAGACCAAACTATATTCGACCTCCTGCGCCCCTCTCGACGACCTCCTCGACGGCGGCCTTAAGCGAGGACACATTCTCGAAATCAGCGGTCCTCCCGGCTGTGGCAAGGAGCAGATAGCCGCACACGCCGTCAAGAGCTTCGTCGAAGCCCACGAACATGTTCTCTTCGTCGGTACGGCATCCGCACGCTAGCTCTCCGTCCCCTACCCCTGGCCTATCTCTTCATCTCATTGTCATTGCCAACTGTTATCAGCCGAACTGACATGCCGCCGGCGCTCCTGCGGCTTGTATAGACATGCAGAACATGGTTCCTCCCGCCACCATCAAGAGAATCCTCTGCGGTTCGTCTCCGCTAACGGCATCGCACAGCCAGGCCCTAACGAAGCGCTTTGCCCCCCTTCTCGCAGGGGACGTGACGGCAGCGACTGATGCCGATGACAGCGAAAGAGGACTAGATCTCGTCCATTACCAGGCGCTGCACACGCCCGCCGAGTTCGTCGTATTCATCCGAACCCTGCCCGCGTATCTCGAAGCGCGTCCGTCCGTGCGTTCGTTCTACTTTTAGTCCTATCGCCGAGCAAATGCACCTTACTGACTCCGCGCTCTGGCTCCTCGTTCGAAACCTTACCTCCGCCCGCACCCTGCAACTTTCTGCGGTTCTCATCCGCGCACGCTGCCCTGGATCTATGCAAATCCTATCGCCCATCCCACATCACCCATGACCCATCGCGCACAACCCTGATGCCACCACTCGCTCTCCCGAACAGGTCCGCCTACTCATCCTCAACTCCTATACATTCCCCTTCCAGACCCTGGACTTCAAAGACAAACTCGCGCTCCTCGAGCGCGCGAAGCAAACGCTCGCGCGCCTGTGCGCTTCCACAAACCTTACCGTACGTAAGCCGCTTCCTCTCAGCAGCGACACCGCGCCTTCCCATCTCTTTCCAACCCCCCTGCCACGGCCTGGGCTTTTCCCCCGTCCATGCCAGCGCGCACGGGGAGGGGGAAAGACCCGATCGAATCAGAAGGCCGCACGCTCGCGCTGAAAATACCTGAGTTATGTACACGGAGGCGCTCGAGGGGCTAAATCCGGCCTTGCGGTCTAGGTCATTATCACGAGCCAGCTCGTTTCTCAGCCGCTGCAAGTGGACGAGTCGGGCGACGCGCCGAGGGGGTCCAAGTATGTCATGAAGAGAGCGTTTGGTGAGTCATGTTTCTTGGCATTGTTGCAATACCGTACGCCGTGCATCCATGCGTCGCGCTAGTCGTCGTCACCGCCGCCGACGCTTGTCGCACGCGACGTGGCGTGCAGTCCTCGGCTGCCGTATGTCGCACGCTATGTTCGCATCGTGTCGCTCGCGAGAAGACACGTCCGTAGCGCCCCGCGACGTCGTGGGTATGTCGCGCAGCGAGTCTCATATGTCCATATATGCTACGTCGTTCGTGGCATCGAGCGATAAGGACATCAGATATCGTATGTATCGCGACAACACGGCGTTGTATGTCGCGCGCCGTGTGCCGTGTGTGTCGTGCGTCGCGCCCTCTTCCTGACATATGGCTGACCCTTGGCATGGGAACCGCCCCCCTTCCTGGTCCAGACGACAAGTACTACCCCTCGGGAAGGACTTTCCGAGTGCTCGTCGTGCCACAGCGCCCCCCGGAGAAGAGCGAGCGCGAGACCGGGTGAGTGCGAGGAAAGACGTTCTGGTTCAATGCAGGACAGCATTGACACAACACGGCATGGCTTCGGTCGCTCGCGACACACAGGGTCATCCGTCTCCTTTCCACCCCAGCAACGACCAACGTGCCACCTGCGGGCGTCCGGGAGGCCAAGTACAGGCTTGTGAGTACCAGCGGTCGCTTAGCGACATCCATTCATCCACCGTGCTTCGCTACTGACCACCGTGCGCTACAGCTCGGGGGGGCGATCCAGGGAATGTGACGAGACTCACGAACACAACCCTCGACTTCCAGGCCAGCCGCGGCAGCAAGTATGCTCGCCAATGCCCGGTTGCGCAGCCGCACACACACACGCGCGTTCCGTCTTTGTGTGCCCGCTCTCTCCTCACAAGCCATCCTTCACCGTGACACATCCCCCACCGGCTTCACTCCTTCCCCCCTACCTACCTTCACACCAGCGCACCCCTGCCCACCTCACACGCCCCAGGTTGTCCATACACTACTTCGCACTCCGCCAGTGCTTCGCGCACGCCACCATCGATGCCGCGGCCAGCAGCAGCACCACCTACCGCCCGCTGTAGACCAAACCTTGCAGCAGTGGCTCTCTCTCGCGGACAATCCTCGGTACGCAAACGCCCCTGCTCGCTTCCTGGCTTCTTGGTAGCGTGGCCGACCACAGCGAGGCAGGGAAATCGTGCTGCGATCGGGGGGTGCTTGCCGCCAGGCCTTCGTGTTCCCTCCGTTCACCCTCCCTGCATGCCATTTTCAGCTGCTAGTCGCTCAGGGTCGCAGGTCACAGAGGGCACAACGCGGCGCTAAGGTGTTTGTACGATAAGTGAGTAGTGCTGCTAAGGGGGCATGCTGCGGAATGGACGACGAGGCGCTACAACACTGTACTCGTACATATACGCGTACACGCAGCGCAGGACGCGCGAGATCATGACCGCACGATCCCATCTGGGCCTACTATCGCGTCCACTTTCCAGTCCGTCTCGCCGACTGGCACCTGCCCAGCCTCGAGAATCTGCTCGCGGAATGCGACTGCGACTGCGCGGCCCGCACACGTCGTCGGTATGATCGAAAGATAGGGAGGGGACGGTTAACCATACGCGGCAGGTGAGGGTTGGAAGTGTGTCCGAGTGAGTAGGAGAACATATTTAGCTCGATGCGCCAGAATAGAAGGGAAGTGAGGGACAAAAACGGACGATTCGACAGGGAGGAAACGAGACCGGCACTCACCTAGCTTCGGACGCAGTTGCTGCCTCGCGCGCAACGTCGCGGCGTACGACGCGAGGAAGCGGTCGTAGTAGCCTTTGCCGTACCCCAGGCGCGATAGCGATCGATCGAACGCAATTCCTGTCAACCGGTCGAGGACGACGCTGGTCAGCATGACAGACAAACAGCCAATGCAAAGTCAACGAGCCGAGGTGTGTACAGTCAAAAATCAGGATCATAGAGCAGAGCTGGTGAGCGCATCAGCTCGTGTACATTGCGTCATACGGCCAAAGGCCTCGATGATACGACTGGCCTGTGTGCGCGGGTAGCGAGACAGCAGAACTTTGTAGACTGAATGTAGCCGGCGGGCACGGGCCAGGGTGCGAGATGCACGATGCACGATGCGCGAGGCGAGATTCGAATCGACACGCGAGCTGAGATGGTGTGCCGGCGTCTGGTACGTGCCCCATACCATATACGGCGAGGGCCCTGCAAGATCGCGAGCGAGATCCCATGGGAAGATCGACAAGAGACAGGCGTGGGGGCGGGGGAAGGCCTGCACACCCCTACTAGCATTGATGCAGGGTGAATGACACACCGCGACGTGCCGTAGGCGAGTGAAGGGAGGACGATGGAACGTCTACGAAAGCCTGACGGGAGAAGGCACGCACCTGGCATCACGATCAAGTCGAGCGGTTCTGCGCCCCCAGTAGACGCTGCAGGCGCAGACCCGAGAGCCGGATGGCGAGTGTCGGCAGGATTGCGTGAATACGGACACGGGCGCGGAATCCGGAGACCGGAGGGGGGTCAGCGAGTGTTCCGGTCGGAGAGCTCGGGGAGCAGGATCAACGGCCTCACCAGTAGGTCTTTGTCTGCCGTTGTACGCATCATCGGGCTCCCTGATGCCCCAGAGGCCGCGGGGCAACGCGCGGAGATCGCCTTCGTCGAATATTTGATAGAATTCCATGATGCCCTGGGCTTTATCGGTCGTCTTGGGCACAAATAGGTTTTTTCCTGTTCGAGAAAGTGAGCGAGGTTTCGTTAGTCAGGAGTGATGAGGTGGACAGATGAAGCGCACTATCTCAGTGATTCATGATGGACGATAGATGACGACTAGCGGACGAAGGGGAGTCCAAGAAGAGGCGAGAAGTTACAGGAACAAAGAGGAAAGGGGGGTCGAGCCCCAAAGATGCAAAACGCGAGGTACAGCCTGACGCGACTGTATCCGAAGCGCAGTAGACCATAGCGCACTCGTCAACATTACTCAAACATGCCGTAAACGCACCTGTGCTCAGGATAGTGGAAACCACAGCCGACGTATCTACTTCCCCCGAGGGCATGCTGAGAAAGCAGGAAACATTCCTACTCTGTTGGAACTCGGGAAGTGCAAGGAGAGTGTTCGTAATCGCCCGCGCTGTGAGATTCCAGGCATGAGCAAGATAGGCAATGAGAGATTTGCAAGAAGAGCTGATGTCGTGGATGGAAAGGGCATAGAGGAGGCACATCGTATAGACCCTCGCGGCAGGATCGAAGCCCGGTCGACTGTGGCGGTCTACCCGGAGAAACCATGGAGAACGGAAGCAAATTTGCCAGCTGCGCACAGGCGATTTGAGATAATCAATGAGTATTCACATTGTGCCTGTATCTCATCGTTTGATAGGTTCGCGAGAAGTACGCGCATACTCTTGCGTAAAGCGGTCTTCTGCTGCCGGAGTGTGGTGGACGCTGCTGCGGCCATGCTTCTAGAGAGACATGTCAGCCAATAAGTCTGTGCAGCTGTAAAAGGCAGCGACAATGAACTAGTGAAGGATTCGACAGATAGCCCCAAAAAGTCTCAACTCTGAACCAGATGATAAGATGTGGTCATGCTGAAGTTCTAGGTTCTCCCGATCTGACACTGGCATTGCAATTTTGAAAGCCAGCTTCCGACGCACCGAGAAAAAATTCCAATTGCACATGTTTTTCGAGGATACATTGCAAGTGAAGTAGAGGAGCGCTGAGTGGTTATTCCTCCATTCTCGCGCACGTGTGGCTAAACCATACCCATACCTGGCCTCGGTCTGCGATCCGATCCGAACATCCAAGCCAAGGTCATTTACTCAGATATGACTCATTATTCGGTAGCCGTGTGATTGTTTACTCGGCTCCATTCAATCAGGTGCATTCAAATGGCTCTTCTAAGCAAGAAAGAAGGGCTTATTACTCACCTGAACGCAAACGAGGACCGCAGATCGTGGAGGTCGCGAACAAACCGATGGGCTCCACTATGTCACGGCTGAATTGTCAATCAGGCGGGAACGTCACAAGTCACCCCTTCGGCGTCTATTGCGTCGTTTGCACTTGAGGCCAGGCGCCACAGCACTCGTGAAGCTTACGTACAAGCCCTGGCCAGGACGCATCCACGCACACGCGTCAGTAGCACTCGAGCACAAGGTCTCGTCCAAGGAGTGCCCCCTTTCTCTCGGCTCGGACCATCAAAGAAGAGGAAGGCACGCATTGCAGGTATCAGGCAGCCTCAGATTCACGCCAGCACCCGGGCCTCCCATTGGCCTCCCACCACCCGCAGGCCCTTGGAGACCAACCGACGGATTCCACCATCGGAGTGAGTTTAGCCTTTTTATCCACTCTACGGGGCCCTCGCTTCCCCAATCGCACAAGGTGGCTTTGGCCTATAGCCTCCGTAGATAGGCGGAAGCTGAATCCCATGCCATCTCTGCGAGCTCTCCCACCGCCCAGCGCGAGGCCATCTGAGCTTCCCTCCGCCGTGGTGCCACTCTTGCTGCCACAGGCATAGCGTGCTCGCAACAGCTGATGACCGATCGCGCTCAACTTTGCTATCTCTAGCTTGGCTCTCTCTTCCACCACCGCGCCCTCACGCACCGGGTTCCGCTCGATGTGCCCCGGGTCTTCCGAGCGGCCTGACAAACCCGCCGCTGCGGACCCCGTCGTAATGTCGGAGACGGATGCGGACCTATCCACGTCCTCTGCCAACGGCTGCAATCCGGACTCGAAGCTGCAGACTCTGTCCAGCACGCCCTCGGAGATGGCCTCGGATTCGGACATGGATTCAGGATCGGAGCTAGTCTACTACCGCCACGGCCACGGCCACAGTGCGCAGACACGGGAGGACGAGCCCACGTCGCCGACCTCGCCTCTCGCGCCGTATCCGCCGCTAGCCCCGACGGAATCCCGTAGCCGCGCTCCCGAGTTCTACGGCTTCGTCGCCTGGACGTCGACCTACCTGCTCTTCGTCCTGTATCTCCTATGGGCCTTCCTTCCGGACGAGACCATCGTCGCATTAGGTGTGGCCTGGTACCCGAACCGGTGCGTGGGCACACCAGTCCAGTGGAAGCGCAGCCCGTCCTCACGCTCACGCACGACCGTTAATCTCCGTTCCGGCACGTCATATGTGGACGCGCCCGATCGCATATGTGCGCGTCCGTCATGATCATGCACGAACGATACGCGTATGCCTCTGTGCGCACCACCCCCTGTGGGGTTTGGTCACATTGGGATCGCCTCGTCGATCGCCTCTCGGTGTGCACGCGAACGTCGGACGTCGCAACGCTCCACCACCGCAAACCAAACCGACACTGGCACTCGACATTGCAAATTGGCTCGCCCGGCCTTGCGCGGCGCAGAGAATGGTCGCTGCTGATCCCGGCATACGGGATGGTGCTCGTGCTCCTGACGTACTTCACGTACTTCGCCCTGGCACTTGCCGGCACGCCGTCCTTCGCTGATATGCGCACGATAACGGGTGAGCCACTATCTGTCCGTCATCTCACCTTGCCTTGCTCTGTCAGTTTGCGCCTCGCCTTCCTGCACTTTGCCGTGGCAGTCGGGCCCAGGCATCTGACCCGTCTTCCTCGTCTCTGCTGCCGAGGCTTTCCGAGCCTCCGGAAGGGGGGAAGCACAGACTCCGTGCAGAAGAATGCTGATGCTGACTTGCTCTCTCCGTCTTCTCCTTCGATTCGACGAACCGTCGCTTCTGCCTCCGCGCCACGCACCACAAACTGCACGCCCAGATTCCAAGGCGCATTTTCCAGCACGCCCCAGCGCCGACGATACCGACGACACCGACACACACGCTAGTCATAATGACGAGACAGACGCGATCCCCCGCCTCGGTTCGTCCGATCCTGCTTCCCATTTGCGCCACACCCAATCTCCATCGCATTCGCCACAAAACCCTAAACGCAGGGGCGGCTCGGCTCAGCCGAACCCGTATCTCGCACACGCCCAGCCTGGCGCGATTCCGGAGCTGTACGACATCCCCCTGGGGCTCGTGAACCGGGTCGTGTACGGGCGCCGTCCAGCGGTAGCAGCAGCAGCCTGCAGCCCACCGTAGCACCGTACCCACTCCCGCTGCTGCTGCTGCTGCTGCCTGCGGTGGCTCTGGCAGATGACCGGCCCCGTGGGCGTGCGCACGGACGCCCCCAGCCCACGGCTGAGGATAGACAGGTGGGGGGCGAGCCTAGGGAAAGGCAAACGGACAGGGATAAGGATGCTGGATGGCAGGGGGCGATAACGAGCGGCTGCTGCCCGGGGACGGGCGTGGTCGCGGTCGTGGGTCGTGGCTTCCACAGCTGTACGATAGGGTTTGATATTGGGTATGACGCGCCCACGAGGCCGGAAGGATTCCTCCCTTTTCTGCCCTCCAGCGTCTTGCACGCCCGCCGGGCGAGCTTCGCGCTGACTTTGGACGGTTTCTGCCCCGATTTCCCGGGCGTCGGCCGGCCGGCCACCGTGACGGCGCGCCGCGGATACTCTCCGCTGAGGGTTCTGTCTCTGGTTCTGGTTTCGTAGCGCGTATAGGCTAATCTGGCCTGGCTCCCACATCAATCGCTATATCCATATGCACGCGCGTCCGCCTTCGCCAGTGGCCTTTTTAGCGGAAAAGGCGGTGGGAAGCGCACCTGGCTCTAGGCAGCTGCACTGCCCCGCTTCCGCTCAAGGCCTGAGCAGCAGCACCTCGTGAAAAGAAAACTCTCCACGCACACACGCCCGTCCCGCGGAGGCCGGTCGCGTAAGGAGTATGTACATGCCTTCGGACGCAGATGAGTACGAGATTATCGGTGGGTGTGTTCCATGGAAGCCCGAGCCCCACCGTCGCTGGGCCTGCGAACCCGCGAGCGCGAGGAAACGTGATCGCTGCAGGCGAGTACTAGCATCGTCGACCCGAGGGCGCGGATACGGAACGCAGAAGGCAGAAGGCAGACAGGGAGAAGCGCTCCCGTCATGGGGAGCTCGCTCCAGCGCACATAGCTCGCGACTCAGTACCCAGGGCGAGCACGCCGTTCTGGATGGATTCGCACTCGGGTGAAGGCGGACGGTCGGAGAGCCGGGAGGGCATGGCGAGCCCAGAAGCCACTCGGACGACGGCAAGGCACTCCAGGTTGACAGAGCGATGGGGGGGGGGATGGAGGCTATCGAAACAATGATGTGATTAGGGTTCCTCTACAGATACGGATGCGGATACGATACGGTAGGATCCCTCGCATGGCGCGAGCGGGCACGGGCGGCAATGTGGCTATTGGTACAGCGTTGTGGATGATGTTGTATATTCGAGCTACACGGGGTACGGTACGACTTCTACATACGACGACTGCCATTCGCCCGGAGATCATTGGAGAGAGGGATGCAGACGCAGACGCACCGGCACCAGCACCAGGCATATGCGAGCTGTATCGATGGCGAGGGTGCAGAGAAACACATGCCCAGGGCGCGAGCCTTCTTCTTCGCAGCAACGCAAGCTCGCGCCGCGTCACGCAAGCCGTGCACGGGCTGGCAGCTGGTGGCAGGTCAGGAGTGTGGCTCGCGCTCTGGGCCTCGTCGAATCCGTCTGCGGAGGGTGGATCCAACGGCTCGACGGGCGGAATGCGAACTGGAATGAATGCAGCGCACGCCGGCGGGCTTATCCCCGGTGCGATCGATGGCGAACGTGCTGTGGGATTGCTCGATCGGGCAGGAACGTTGGACGCGGACGCACGACAGGTGGTTGGTATCAGGTATCGCGGGCACGCGTGGCGTGTGGCGTGCGACGGGCCAGGGAAAGCAGGAGCAAGGCAAGAGAGATGGAGAGCGGCGGCTAGATGAGACTAGTGGAAAGCAATATAGGGCAGCATGAATGACGAGCGCAAACGGATAGATGAGGAGCAGATGCAGGGACGGGGCCAGATGGGTGGGGAAGGCGATCGGAACGAGAAGCAGGCCGTGCGGGGAGAACGACTGGGCTTTCGAGGCGTCCCCGCACTCGAGCTCCCACTCCCACTCGCCGCCGCCCACGACACTCAGAAGCTCGTCGGAGACGCGATGGCGGGGCCGGGCAGCGAGCGCCACTGCAGATCGCGCCATCGTCAGCCAGGGTCCGCGTTACGGCACGGTACGAGAGCGCAGCGGCTTACCTGGCTCGAGATGTACGGCGCGCTCTCCGTCTGCTCGTACGAATTCCGCTCTTCGTACTGGTCCTCCGGGTTCCACGTCGGGCTCGACGGCGTCACCGGCGGGAGCGGCACCGGCAGCAGCGGGCACGACGGCTGGAAGTACTCGTCCTCCGAGTCCGACGTGGGGTCGCCCGCCGAGCCGGGGCGCAGGAAGTCGACGTTCGTGCGCGTCGAGAGCGAGGGCGGCACCCAGCGCAGCTTCGAGGGCAGCCTGCCCGCCTCGTGCACCTCGGACACGAGCGGGGTGTCGAACCCGACGGTGAACTGCGAGGGAGAGGTGTTGGTGTGGTCTGAGGTCGGGAAGATGCCGTGGGTGCGCAGGTGCCGCTTCGCGTTCGAGCGGACAGCGAACGACTTTGTGCAAGTGGGTATCGGGCATTTGAACGCTAGCGAGAACATTCCGCGGCAGATTAGCACGGGAGGACGCGTAGAGAGCACCACAGGGAGGACGTACGTTTCGCCCCAGAGTGCGAGTTCATGTGCGTCGCCAGGCCGCTCGGTCTAGGGAATAACTTAAAGCATACTGTACATTGGTGCATCTTCGACTTCTTGTGCGGCGGCCGCGACCGCTCGCCGTGCGGCGCGCCCTCCGCCGACGACGACACAGGCGGGTGCTCCCCGCCGTCCGCCCCCGTCGGCTCCGGACTCCGCGCCTGGTTGCGCCCAGCGCCCGCGAGCTCGTCGAGGCCGACCGAGGCGGCCGACGCGCCGTACGCCGCGCCGTCCGCGGAGCGTGACCACTCCCTGCTCGCGAGCTCGAAGTCGCGCTCCTCGTTCGACGGCGTGCGGTGGTACGGCAGGCGGTGCACCTCGGACGCGGCGCTCGGCAGGCTGCTCTCCGAGTCGTCGTCGTAGTCCTCACCGTCGAAGACGAGCCCAGGCACGGACGACGGGCTGATCGGGTCCGGCACCGACACGGAGTCCATCGAGTCCCTGCGCATGGGGCTCGGGTATGGCGCGGACCGCGGCGAGCGCATGTCCATCAGCGCGCTCGAGTCGTTGACCAGGTGCGGGTGCGAGTGCGAGTGCGAGTGCAGGTGCGGATGCGAGTGCGCGTGCGAATTTGAGTGGGAGTAGGGGGAGGTGGGCGACGCGAGCCCTGCGAAGGACGGCGGGTACGATGCCGAGGCGCCTGCGTTGACGTACCGTGCGGGCGTCCCGGTGCCATACATGTCGACGCGCGCGCCGTCGATGAACTGACCTGCCGTCGCGAGGCCAAAGCTTCCCCGCCGCTCTGCGGGCGGCATGGGTGGGGCGCTGCGGTAAGAGCCGGGGCCGCGCGCGAGGGTGTGGGAGTCGAGCGCGCTCTGCAGCTCTTCCGCGGGCGTCGCGGCCGCGGGGGAGAACGCGGCGGGGGCGTGCGACGGGTAGGCGACGGCGCCGGAGAAGGAGACGTTGTAGAGGCTGGCGTACGCGCTCGCGTCCTGGAGGAGTGGGGTGCGCTGAGAGGATTCGGGGTAACCTACCAGCTGGGAGTCGGGGCCTCCTGCGCCCGAGTAGAAATTAGGATGCGCGCCCTGGGCGCGCTCGGGACTGAGTGCGCCCGTGCCGGTCTGGTGGTGTTGATGGGTTGTGTAGTTGGTCTGTACATTGAGCATCCACGGCTGCTGGCGGGACTGGAAGGGAGGATGGGGGATGGAGGTGGAGAGAGGCTCCAGGCCGGGCTGGGGATGCGAGAGATAGTAGGGGGCGGAGGGGTGCTGCTGCTGGAATCTATGGAGGGTATTTTGGTCGTGCAGGGAGTCGAGGTGCGAGTGTGTGGCCGACATTGGAGAGGGTGATCTGAGGAGGGTATCAGAGTGCCAAGCGCCGGGCATGGGCTGATGCGCGGTGCGGTCGGGCTGAGGCGGGCTTGGGCGGCGCAGAGAGGCGAAGAGCCGTAGCTGGAGAGCAGATGATTGTCGGCGGAGGAACGCAGCTGTGGCTGAGGATGTGCGGGGAGGTGGGTGGTTGTGTTGCGGGGGAGGAGGATGTTATATGGGAGAAGGGGTTAGACTCTGAAACGGAGAAGTGACATCTCTGGGGACACCGACAAGTGGACATGGCCAGCTGCAAACGCGCAAGTCATAAAGAGATCGCATTGGGTGATACAGACACGAGACAGCCGTCCGTGCCTGTTCGTCCAACCGCTCATGAGCCGGGTCCGTCCGGCCAGAAATCAGCATCGATACTCGTGAGACTTGCCAGTACTCGTGAGATTCTCCTTGGTCGTTGCAACTGCCAGCGAGCCCAGTCCAAAATACCTCCCAATCCCAGATCCGACACGCCTCCCACCGCTCTCTGGCCACCAAACTGCCATACCCGTCCATCGGCCCAAATCGCACATGACAAGATGCGATTCCGCACCAGAATCCTCTTCTTTGTCTCCAGATCCGCTCGCAACGGGCGCTCGCCTTCATAATGTTCCTTCTTCGGCTGCACGCGGCGCCTCCACTGCGTCCTCCCTGCCACAGCTGCCGCTGTCTCCTGCTCGCGCCGCAGGCGGCGTGGACCAGACTGGAGCGAGCATGAGCTTCACACGAGAACCGGAAGGGGCGCCATCAACAACCGTCAACAAAGCTCGCCGCGGACAGCAGCGCGACGTGGGCCGTACCGCATTGTCACAACATCGCACCCGACCGCTGCCACGCCTGCCAATCCCGGCCACACTTTGCGCGCGCCTGTTTTCTCCCGAGCGAAGCTACGTTGATACGTCGCTATCTCCCTGGCCTAGATCCCCTCGGCCAAACTTCACGTACATTGCTTCCTGGGCCACGACCCAGGGTCCGAATCTTGTCCGGCCACATTTTTTCATTGGCAGTTCCTCGCATTAATCTGTCGCACACATTGTCAGCGCCAAGTCCTGATATTGGCATCAGCTTCAGCCTCCTGTCGTGTCCGCCATGCTCGGATTCGCATTATTAGGACGGGTCTCGCCCTGGCGCTGGGGCCCGCAAATCTGTTGTGCAGATAGCGCTGTAGTGCTCCCCGTACGGGGGAGGCCCACACCTCTGGAGACTTTCTTGGTCGCGTCTGGAGCCAGCGCGCGCCCCCGTTTGCGCTGCGTTCGAAGGTGAAAACTCGATCAGAAGATGCTATATCGATATGCAAGGAAAGCCATAAACAACGAAAGCACGACGCGATCGCACCCAGCGCCAAACTCATCTTGCCTACCGTCCGTCCCCACGCACGTCTCGCCCCTGCATTATGCGTACGCTCGACGATGATATCCTTGTACCCGTGTCCGTGTCCTTCCCGTCCGATCCTTTGGCTTGCGTCCCTGCCATACAGAGCATCCTCGTTATCATTCGCGCCTTCTTTAATCGAGCCCAGCAGATCTTCATCGGCATGCAGGCGTCCACCTGGCGAGTAAGAATGAGGTCACCCTGCGCACTAACACGCGCCCTGCAGCAGACGCAGCGGCACCAGCAGCACAGATCTCGCTCGATCTCACGCACCTGAACTGCTCCAGCCTGTTCCTTGTGTTTACCGTATGTCCCCCGCCCCCGGTCACGGTGCTCGTACTGACTCCGGGATTGTCGCTGTTCCCAGCACCTGCCCCGGCCCGCGCGCGAGACCCGTGAGCGAGTGCCTTGGCGCCAGCAGCGGGTTTGGGAGCCGTCCTGACGTCTTCAGCAGAGGCGACCGCCAGTGTCTTTCTTCGCGTCGTCCGTAGATCTTCCACCTGCTCGAACCCTTTCCGTTTCGAGGCCTGCGGGGCAGAATGCGCACCCTTCTCCATTGCCAATCTGCTCAGCGGGCGCTGTCGGCCGTCCGGGGTCATCGTGGTCTCTCGCCGCCGTAATCCGAGAGGAGCTGGAGTGCGAGCCGCAGTTGGAGCGCATTGCTGCAAGTGGCAAACGAACACGGCGACGGACAGGGGGTGTCGGTGCACACACACATAGTTGCGGTGACCGAGGGAAGGCGACCACACAACGTCCCAGAAAGGCAGTCCCACATTAATGAGCCAATTACCGCGCGAGGAGAATGTTCGGTAATGAAAGACGTACTTGATCGCTGCCTGCAGATGCTGCTGCATTCGCACTCCGGCCACTCGCACTGGGCCCATTGCGCGCCCATCTCTCCCACCAGCCGTGCGCAACCTTTGCGTTCTGTGCGGCATGCGAAGCGCCGCCGCCGTGACTGTGGTCATCATCGAGTTCTTCCGAGCTACTCTCGTCCAACAGAACCGCAATCCTCTCGCCTTCGCACCCATTATTGTCGTCATCTGTGGCCGGCGTAACTGTCCCAGGGGTGGAAGAAGCTGTCGAGAACATTACGTCCTCCTCGACAAAAACGTCAACGCCTGCGTCTTCTAATACGCAGTCCTCTCCCCCGCTCGTTATCTCGTCCCAGTCCTGGATGTCATCGTAGTCGTCGAAGACTTTCCGCAAGTCAGGTCCGTCCCGGGCCGCAGGACCCTCCTTGTCAATGTCTCCGAGGGTTTTCCGGCGGGTTCGAGAACGTGGGCGTGCGCGTTTGCGTTGGCTAAAGCTTGTATTCAGCACAGGCCTCAGCGGCAACGCGCGCGTGACCACCCGCTCGACGACCACAGGCGGGCGTTTGCGTGCGCGTGCGACTGGCGAGCTCGAGAGAACGTCCGCGTCGAATGGATCCTCTTCGTCCCAATCGTTGTCGCCTTCGCCTTCGTCCCGCCGTCTCCCGCCGGCGCCAGGGCGCACAGGAGACGAGATGTCCGGCGAATCCCACTGCGCCATGGACTCCGTGGGCGACTTGTACCCGTCCTCCTGCGTGATCACGTCCGCGCCGTCCATCTCCACGTCTTCATCCACGTCCGTATACACGACTTCGTCAACATCCGGTCGTACGTTCTCCTTCCCCTTTTCACGCGGCGATAGTCCTGACGAGGATCCTGCCACAGGCTGCCGGCTGTCGTGGTCGTGGCCGCGGCCGTGACCACGACGAGCATGGGATGGGGTGCCAGCCACAGCTCGGCTCCACCCTCTATCGCCTCGAGGGTCTGAAACCGATCGCTGAGCAGCGTGAAAGAATTTGGATGTGGTCGGCATGCGAGGCGTCGCAATATCGGCACCACCACCAGGAGAGGCATCAGCACCCTGCCCTCGCTCGCTCACTGCCACCTCCTGCCTCTTCCGCTTGGCGGCAAGCTCGTCATCCATGACCCCAGCGAGGGTCCGCTTCCCGCTCCTCTTCCCCACCACCATGGTCTGCACCGCGGCCCCGCCCGCACCCGCAGGCCGCGCAGAGGAGCCTGAGCCTAATTGTCGCGAGCTTGCCCCTGCCGCTCCGAATCCTGCACCCGAACCCGGCACCGGACTGGACACGACGCCATCTCTGCCCGAGCGCGCTTCTCGCACCTGAGGGGCTACGGAGGCAGTATGCCACACACGTAAATGTGCACGAGAAGCAGGGAAGGAAGGTGAGGCGCACGGGCCACAGATCGAAGTTCGTTGTCAGCCATCTGCAATCTGAATGGAGCAAGCAGCGACGAGCCGAGTGCGGACTTACAGAAGAACTTCAGCAGGCCAACGTTGATAGATCTCTCCGGCGGCGGCTCTTTAGCCCTGCCTTTGCCCTTATTGGGTCCGGCCACAGGCGTCGCCACACTCGAGTCCGCTGAAGCATGACTTCGTGGTGTGTTCGTCGGGATCGGCTTGAGTGCGCGCGGCACGTAGCCTGGGTTGATGTCTTCCATGGGCAGGAGGCTGATAGGGCAGGCATCGCCCTCTGCGACACGCTTCGCGAGCGATGGCTCGATATCCCTATTTCGGCGAGCGCGGTGCAATCGAGCGTTGGGCCATCGCCGAACCGTCACGTCCCCGCACGTACATCGCACATCATTGTATGCGATCAGGTCCGTTCGTCGTGGCCGTGGTCATGGTCACGGTCGTGGTGCGCGTGTCCAGTCGGAGTAGCGGAGAAAAGCAAAGAAAGCAATCAAGCAAACCATCAGCTCTCATCCTGGCCCGAGATACGATACGAAGAACACAGAAACATGCGCGACACGCACGACACTCACGCTCCGACATACGCCTCGTCTTCCTCGCCCCACCGGCAGCTCTGCACCTCGTCCTCGGGGAGCGGAGTCAGGTAGACCAAGCACTCCTGCGCAGGGTCGTACACGCGCTGGTGCATGAACACCCTCTCCGCGCGGCGAAACGCGTCCAAGTAGCCTTTGGGCACCTTCTTCTTGCCCTCGAGGCGCAGCGCATCCACCATGTTCTCCACCGTCCTGTGTTTCCGCAGGAGCGCCCACGCCGTCTTCAGCCCGATCCCCGGGATGCTCGGGAGGTAGTCGCACCCGCTTAGGATCGCCATCGTGCGAAATTGCGCGTCGGACCACCCGAGAAGCGACAGCCCGCTCCCGCCCCCGTCCGCGGACGCGACGGCGGCAAAGTCAGCGCGCGAAATGTGCGTCACGGTCGCCGCGGCGGGGTCGAGCTTGAAGAGCACGTTCTTGCAGCCAAAGACGAGCAGGTCCGAGTCCTCTGTCATGATCCCGTCCACGAGGCCGATCCGCTCGAGGTACGCCAGCTGCGCGTCGGCTTCGTACGGCGCCACGACGTAGGGCACGCCCTCCACGCGCAGAGCCTGTCGTCCGCAGTCGCATTCGCATTGCGCATTCGTTCATTCATCCACCGAGGTGAAACGCAATACGGTAGGTAGCCCAAGAAAAGCAAGTCGTCAGTCGCTCGCACCAAACAGGCTACTCCATATTCCAGCTGATAGCCAGCCAGACGAGATTCTCACCTTGATGAGCTGATACGCCATCTGCGGCGTCACGTCCACGCACTTGACATAACACTCCCTGGCGCGTGCGTGCTCGCCCTGCGCCGCAAGCGCGTTCGCACGCGCGAGGGCCTCCGCGCGGCGCGCGCGGCGCTCCGCCTCCGTGCCCTTCTTCGCGGGCAGTGGCCCCCCGTCGAAGACGAGGAACGGCGCGATGCCGTGGTGGCGCAACAGCCGCACGCGATGCATCGCGTACTCGACGTATCTAGAAGCGTGCGCGGGGGAGGATGGGTCAGCGAAGGGTGCGCTTCTCCAGACACAAACGGTCGCAAACAAGAAAATGAAAAGGAAAAGGAAAGGGGAGAGTCCGAGTGGCAGGTAGGGAGACAGGTGTGTGTTTCTCCGCGATTCGCCCGAACAATGTGGACTGGACGGTTGAGTGCGGCTTAGGGCGGCTGGAAATAAACAATAGACGTTGCGTCGGAACGTTCGCGCGGACGAAGCCGCAGGCTTGGAGCTCGCAAAAAGAAGATCTGCTCTCGCGCTCGCGCACACGTGCCTGTGTGTGTGAAGTGCGGGAGAAGACAGAAAGGGGGGGAGCGTCTTTACGTGTAAATGAGGAGAGTATGACACACCACCTCAGGCTGAGAGCGTATGTGCACACACCACAAGATACGATTCTACGCCTGTGGGCCACCAGACCGCGGCTGCCGCAAAAGTCAACCAGGTACAGCTGCCGAGGGTGCCTCGCCTCGCTTTACGTTGCCCCCTTGACGCAGGGAATAGAAGGCATGCCGTAGCTGAATAAAGCCCCGGCCACCATGCAATGTTTGGTTAGCCACGCTATATGCTCCATGGGAACAGCAGGCGGGCCTCAGACTGTCTAGAAAATCCCCGCGAGTCGCTGCTACAATCGCAGAGAAGTAAATTGGCAGAAGTCCTGGGCTCCACGCGGCCTAGACGGCTCGAGAGCGCAGAGAGACATCGTATAGACTTGTAACGAACGAACCGAAACAAAATTTTCTCGAAGTGCATGCACAGTAGCCTGCTGCACCTGTGGGCGACCGGGCCGAGCTCGTATAATTTCGCAAATCTGAATCCTATAGTCATGCCTACGGAGGGTCGGGGCCGCAGGCACCACAGAGGGAGTCCGGCCCGGTCCCACACAGGTATATCGACGCTCGCCGAACAATGCAGGTGTAGGAAGGAGCGAGCACTTCTGGCTCGTAACATAAGACGAGAAGGCATGAAATGAAACCCTCGAATTTTCCGCCAGAGCGCGCCTGGTTTGAACATCATCGTGGCTTCACGGAAGCCTCTTAGATGACGTTCACTAGGAGGATAGGAAATACAGAAGTTGTGCCATGATGACTCAACGTTACGAATGCACGGCTCTTTCAAGCTTCGGACCCCGAACGGAATGACCACCCCATCGAAGCCAGCTTGCCCCTAATGGGAGTCCGTATTCAATCATGGTTGCAAAGTTAAACGTAACAGATCTGCACGGAGACCACGAGCGGGTCGCACCGGGGCGTGCGACGTCAATGAACCAAAGGGCCCGAAGTATAGGTAGGCTTGCTCGTAGAAGATCGAGTCGCGACATGAGCAGTCAAACAATCACGTTTCGACCCACAGCGCGACGCGACGCGACATGGTCCGAGCCATATGAAGTGAAACATAGACATCAATCCAGGATGCGAGTAGAAGCGGATCGCCGTCGCGATCGCCGGTGACGGAAGAGGGTCTACACGTTCGTCCAGGCTGTGGCAGAAACATTACGTGTCTTGGCAAAGGTGCGCTCGCACAGCTGACTTGAGCGAAGTCATGCAGTCCTATCGCTGTGTAAAAAGGGCGAGGACTTCTCCGTAGCCAAACAGCTGCGTTGTACAGCAGTCTGAAGGCTGCCTGCAGGACAGACCCTTGTGGTTAGCAGACGTGAAGGAGACGCACGGGACCTCCAGGATGTTCGTGACCGAGGATATTCTGGAGATCCTCGCGGCACAGACATCGACAGAACCAACGCCTCAATCACGAGCGTACCATGAAGTCAATCCGGGGCAAGCTCTGCGTGAAGCTCGTCTCCAAGGGGTAGTATTTTGACACGCGAGTGAGACGAGGCAGGACGGCGATGTTAAGCAAACCCAGAAGGGAAGGAGGAAGAGGGAGCAAAAACACGACGCGTAAACCTCACTTTGACGTCTTCTTCCCCGTGGCGATCTCCGCCGCACATCCGTATGTGCCTCTATGGAGCCAGACATATGCGTCGACGGCGAGTGTCTGGCCACGAAATTCGGAGAGATGCTTGGTGTTGTGGATGTCCTTGAGGAGAGGCAAAAGCCCAGATATTCCCATAGCGTCGCGTGTCTAGATATAAGCAGGGCATCCAGACATACGCAAAAAGGAGCGGAGGACGTGGAGAGCAGACACGGAGGCGGCGCCAGACGCGGTGGCTCGTCTGTCGCGGCGGGCGTCATCGACCCCAGGCGCGCCCCCGCTTGCCCAATCAAGGAAGCCAAACAAACGCGTCGCGACGCGTCACACCATGCCCAAACAAAGCGTCACATTCGCTGCGGGCTTTCCGAGTCACCATGATCGCTTTGCTTGTGTACAATGTACGCCAACACAAGGTTCGTCTTATGGCACGCGACCCATGTCCCATGTCTCAATCTCCCGACACTCCTGGCGAATCTACACGAACTCCAAGGGCTCAGGCTCCACATATGCACTGACCGCCGCGTAGCCTGTAAGAGCTCACACTGGCAGAAAACATGAATAGCCGGCCATGAATTGGACACACGTGAAGCTCAAGCTATCATTGACATCCTCTTCTGCTACCAATTGCACCTGTTTTACAGTGCTTTGCGGTTGCAAGAACTCTGTATATACTGACAATAGAGACCGGTAGTTCTCAACAGGCATCAGTAAACATGGGAATCACTTAATGTGTCTTAAACACGTGTTTAAGGGCATTAAGACGCCTAAGACGGCATTAAGCGTTAGTAAGTCGTAAGAGTTAAGATGCTCGATTAAGACGGATTAAGACGATTAAGATGGGCGAGTGCAAAAACGTTCTGCATCGTCATCGCGCACGCCGGCCTCTGTCATAATGTCTGTACAGGCTCCAATTGACCTCTCTTGGTCTCTCTCTCTGCTATACTCCATTATCTGGCACGCTGTACGGAGTTGAGGGTGAGCAGCTCGAAGATATGCGTGGGAGAGCTAAGTGGCTTAAGGCGCTAAGCCATTAAGCTAATGCACGGTTTACTGATGCGGTACCACTGGCAGTGCTACTACACCAACACATCTACTTTCAAGCTTTCAAACCGGCGACAGCTGCCAGCTACGTATGTACTTCTCGTCGCTCACGCGCCGTCCTGATTGCTCTCCCTGCTGACTGGTAGCAGAACCAGAGAGCTTTCGCATAGCCGTCTCTGCCGCCTCTTCCATCGCCTGTTGGCGATGTCTATAGACCTCGGCAGAGATGTCCTTCCCAGCATTCATCAACAAGGTCGCTCGGCCGAGTGCGTTCTGGAGCTCCACTATTGCGGTCTCTAGGCTGGACGCATACGCCTCAAGCCTCTTCTTCGCTGCTTTACGCTCCGCCGCTTCTCTGTAGTACCCCTCGGCCTCAGCGCTCATGGCCTCCATCTCCTTCCTTGAAAGTCCCCGCACGTCGCTCGAGATGGAGATATTTTGCGACTTTCCTGAGCCCTTATCGGTGGCCGAGACGACCAGGCGATCGTTCGCGTCCATGTCAAAGGTCACTTCGATCCGAGGTACTCCACGAGGCGCTTGTGAAAGGCCTGAGATCACGAACCTCCCCACCAGGTTATTGTCTTTCGCCTTCGCATGGACGCCTTCGTAGACCTGTACGAAGACTCCAGGCTGGTTGTTGGATGTCGTGGTGAACATCTGCGACTTCTTTGTCGGGACGGTGGAGTGGCGTTTGATGATTGGCGTCATAGCGCCCCCCGTGGTCTCGATCCCCAGCGATACGGGGGCGACGTCGAGGAGCAGCACGCCCTGCGTCTTCTCTGAGGTGGCCCCGGCGAGGATGGCCGCCTGGATAGCAGCCCCACATGTCACCGCCTCGTCGGTGTTCATAGACCTGTTCAGCTCCTTGCCGTCAAAGAACTCCGAGACGAGCCTGCCGATACGTGGGATGCGGGTCGAACCTCCGACCAGGATGACTTCATCTACCTGCGATTTATGTATCTTTGCATCGCGGAGCACGCTGTCGATAGGATCGAGGGTACGACGGAAGAGGTCGTCACAGAGATCCTCGAAGCTCCCGCGGGTGAGGGAAGTCTCGAAGTCGATTCCCTCATAGAGGCCGTCGACCATGACCGTGGTCTTCATGGCGGAGGAGAGCGTTCGCTTGGCGCGCTCGCAGGCGATGCGGAGACGACGGAGGGCGCGGTGGTTGCCAGACAGATCCACCCTGTGGTTGCGCTTGAACTCGGCGGAGAAGTGCTGGACGAGACGGTCGTCGAAGTCCTCTCCGCCCAAGTGCGCATCGCCCGCGTTCGCTTGGACGTCCAAGACGCCAGACTCGTGTGCGGTCACGAGGGACACGCTCAACGACCCCCCGCCGAGATCGAAGATAAGGACGTTGTGGTCCCTGGCGTTCCACCTGTCGACTCTGTAGGTGGCGGCGCACGCACTTGTCTCGCTCAGGACACGGAGCACCTTCAGCCCCGCCATAGTTCCTGCATCTTTGGTCGTCTGCCGCTGGGAGAGGTTGAAGTGCGCGGGGACGGTGATCACCGCGGAGGTGACTATGGAGCCGAGGTAGGACTGCGCGATCTCCTTCATCTTTGTCAGGATCAGAGAGAAGACCTCTTCCGGAGACTAACAGCCCGTCCGAGCAGTCAGTCGCTTTGCACACAAAGCTCCTGGAACTTTGCCACTCACGAACTCTTTCGTGTTCCCCCGATATCGCACCCGAATATGCGGCTTCATGTCCTTTTCGAAGACCTCGTAAGGGACGTGAGCAATGTCGGCCTGGATCCCCGGATCGGAGAAGGCGCGGCCAAGGAGCCGCTTGACGTTGAAGACGGTGTTGCTTGGATCCCTCGCCGCTTTCCTCATCGCGGCATCCCCGATGAGCCACTCTGTCTCGGTGAATGAAACATACGAGGGCGTGAAGGGATTGCCCTCCTCGTTAGGGATGATCTCCACGCGGTCATTGCGCCAGATCCCAACGCAGCTGCCCGGATCGCGTGCATGAACGTGGAGCAGAACGAGGGATGCGGGCGTATAGACGAGCTCACCAGCGGGTGGTCCCCAGATCTATACCGATTGCTGTTGGCATCGTCGCGGCCTGGGCAGGGGTGTGGACTCGGGCAAGAGACTGTCAAGCGCTCCATTCATGTCAAAGCATGTCCCACTGGAACCTGTAATGGAATCGGTGAGCTGTATGCGGAACCCTAGGATCACGAGCAGCTAGGGCGTTTGCACATTTGCGGAGCACCTGATAAAGATCTAAGTTCATCAGAAGCGAAGAAGCGGTATGCATCAGGCACCACTCACTGCATTTGTGAAGTATACTCGTTATGAGGGAGTACAGACTACAACGAGGGTTACAACCCTCGGAGGGCTCAGGGCGCACGGCGTGAACTACCGCAGCTCAGGAGGTTCAGCTGGTGCTCTGAGAGAGAGTTTCCAGAGAACGACGCTCTCAGGCGCGTTTGCGGACACGGAGTTGTGCAAAGCACGGATTGTGTGCGTATACAATGTTACGAAAAACGCTTCTGAAGTGTGCCAACACTCAGATTCCGTGACAGCCTCAGAGCACTTACTAAAGCCTACGCCTAGGGCTCTGTTTGGCAAGCGGGATGTGGCTATCCCGGCTATTAATGTAGTACTCAGCAGAAATACGGACGGATTGTTCTGTATAGCTCTAGCAGTAAGATGACGTAGAACAAGGCTCCCTTCAGATGAACGGCCAAACTCTGGGCCGCAGTTGTGGATGAGGTGAGCTGGCGAAGAGCACGAGGTGGTCCTCACAGAAAGAGTCAAATGTTGTCGCACTGCGCATGCAGTGAACAGCGTTGACACGACAGCTACGTTCTCCGCTACATCCCGGGCCGAGGAGGGCGCGCCTCGCATCTGGTTTCTTTGATGATGTTTAACATCAAAAGCTGTGATTACTGAATGGGCAGGTTAATGTGCCCCTCTTGCTATGGGACGCCGGCCATCCATGACCAGCCCTAGAGCTGAAGCTGAGGACAGCTAAAGCTACGCGTAACGCTTGGTAGCTATGTGGATGGAAGAACATCTCGTGCGAAACCGTGACGAATTCTATTCCCATAGCGTATCCCACCAAACATAGAGTCCTGACTCGACAGGTAGGCAGTAGGTGGAGCCACTGATGGGCAATCCCGGATGGCTTCGCACTCAGATGAGACTGCCCGAAGAGTCGAGACAACATTGACGCACTCACCAGACATGCTACAAGCGACGTCATTCTTGAGTGTAAGGTGGCACCGTGACGGCCTCCTCACCTTCAATCTTCCGACCGGCGTCGCGTTCCTGCTGCACAGCAATGTCGGAGCTTCCGTCATACTGAGCCGAGTGCATGTGGGTCTCCCTCTTCAGATCGAATATTCTCAGCTCGGGTGTCCCGGACGCTCGCGGTGTCAGGGTTGAAGAAGACAGTCTCATTGTCTCAGAAATGAGGGACGGCGCCCTGATGAGTTCTGATACGACGGCAGTGGATCCTTCCAATCCGAGTAGAGGATGAGGGCTGCCGGAAACGAAGGTGGGGGACAGCTCATCCATGGTGTTGGGAGGTGATGGGGGAGAGGATGAGGAAAGCACGATGTCGTGCCTCCGCTGCAGCTCTAAGACAGAGTCGAAATCAGCCGATCATGACCGTCATATGGTGGGTTAGCGCTGACTTTGGGCATACATGGCCCGATGCCTCCGTCTGATCATCCAGAAAACTAGGGCCGCCGCTGCGAGGCAGGATACTGCCCCACCTACAACGCTTCCTGCAACGACCCCCACGATGTCGATATGGTTTGTAGAAGGAGAGGCGGGAGATGTATTGCTGGTCTCAGGTCCACTAGCAGGAGACATTGACGAAGAAGCCCCAGCAGCGGTCGGAGGAGTCGTGGGAGTTTCTTGAACGTACACAGTAGATACAGAGACCTGCTGAGAAGTTGAGGGAAGCTCTGTATCCGTAGGATCGAAGCTGATGACGGGTGGGCCATGGCTTTCCACAGGGTCTGTAGGCGTTAGAGGGTTGTCATCAACGGTGGTACAATAAACGGAAGGTCACTTACTCTGTTCAGCAAGAATTTGCGCTGTAACCAGGTCAAATCTGTTGTAAGGCTGAAGGACATCAGATATGTTAGTAGTCAAAAGCCATGCCAGACTCATCGTGAGAGGTAGATATGCCCATGCTTGCACGGCGATGCCTCGAGGAAGCACTCGGGGATAGCTAGGATAAAGCTCGCTCGCTTCTCCAGATGGTCAAGTGGCAAGACTCACTCACCTCCTATTGAAGATCTGGTCACAACCCGCTGAGAATTGAGACCATCTAGGAAGTTTGGCATTGTCAGTACAGTACACATCCGAGCCGTAATTCAAGCTAGCTTACGGTTGTATATCAAGAACAGTCCGGCCCTGACAGACCGCACAAGCCGACATCGTCGAGTAAGTGACAGTAGTACACGAAACGTGCCCCTCTGGCCCTGGGGAAATGTACTCGTATCCTGGGTTCAGCGGTCCCAAAGTATAGTCTGTTATCACATCAATCAGCAATAGATCCCTTGGTGAAAGAAACTCGCACTCGCTATCGTGGTATGAGCCAAACAGCCAGGCAGTGATGTAACACGGGTCTTGTGAATTGCTGTTGTTCATCTGACCTTTCGTGAGAGTTCATGCGCCATTGATTCCAGCAATGCAACATACCCAACCGTAAACACCCAGGCAGGTCATCGTGGAGGAAGAATAGAATATTTGCGCTCGAGCACAAAGGACGTAGCAGAGCAGGCCTCCGAGGGCAATGAGCAGGAGGATGTGCATGCTGGCTAATAACACCCCGAGGAGAGGGGAAGGCCGTGGACGTTGACAAGGGGACTGGTAAATTTCCATCTTGGACACCAGGCTACGATATGTCCGTTCACGGGAGACATGCTCCCACAATGTGTGAGCAGCGCGCCGAAGAATCATCGGCGTTCGCTTAGGCAGCATCCGTCCACCCACGAGAGATCATCATCACCTGGGAGGACAGTCTGCCACAACAGGGTCCAGCCTTAACAAGCGATAGCCTTGGCGAAGCACCCACAGAAGCCTACAGGTTGGTTGAACCGCCCAGCATGCATGCGCACATATCCGGCTCATTGCGTGTCCGGCGACGCTGCGTCGTCGGCGAGCTTGCCTGGAAGAGATCAAAACAAGGACATGGATACTGACCTCGCCTACTTAGAGCAGAGCTTGCATTGAGCACTACTTGCGGCTGACCGATGTAGAACAGGGAAGCCCGCCGTGCGATATCGCACCCACAGTGCAACACACTACGATCGATGAGAAGTACGACACGCTTTTTTTTTAGGTCAGTTCGACGTAAAGGAACTGTCTGCATCGACACGGCGCGATGGCCACGCCGGCGGTGATACTTCTGTAGCGACCTTGATGGTCGAGTGCCTATAAGCCCAGGGACAGGCCGGCCGCACAGCTGATCATTGCCTACACCGGACGTGCGGCGGTAGTCGCACGGTTATCGAAGCACGGTTTTTATCGCCATTGAGGCATACGGACACTGTACACACACCAAGCTCGTCATCAATGATAATCATGCATTTTGAGATCTACTCACGTCATACATTGCACCAGGACGATCCGTATGCAGCTGGTAAGATAGTGTTTCGACTATCCCCATATCTCAACCCTACCACGCGCTCATACGGATCCAAGATCTTTACTTGATGCATGGCGCACCCATCTGGTGGAGTCTAGAACAAGTGAGGATGAGCACGGACCTGTGTAATTCAGCACGCGGATCGATGGAGAGGCCACACATGCCCGACCGGGATGCTCGTATATAGACACAACCATGGTGTGATATTTCATGTCGGGTCATGTCGCTTCCAATAACTATGAATCGTCAGGAGAGCCATCAGCTGGGAACAGTACACAAGACACACACCTCCGTATGCCTCACTTTGAACATCTTCCACATAGGTACTCCCTCGATAAGACCATTGTGCAGCGGCATGCAAAGTACACGAATTGATGCAAGCCGAGTATAAGAACGGGCACTATAGCACAAGAATATGGAGAGCTAGTGGTTCGGAAGTGTTGATGGTCGCAGACGCAAGTAAATGCAATCCGCCCAGCGCGATGCGACAGTCGACGCTGGCGCTTGATCTGACCTGCCTTGTATGGTAAGTGTGTCCAAGACGGTGTGATATTGCCGCACCTAGGACAAAATTGCAGAAGTTTCTGGTGCAGTGGTAACGATGGTTGTTCTTCTTTTTCCGTGCGAGAGCTCGAATCCCGAGCAGGCTCGTTGGGGTTCGGGCTGGGAGTTAGGGTTTGGGTTTGGGTTAGCGGTTAGGGTTGGCCACTTGTCTTTCTTCTGACCCCCACAAGGGGTCGCCGGTCTATTTTTTTTCGCGCGAGCGAGGCTTTAGTGTTCCCGCCTGAGTGCTCCCGGCTCGGGGGACCCCCCGAGCGCAGCGAGGGAGGGGAGGGAGCACGAATGGCGGGTCCTCTTCGCGCAGCGCTGGATGTTCTTGAGCTAAGCGCCTTACATAAGATTTTTCTACCTAATATGGGCTTGCGTCGCATCGCGCTGGGGGGATTGCATTCACTGCAGACGCAGTGGACGTTGGGCGGCTGCTGTATGCTTTCGGCCTCTGCGGCAACGCGCACGGTGTTCTCTACCACCGTCCTCTTCCCTGCCCTCAGGCTTCGGATACAGATGGCTATCTAGCAGCGAACATCTTCATATCATCCCTCCTAGCGTTCCCTCTGCTTTATTCTGGACTACTAAGTGGTTTCTCGTCGGAGCAATACCATTGGAACTGGACTGACCAGGTACAGTGACCGACCTAGGGAAGATCTGGACGAACTCGCACAAAGGACTTAGGGCTCGGTGAGTGTCCATGATATTTTACATATTGTCGCGAAGTATAGGTGAGTATCGTCATTCCTCTTTCTCTCGGGTTGCGCGCGCAAAACGGGAGCGAACGGGAGCGGAAAGGACACATCAGGGGTGGTCAGAGAGCACGCAAGTCCCAGGCGCTCCTACACGAGTACACCTCGTAATAGGAGTGGTCAGAGTGCGCGATTTTCAAGCGATTCTCTAAGCGATTCTGCGCCGATTCTGAATATCTGAATCGTGCCGAAATCGCGGCCTACTCCGCCTACCCCATACCGAAGGAAGATTCTGGGAATGATCATGGTCGCGATTCTGGAGGGCAGAAGCTCCTCCGGAGGAGCTACTGCGATTCTGCGCGATTCTGAGAACAAAACTGCCTCTAGAATCGTCCCAGAATCGCCCCGTAATCACATGTCTGTGCTGCTGTCATGATGTGCAGGCGTGTCGTAGAGGACAGGTCGTCGTCGTGACCTTGGCTACGGCGCGAAGCAGTTGTAGCATCACCTCGCCACCAACCTGAGCATATGCCTACTGCTCCTGTTGTGAGTCGCACTCTGCTAGACTTCTTCCTCGCATCAAATGTGACAGAGCATCCTACTCCCAGTGCCTTCTCTCTCCGTAGCCTTTCCGTTGTTTGAGAGAATGCACCGTCTTGCGACTGGGCGCGGCGGTCTGTCAAGTCATGCGTAGTCCGAATGAATGTGCAAGAGGCCCTCTAGCAGAATTGATATGCTGATATTCCCCTGTAGCTGAAGAGATGTCTTCCGGAAATAAGAAGCCAAGCGGAGGAAGGCCTCTCCCTCGCCGCCTTTTCTCCCTCGAGTCCCTCAAGAAGCAGCGCAGTAACTCCGAGGACCCTGGATCAGGCGGAGCCTCGCACTCCCGCAAACAATCCACTGCATCCTCGAATCTCCTCTCCCTCTCGGAGAAGATAGAGGAGGGCGTCGACCCATTCGGCGACGGCTCTGCATGGACCGAGAAGGGCGTAGTCCAATCTCCCGAAGAGGAAGACGGCCCGCTAGCATCGGCTGAGGATGTGGCGACACCGCGACCACCGAAGACGCCTCCAACTGCGCGACCCATCCCCCGCCGGGCGAATGTCACCCCGCTCAATCTCGGTGGCACTGTCGTCGTAGCGGCTGATGACTCCTCTGCCCCGCCTCTTTCACCTTCACGCCGCAGATGGGACACCCTCAGATCGCATGTTCTCCCTTCCTCCTCCTCATCAATCCGATCCGCTACCCCTCCACCTCTGCCATCCAGTTGGGATGCCATACCGGAGACACCGTCCACTGCTGTACCATCACGTCCATCCACGCCATCGCGCGGTTACCGGTTCGGACAGAAACGATCTATGAGACACGTTGTGGAACAAGTCCGCGATGTGACCCACGACGAAACCCGCCGGCTGGTAGACGAGATCCGCAAGGCGTGTATGATGGTCCGCTTTGGTGACGTCCCTACCATGAAAGCGCAAAGAGCAGAACCGGTGATTCACAACACCCTCGGCTCTACGCTCCACCTACCCTTCCTTGCCTCCTCATCCAACGTCTCCTCAGCCACAGCAGGAAATGGTGGTTCTGGACATCCACGGCAGGCCACGGGCGGAGGGGGTTTGAGGAGACCGCAGAGCGTGATGTCGTTAGGCGTTAGCTCTCGCGCAGCGCCGACGGTCACGCATATTGCGAGAGCATTGACGTCTTCCACCTCTGTGAATCGTCCGAAGACTCTTCCGTGCGAGACGCAGGTGCTCGCAGCGCTGCTTGTGCCTTTCCTAGGGCCGCATAGCAACGAGCAGGTTTCTGTGGAGCAGCAGACTGCGGTCGAGACGTTCGAATACGCCATTAGGACGTGGAAAGCTGCGTCGCACGAGGTACGTGACGCGGATCACATTCATATGCTACTTTTCCTGAAATGTTTGTAGGCCGAGTTGGATCGCTGTATATGGTGCTGCAAAGCTGCGTCTGTCTACTCTAGGTCGCGAATGCGCATCCTTGGTAGCCTCTCCAATATCCTGTTCTCTCGCGACCGGACATTCCAAGTCGAGACGCCTGCGATCCTGCAGACGTTGCTGCAATGTCTCTTCTCTCTTCTAGTGGTCTTAAGATCATCACAAGACTCCAGGCAAGAAGCTGACGCTGTTGCGGCGTACATCGTTGGCATCAAGAGCGGGCAGAGTGGAACACCTAGTCCACAGGCGCTGGAGAAGGAGTACGGGGTCCGACATAAAGGGGACAGCGACGAGCATGTGAGGGAGATCATCGCGGCGGAGAGCGTGATAGGCTGCCTGGAGGTTGGCTCAGAGGTGTTGAGGAGATGGACATTACATAACCTTGTTGAAGTGGGCTTTTCTGCCTCATTGGGCCCTTACCGTTGCTGACGATAATATGCTGCAGGAGCATTGGACATCCTCCGACTCACAAATGCTTCTTTCTCCCCTCCTCACGACCATGACCTGGCGCAAACTGAGGACGTTCGTCAACTCTTCGGTATCCTTGCTCCTCAATGGATCGCTCGACCCACGTCAGAACACCTACGACGCAGACGTAGTCATACACCTCTTGCGTACCCGTATTCTACCAGAAGTCGAGGCGATGCAAGACGACGCATTCGCGGTCGTAGGCGAGATTCAGAGCAGCATCATCCGGCTGGTGCTGGAGCTTCTGTGCATACGAGGGACCAGCGAACGTGAGTGGGTGATGCTATACTTCTCGCACTGGGTCCAGGAAGGCGGTAAGTGGCGCGAGAGCGTCGAACGCTCCCTGCAGAACCTTGTATGTAGCAATCTCTTCTCTGTCTGCTACCATCGTACTGAACGAGTGCGCTGTGATCAACCAGATCGGCCAGGGGGAATGGCCTACCATTCTGCGTCTCATGCCCATCCTTGAAGAGCTTCCCGAAGACATTCGGGTGTCTCTGATCCCTGATCTTCTGCCCGCTATCAGTGACGTAAGCTTAACAGCTCTCTGTCTGAGCCAATTCCTTACAACCTTTCCTCTTCTGCAGCGATTGACACGAGATCCCCCGGAACGTTCTTGTGCACCACTCTCCGACTTCCTCGATTCCGCAGCGATCAGCTGTCCGAAAGCGTTCTTCAAGCCGGTCTTCGGTTGTGCCGCATCGATGAAGGATCTCACGATTGCGAACCATCTCTGCTCCCTCTACTCAGTCGCGCGCTTCTACCCTGGAGTCTGGACGCATAATCCCGAAATGATGTCCGTAGCGATAATGATGGACCCCACTGGTTCGCGCAAGGTTACGGAGCCTACAGGCGCGGCCCCGACTCAAGGGAGGGTGCGAATAGGACAGATGGTGATTATGGTGGAGTTACTACATCATTTGCGGAGGATGCGTCAATTGAAGGACCCAGCTGCGGTAAGTCAATCGATGCCTTGCAGGCTAAACACCTGATGGCTAAAATCGTGATAGTTCACTGTCACCCACAAGTTTGTGGTCTCGTTAGAAGCGAGACTAGGCATGCTGATTGAGGCCAAGGTTTGTTCTATCCTCCATCAGCAACGAACGCTATGTTCCTTACCGTGTTATTGTGCAGGAGCAAACTACCTTGATCCCGGCCTCTCAGAGACTGCTATTCTGCGCGCTCTTCCGGGAATGCAGGCTGTTCACGCGCTCTCTCAGAAGGTAGGATGTTCCAGCTCCCCGTGATGTGGTTATTCACCTACTTATAGTGCCGCGTGGCTACCATCTGTAGTCAATTGGACGTCATCATATCTCTTCGATGCGAACACCGATCCTGACCATGAGTTGAACGAGGACGAGGCCGTCAGCACATTGTCTAAGTTGATCGCGCTCTACTCCCAAGCCAAGGCTGGTCTGGGTGGCGGTGGCAAGGTAATCATCACGTGCTCTCCTTGTGCTCTGTCGCTCACTTGTCCCTTCAGCGTCGTACTACTGTTGTTGGTCCCACCGGCGTCGACACTCAGCAGGGCAAGACGGCCTCTCAAAGCGGTTCTATCGACGCTTATCAAGATAGTTTCGATTCCCGAATTACAATGCTGCAATCCCTGGTCGATAGACGTGTCAGTACCGCGCTAGATCTGCTCGTCACGGTCTCTGGCCTACTGCAACCGGACGATTACATGCGTCTGGGTCCGATTCTGTGGTACAAGCACCTGGACAACCCTGAGCCGCACGTGATCGCACCTGTAAGCTTTCGTTTTGAGGTACAAATGCACTTCCTAAATATCTTGTCTAGACCTGTTTCCTTGTCATGCAATGCGCAGAGAAAATCCCTACAGAGTTTTCCGCGCTCATCAATCAGGACCTATCGAGGTATGCCAGGGCCTACCAGCGTATGCTCGTAACTGGCATCTCATTGATGTGTATAGTGCAGAAGTCTCTATGAGGCGCCATGCGGTTCAGCGGATGGCGACTATGGCGAGCTGGCGTTTCCAGCTTCTGTCACAAGAAGTAATACTCGATAAGAACTATCGACGACCTTTTAAATTGACAAGACCACCGGTCCTCTTCGTCCCGACGGATATTGGAAGCAACCTCTTCGAGCTGGAAGAGGATCCCAACGATTTCAAGGACAGCAAAGGTCACGTCCTTCCTTTGGAGCTCCGCAGACGACTCAACGAGGTTGGATGGGCGGAAGAGCGAGGTGAAATGGACCCAAAGACGGAGTGGATCAAGACGCCAATGACACGCCTTCCGACACAACAGCTAGACTCTTTGAGCTCGTCACCCGATGCCGCTGCCACTACCTTCCAGTCCCAAAGTCCTAGCCCGAGCCCTGAGCCGTCCCCTACGCGAGCTTCTCCACGGGAATTGCCATTGTCCAGAAAGGACTCCTCTGTGGGTCAGTCGCGTGCGAAGCGACGTCCGGTCTTTGTCGCTACTCTAGTAGGATTCTTCCCGAAGCTAGCAGCGATGGTCAAGGATAGCGACTTCGTCGTCGCTAATACTGCACGCAATCTAGTGCTCGACCTAATGCGCGATGATCCTCAGCTGCTCTGTAGATCTGTGTTTCATGAGCTCTCCGGGGACGCTACTGGAATCATGTCTGCTATCACCACTCTACGCAATTTCCTTCACTGCGAGTTCGCTTTACCTCCGGGTGCTGCTCATCACATGCTCAACCACGTCGTCGGCTTCCTGAAAGGCCTTATGCGCCATACGGAGAGCGTCGATCCACTGCTAGGCTTCGGTTATAGCTCCCCCATTGTCGCCAAACTTGCTCCCCAGGTTAGCAAGATGTCAATGCGCGATATACGACGAGCAAAGGTGGACACGCTACTGCTTCCATCGGGATCACTGTGGTGGAACGATGCTCCGCAGCCTGGACCTATGTTTCCACGGTCGTTGGAGTCCAACTACGATCCCTTCGATGCCCTTCCAGCTCCAGTGGTATGGGTCACTATGGTTAGGACTGCGCAGAACATGGTGTTCCTCAATCTGCTTCGGCAAAATGCTCAGGATGTCAAGATCTTCCGGAAGAATCTCACGACACTTGTCTTGCCCATTCACTTTGACGACCTGCACCAGAACTCTATCCCTCTGACTGCATACATACCTGTCCAGGGGCTTCCACCAGCACCAACTAATCCAACACTGATAGCTCTATCCCTTACCCTGGCACGTAGTCATCTGCTCCTACTTCACCAGGTTTTCCGGTCCATGTCCCGCCATCTCAACGATCGAGAAGAGCTAGCGTTACTACTGGATGGACTCAATCGGATCATGCTTGCCCATGGTGACGACGTTGGCATTGTTTCTCATGCGATGCTCAGTAAGTGCAACGACTGACCTGATAGGAATGCTTCACTTACCGCTTTACAGACTACTTGATCGCAAGTACTCGTTTCAGACGGCTCTTCACTTCCGGAGGCGGTTACACGATGTTCATGCCAGCGGTGATCAAGGTCTACTGCGAAGCCGCGTCTCAACCTACTATCCGGGCGGTGATCGAGTTCGCCGTCAATCGTTTCTTCGCACTCCACCAAGAATCCTTCATCTTCCAGACCTGTGATGTGATGTCAAACGTCATCGCCTTGCCAGGTGTCGACGGATCTTACGTATGCCGAAACATCTTCGCTCTGCTCGCCACCTTGAAGAACAGCGCATCACAGACCAACAGCGAGGTTTCTGCACTCAGTGCGCTCACCAAGCTCGAGGAGCAGGAAGCAATTCTAGTCACAATCGCGGAGAAGGTGCCTCAAGTGTTCCTCGCCTCGGTACATCGCAGCGCACAGGACAAGAATCAATTGACGGTGGACGTACCAGATGAGTTCGATAGCAAGCGGTTAAGTCTCGACGATCTCGTCCGACTCTTCCTTACTGTCATTGCCCATAACCCGACAATCCTACGAGCACAGCAGTTCCTCCGCTTTCTCATGTTCCTGTCGCCGCATCTCTACCACGCTTCGGCTTCAGCTCGCTCTGTCCTCAAGGATGGAATCAGTGCGCTTGCCTCCATCCTCCTCAACAAGGGCATCGCGAAACCGAAGACGTCCGAAGGTGCCTCTCTAGTCGACGAGCTTGGTTCGAACGCTGTATCGCAGACCGGGCTGAATCAGGCCAACCTCCCTCAATCTTCTGTTCCCAGCGACCTCTTGGCGATGCGACTGGATCTGCTTTCCCTAGTCGTCGGCTACACAAAGGCGGGCGGTACGCTGTCAGCCTTAGCATCGCAGCGGGTGTTAGAAGTCGTGAAGGTCATACTCAAGGATTCGAAGTCAAGCGTCCTACGTGTTGCGGAGTTCCTCGCAGACTATGTTCGTGCGATACTCATACGTCCTGTGCATCCTGAGTTGAAACAGGTCGTCACGCTTCTTTCGGATGTCGCCCCGATCATATCATCCTACTCTACTACAGTCGACTTCTCCGGTGTCTTTGACGTCGTAACGTCCCTGGCCTCCGATACAGTCTTCGCCAACCAGCCAGCCTTTTCCCGAGTTTTGGTCAACCAATACTGCAGCGCGGGTCTGGAAGCATGCGAAGTAGCGGCATCGGAGAACCTGCTGTGGACCTTGACTGTCCGAGGTAGCATCCTCGATCTCTTGGACAGGTCCTTGCTTGTGATTGGTGCAGATGTGATGTCAGAACTGGAGAAACGCGAGCCAACGTACGAGTTCCTGTCCGGCATCATCTTGCCCTTTGTTCTGCGCATGAAGGCGACAGTAGAGATAGCTAGCAACAGCCAGTGGGCGGACAAGTGGCGACGGGACGTCTATGCGCAAGCATGGCTGCGGCTCATCGCGTATGTTCTGAACGTGATCCAGCGCGCAGACTACATTCGCCCTGACTCACGGAACATTATACCTGGCCTTGATCGTCGCAAGTCAACGGATAGTCGGTCACTTTCCTCCACGCCAGACCCGAAGCCAGCCATGGCCCTCGTCGTTGCCCTGCAAATACTGAAGGTGATCACAACTCGCGCTGAGCAAGAGCTTTCTACTGTGTTCCCCTCCATATGGGGGCAGATCGGTGATGTTTTGAAGGAGACCCTTGCGGACGGAGACGCAGGGTTCGCAATCCCTTCTCGCGGCGGCTACTCGGAACCACCATCACCAACGCACTCACCTCGCACGAGCTCTTTCAACATCGGTGCAGACGACGGCAACCCCTTCCTCACCCCTTCCATGGCACCCTCTGCACACCGCACGCGCGCCGAGCGCCGCCCTCGCATCATTGACTACATGACCTGGTCGCTCATCGAGTGGCTCTGCCTCCGGCGCACCCCCCTCGCGCTACAAATGCGTGTCTTCATACAAGAGAAGGTCGCGCTTCTGCACCAGGAGCTGATCGTTAACGGCGCAGGGAACCAGAGCCTCGCCGCGAGCCCCATCATCAGCGCCATGGGCATGCCCTCCGGCGGGCTTAACACCCCCTTAACTGCGCGTGGCCGCAATCGGCCTGTCTCAAACATCTTCTCTAAGCCGCGGCGGAGCTTCCTGAGCGGTGCAGACCCTTCAAGCGCAGTGTCGACCCCGCGCAGCTCGACGCTCTTCGCCAACGCCGTGTCGCTCCCCTCGTTCGACGAGTTCGGCATGCAGTCTTCAACTCCGCGCAAGGAAGACGGGCCTGGGCGCCAGGCCGGGTACCAGCTCATGCCCTCTCCACTGACACCCTCCCGCCGCGCGGCGCGCGAGTCCGGTCCCAAGATTGTACACCTTGGACCTGTCCGCCCGCTCTCGCCCTCAGGGGGCGGACCGCGCCGTTCGTTCTCCCCCAGCGGGCAGCGCAGTGGAATCGGGAGTTCGCGCAGTGCGCTCGCGCTCGCCCGGGAGATGGTCGTGGAGTCGCCGGTGCTGGTGCGCATGACGGTGCGGCGGATCCGCGTGGCGCAGGCGATGCTGGGCTATCCGCTCCTGCCGCTTGCGAACGTGTCGTCGATGGACTCATCGATGACAGACATGAACGGCGAGCTCGCAGAGACAGAGGGCCTGGTGAAGGCGTGGTCGCGGGCGGAGGCGGTGGAGATGCTCATGCAGGAGACGAAGGACTTGATTGAGGAGTGGCGGGACGACGAGGAGCTGGACGGGATCGGGGACGATAGTGGGATTTTGGTGGACTTGGAGGAGCCCCGGAGTCCGCTCTCATAGGGAGAGGCTGTGCGGCTCGCTTTTCGATGTCATTTTCTGGATCGGCTTCCACGCATAAGTAGTAAGACCACCCTCGCACAATACGGACCATCTCTCATTGCTATCCTTGCTGTAGACCCCATCCTCGCGTACCTGTATATCATCGCAGAATTTGCATCAAGATCATTCAAACCATCTTATCGCTCGATAATACATTTAGGCCGTGGACAGGACACAAAGCCAATGCACAGCATTCGCTGGGGTATCTCTCGCAACTGGAAAACAAACAAGTCACGAACAAGTCCCACATAAAGTCATAGCCGATGCGTCCGAAGGTATCCAGGACCAGACCAGTACGGAATCCATACATTATCAGCCGAGCTCAGGCCACGAAGACGGCCCGGGCGCGAAGACGACGATAACCCAGACTAGATTATTACGACCGGCAGAAACCCAAGCCGGGTATCCCAATGCACCAAGAAGTATGTAGATCCACATTCCACGCGAATTCCATCCAGACGCACGCTCACAGCAGGACCGCCGCAAGCGCGAGCGCAGCCCCGGCAGTGATGGCAGTCCACGCACCCCCGCTCGCTGCAAGCGCGCGCAGGCCCGCGGCGCCGTTGACAGTGGTCTCGTTCGTGACCGCTACGGCGGGCGAGAACGCGGACGCGTTCTTGCCGTACACGTACGACTGCGCATTGGCGGGGTTGGACTTGGCGTCGGCGCAGACGACGGAGACGGACTCGACAAAGGCGTAGAAGTGGCCCGCAGACTGGTAGTCCGGGTCGGACCAGTCGATGAGGCCCCCCGCCCACTCGATTGTGCCCTGCGCGGAGGTGTTGATGCCCGCGGGCCAGATGCTACAGGTCGAGCCGATGATGAGTACAACATGATGCTACTGAATGTGTGAAAGAAACGGATTGGGCGCACCTGAGCTCAATGCGAGACGGGGTGGAGGGGTACCTGCTGACGCCGTCGGAGCCGGTGACGTCGCTGCGCTTGAGCTGGCGGACTTGCTGGCCGTCGATGAGCCACGTGAGAGTGTCCTGCTGCCAGTCGATCTATTCAGAAGCAAAGTAAGACCCTGTCAGTCCGCCCAATTCTCATTCAACCCTCGGGGAAGCTGAGAAGGACGTGCCGTATAGTCATGATAGTTGCTGAACGTGTCCGTCAGGTTCCCGTGCGTCGCGCCCGCGGTCTGCTGGGCTGGTATTCGCGTGCATACGTTAGTACGAGAAAAGAAGCGGAGCCAAGGAGAGCGAACACGTACGTACGACGCCCTGCCAGAAGTAGTTGGACTGGCCCTGGGTGGTCTGCTTGCCCGGGAACTCCCAGTCGATCTCGTCCTTGATGTCGGACATCGTAATGAACGCGGTGACGACCCCGGCCCAGCGGCCAGTCTTGACTACCCATCGCCGTCAGCATCAGCACGCCCCCGCCACACTGCGACAATATACGCACGCCGAGCAGTGATGGTCCCGTAGTGGACGTAGCGCGTGGACGAGAGGCGGGTGCCGCCGTTGTCCTGGGTGAGCGTCATGGCGAGCTCGCCCGCGGTGGAGTTGAGGATCGTGCCCTGGTTGACGACCCAGTCGTACTTGGTCGCATTGCCGTCGAAGTAGGTCGCGTTAGAGAGGATGCGCGAGAAGTCGGTGAACGTGTGCTGCGTGGCAGGGAGGCGAAGATGTCAACGAAGGCCACGCGCCGAACTGCGTACCAAAGGATATCGTGTGATAGCGGCTGTCGACAACACTATGTACGAGCGCGGTGGGGACACTCGAGGAGACGGTATACCCCTGAGAGAGCACATAGGCACACCGGTATTGGAGACAAGACGCAAAAACAGGGATATTGTCTGTGATTCTTCAAGCGCATATAGCGACTGCGCGCGATGCATCGCGGGCGTACAACCACATATCGCGCCGCATGCGCGCGGCTCCGGACAACAAGAAAACTCAGCCCACTTCCTCGCGCGCCTCCATCCAATGCAAGTAATCAAATCACCGTCCTAACACTCGCGCGCCTCCCAACCGAATTCGCAGCCGCCACAACGTCGCGTCAAGCTGATGAGAATAACACTTGCCTTGCGCGGCGATCTGAGCCCGAGGAAGGAGCGGCATGTGTCTCCCCGCAGTCCACGCGACGCAGGACAAGCTGGCGTCGCGAACCATGCCGACATGCCGGCAGTGGCTGTAGCCATGTGTTCAGCTCTGGATTCGCAGCCGCCACTCGATGCAACGATACCATCGCGAACAATACATAATTGGGATGGCTATGCACGCCAGGACGACGGCGGAACGATACAGCGGCCAAAAGGAACGAGGGGCGAGACGCGCCACTCAGAACCCAGCTAAACGGAAATGAGAAGAACGAGCAGGTTCCGACTGCTCAGAATAAATGCGCTGTCCTCGAACGGGCAAAAGAAACCGCGCGAGACGCGGACATCTGCACGCCGTCATGGCCACACCTCGAGGCGATGAAATCGCCGTGGGATACGCAGCCTCGGAGCTTCGCGCGCAACGGCGGTCATCATTGATGGATGCCGTTGCTCTACGGCGACGCGCTCTTGCCGTCATGGCGGTGAGACCGCCGAGGCAGCACGGATGGTCGTCGTTCGGGAGCAGAGGATGAGGAGGGGTGCATAGGGGTGTCGTGGAGGAAATGAATGAATGAACAGGACGAGCAGGAACACTCACGTTGGCGTTTTGGCAGACGGGCTCCGGCATGCAGGATGTGAGGCTGTTGGATGCGAGCGGGTTGCAGCCACCCAAGCAGAACTGTGCGTATGTTGCGCCCGACGTCGCAAGTCAAGTCAGCACGACGTGGACGTATTCCGTCAGAGGAATGGCAGGATACTGACGCTTCCAGAACCACAGAAGCCGAATTCACCTATGGGATTGAGAGAGTGGCACCAGTTAGTACTACCCTCCTGCGACAAGTGAAGCAGATACTGACTGCAGCATGGCGCGGACGCAGAGCAGAGAGATGTGGAGTTACTGTGAACAGGGTGATGTCGGCGACTGCGAGTTTTGATAACGAGACAAGATATACCATTGCTGAGCGGAGACGACGGAGAGCGAGGCGAGGAGGGTGAGGACGGCAGGTACGGAGAGCTTGAAAGACATCATGGTCGGAGAAGATTGTCGTGGAGATACTTAGTAGAGACAGAGATACAAGCGAGCGGAGATGAGAGTCCTGGAACGTGAAGACCGGCAGTCCAGATGAATGTTGAGAACAGAGTTTTGTACACCACGCCTAGGTCTAGCGCTGTCCGTCCGTAAGTACTTGACAGGGTCGATTAAAAGAAAAAACTCGTCGCAGTGCATGTAGTGCATTAAGGGGGAATCGAACCCCCGGCGGGTCGATGGCAACGACCCAGGTTACCACTACCCCATTAATGCCCACTGCCAAGCGTACTCAGTTGGTGATTGTTGCGTTTTGTCTACTACACGACCGAAGTACATGTATACTGTCTGCATGCCAGTGATACCTTGCTATCTACCACTCCCTATGTACGGCTCGAGTTCCTAGGTGGCTCCTCGAAAATAATCTGTCCGTCTATATGGGATTCGCCGTCTAGCCCCATTTCGCCGAGCACCTCAGCGAAGGACGAATCTCGGCGACGTCGCGCGCGCAATTTCAATCGCAGGACAAACAACCTGGACCGGTGCCTGTCACGGGCCACAAGAGCTTCGAGCAGGGCACAAAACCCGTCCCTGTCCAACACCACATCCGCCAGAGCTAGTGAACGCAGTTCTGGTACAAGCAGCTCGCCCTCCCCCGACACTGTTCCTAGAATGCGCATCACGCCCTGGACCCGACGCAGTAGATCTGCTTCCGATATACGACGTCCGTCTAGGGACAAGGATCTCAACCCAGGGAACGTCTGCAACAAACGTCGCCATGCGTCCGCCTCGAAATATACGCAGACAGTAAGCTCCTGTAGCGAGCAGCGTGCAGACGTCGTCCAGGAATTGATGCGGAGCGTATCCCCACTCATCGAGCACGGCGTCGATGTCGACGGGCAGCTCTCCTCCTTGTCCAGAACCGCTGCCCCGACCAACCGTCACCGAGTAGAGCTGGATCTTTCCGGACGTTGCTGCGGCGATCATCAGGAAACGGTCGTGATCCTGGGGTATGGTGTGAAGAAGTCCACCACGGCCGTGACGGTGGTAATCGTGCACCGCTGACCAGATGATCACATTAGCCGTAGCTGGAAAGCGGAAGTGCGACAGAAGGTGGAAAATCTCTGGAGAGTCGGGCTCCTCCGAGGATGGGCACAGGAACTGCGCCTTGCGCATGTTTGGCAGGTAAACGGTGACGTCGGATGACATGTCCCGACTGTTGCCCTGATCGCTGTAGGCATCAAAGGGCCATGAAAACAAGTTAAGCTCGAGCTCTTCGAGGGCTTGACATTCCTGCAGTCTGCAGAGAAAGTCATTGAAGGTGCCGTGCACATTCGCTGCAGCATACCCGCATCCTCGCAGATATAATCTCCGGAGTGGGAGAAACGTAGGGGTGTACCAGTCGATATCCTTCGCGTAGCCGAGCAACAGGGTTCGCAATGCGGGGAGATGGGATGCGGCGAGTTCGGCTCCAGGGTATGAACGTCTTGTCTGGGGGTCGTTGGGGGAGACGAATAGGTCTGCTAGAGCATTCATGGATGGATTTAGAAGGTCTTGAAGAAGTGATATGGTCTGTTCCACGCACTCGCGCAAGATAAGCCTGCGGATGCGAGGACCGTTGGCCGTTAGGAGGTTGAGCACTGATGGCAGCATCGTAGCAACGTGGATAGTCACAGTTACTGGGAGTATCCCACATGAACCTTGCGAGCGGTCGAAGCAGAGTTCGACCCATTCTCGTTTATGCTTGATGTGTATGTCCTGAAAGAGTTTGGGAGACGTGTTGATGACGTGTTGCCAGTGACTGCAGACGCTAGTGACGCGAAACCCTTCGTCGTATTCCCAAGTAGAAGCATCGTCGTCGTCCGCACGATCTTCGTCGGCATGGAGGAAGAGAAAAAATCAAGCGGAATAGTTCTAACGGGAGTTTGTGAGCCTTGGAGCTGGCGTTCCAGACCCTCCTCGGATCCATCTAAGGGACGAGTCATAGTTTGGTAAGCCTACATTGGAGCAAGCAACGTAAACAGCGAGGCTACATACCGTTGGCAGCGGGCGGGAGTTTTGATCGGGCGGGGACTCTGGTTTTCAACGCTAAACAAAGGAATGATCTGATAGTCTAGGCCCACCAGGGCACTGACCTTGTAACTTCAAGCAGCAGTGCTAAACAGTCCATTGTATTAGTCTGAGTGGATCCGAAGTGGTAGTCTTGGGACGATGTCCAATGCATTGTTTGTTCGCTCAAATTCACCTGAATCCAAGCATCGTCAATTCTATTATATGCGGCCGCTTACTACACAATATACAGCTGAGGTTACTCCCGCGCGTATAGCGAAACCTTCATGATCGCCGCCATCCCCGTCGCACACCTGCCCACCCAACCTCGTAGCCGTGCTATGTAGCCTTGCGCGAATTCAACGAAGAGAATAAGCTTGCTCCTCGAGGTTATCTGAGCCCGACGAAGGAGCTGCACGTGTCTCCTCGCAGTCCACGCGACAAAAAACATACCAACAGTGCTCTGGCCACTTGCTCAGCTCAGCTTAACACCATCGCAGACAACACGCATGTAAGGATGTACCTGCATGCCAGGGCTGCGAAGGAAATGAGAGCTTTAGGAGAGGCAAGACGCACTAGCCTGAGCCTTCCAATGCTGCTCGAGCGCGACGGGGTGCGAGTTCCTAGATAACGCATCGCGTCCCGAACAAGCAACCTGAACCAAGAAGACCATATATACCATTACTGAGAGGATACAGCACAGATCAAAGCTAGAAAGGGGAAGGATGCAGGTACTTGTGGAGAGCTCGAGAGACATGATCGACGGGACGGCTAGCAATTGTCGAGCACGGAGTTACCCGACCTTCAGGCGCTCTCCTTGTTCTGCTCAAGAGCGAAAACAACTGCAACTCATATCTTATGCATCTCGGGAGATTCGAACCCCCTGTTAGCCAGCAGCATCAACCCTCGACGGGTATTACCATTACCCTACGATGCTCTTTGCTCTACCATGCAACAGAGGAGATTCGAGCGACTGGAGCCAAAGCAGACGAGAATAAACGTCGCCCTTCCTTTCACTGGCCGATCACCCCTTGTCGATACCTCAAAGGGACAAGCCTATCAAGAAATAGTTCACGTACCAGATCGCAATTGGACGATAGGAGAGACCCGTTTCCCGATGGCGGGTTGGTTCGGGCACGTCCACGGTGGCTGTGTTGGGCGAAAGCGCCATCCGACCAAGTGCCGCGTCACATCGATGATCGTCCAACTTGGGGGTCCCTAACCTCCTTCAAGTTCTCGCCCTCAGTGCGCCCAGGATGTCTGCTCCACTATTTCAAGATGACAGCAATACATGTGCTCATGACACTAGAGAATTCCAGATCCTGTGACCTTCCCATCGCTAAATCCCCACAATGAGCACTTGACCGCTCCGGATCACGATGCTAGGGCCTACAGGGTACTCGGCGGTGCGCACATTCTTTTTCTCTTCGCGGGTGCGGGATTCTTGAGCGAAACACTGCCGAAATTCATCAACCTACCATAGAGCTATGCTCCGGTCGTGATCAGGACCACTGGATAGATTTTGTAACAGTTTAGAGGTGCCATCGGAGCGCGTACCAAGCGGAGGCCCTTTGCTTTGACCTTTTGGGCACTTGATCCGTTAATTGTCTAGGGACCAGCTTGCGTGGCTCCACATGTAGCCCTTATCATGCGAATCTGTGGTCATGAGCGCCCCCGCAAAGGTATAAGAAGGGGCGTACATGTTGTCCATCGCCTCCAACCCAGCTGCGACTCCCATCTCATCATGTTCTCCTCTGGCTTCTAACTCTCTGTCTCGAAACGATCTCTCGTCATGCTCACGACCCTGTGGCTCTGTCTTCCTCGTGCGAGACCGATAAGCTACTATCACATTACTCTCCGGTATGTGTCTCCGCTTGAACCAAACCCGCCTTGTCTTGTTAGCTAACTGACACCACACCAACTTTGACGCACCCAACAGCCACCACACAACGAAACGCTGTCGAAGGTAGCTGGCGCGGGATGCCGGCGAGGCGCGGTCCGCTCACCAACGTACGTCGCGTATAATGTCTGTAGTTCAATAGCAAATCACTGAACTACCGAGCTTCTGCAGGTTACGCGGGGCCGCCTCCGCAGGCCCGATGTTTTTCGGACGTCGGTGTACAGGCCGATGAAAATGGGGAGCTCGAGCACCACGTTACACTCGCGTCTGCCATGCAGCCAAAGGCTTGTTGTAGACGACGACGACGACAGCCGGCTACCATCTCGCTCGTCGTGGATCGCCGATTTCCGGACCGAACGTCTTGACTTGCAGCCGCCACTGACACCCTGAGCAATGTGCCGATAGCGCTATATGTCCCACTCGTGTACAAGTGGCGTTCACAAGTTCCCGCGAGTCTAGCCCCCGGCCCTTCCCCCCCTCCCAACCGTCTGGTGGCCCCGGCTCTCTTCCTACAGTGTCGCCCTCCGACGCCTCCACTTGCGCCCTCTACTCCCATCAATGTCCCGCACGGCATGTTCAAGTTCAATCAATATGCCAGCGATGTGTACACGGTCCCAGCGTATGGCTCGAACACTCCCTACGTGCCGGCGGGCCAGAATTCCGCATCCACATCCTCAGCCTCCTCCGTCCCCTGGACGCCCCGCACCGCCGCCGCACCCGTGTTCACCTTGGCGCAACATGACAAACGGAAAGTACCCCTCGTCCATCCCCAACGCTGCACATGCACACGCCCCGGGAATGTTGTTCCCAAGGCTGCGGTGTTGCTTTTCGCATGTACAAGGGCATTCTCTGCGAAGCGGGCACTGCTTGAGGACCTGTGTTCAGCAGACATGATGGGCCGATGTATGAAGGCGTCCCAGTACTCTTTCTCACGGACGATCCTGGAAATCTCACTCTGGTAATGAGGAGACTCATGCCGCCCCAATGGTACGTTTGCTAGCTCCAGTATCCAAATGCTTTGTACTTATACTCATACTCTTGTCGTAACCATGCTATACAGAATGGGTGCCGCTCCTCCAAACCTGCTTGAGGTTGCCACCTGTCCGCATATATCCAAGTATGGGATGGAAACATTGATCACGCACTGCCTGGACATCCTATTAGATCGATTCCCTTGCGACTTCTACGAATGGCTGGACCTGGGAAGACCGCACGTTCCTACGCACACTAGAGGAGCAGTTGGAGTTCCTTGTGCGCCTCGAAGAAGCGCGACGGGCTGAAACACTCCCCTTACGCAACCCCCAACCTGACTCGGATGGTAGCCTTTAGGATAGCCCAGAAGATAATACACCAGCGCATACAGACAAGATGAGACGGTGCTCGAGAGCCAGAAGCGAGGGGAGAAAAGGACGTGATTTGATGACAACGGCGCTGGTCCACTGCCCAAGCGTATCCCCCTCCAGCGGCACAAGGCGGTCAACCCACGCGTGAGGCCGATAAGCTACCCTTCAGTTCACCTTCTTTCACCTTCTCTGCGACGGTATGTGCCTGCCTAACCATCTTTGCCTTAGTTCGACTGCTGACTAGACCGAATGTCCGCCAGCCTTCACATGCGAAATCAGCCAATAAAGCACATACCATCGCCCTGCACGCTTTGTACCTCCCTTTCATCCTTCCATCTCACCCACAGGGCAGTCTCGCCCTCTCCGCTTCCTCATGCTCCTCAGAGCCCCTCACGTCCTCGGTCGACTTGTACATCCGGAGCGAATGGCAGAGGACGTAGCAGAGAGGGAGATTGACGATGAAACACTCCCCTCTGCGGGCCCATCCATAGGACAATGGGTGACCTTCCTAGCTGTCGTCACTCCTACCAAGACGCAGTCGTTCCCTGCGCCTACAGCCACCAGACGGTCTCCCCGCAGCGCAAAAAGCGGGAGAACTCCCGTTCTTGACGCCCGCAGGCGCTTGAGAAGGCTACTACAGTGAATAGCAACGACTACGCGGACTATTTCGCAGCCGTAGACATGTCGGTGCAACCCGGCTTCGCCTGCAATGCCACCATCGTCGCCGAAGCCTCCGCGTTCCCACAGGACATCGCCTACGACCACCACTACTCCATTGTTGAACCCGCGCTTCGGTTGCTAATCTGGCGTGTCCTCGGGTCGTAGTAGCGCCATCCCTTCGACGCAGTGTTTCAGGCGGTTATCGAGGTCGCCCGTCCCTGAGCGTCTGGCTAGTCCGAGAGCCACGGGCCAGCATCGTCGCTCCTCCCGGTCCCAGCCACGATTCCAGTCAGCGTTCTCTCCTGGTTGGAGGCGCGATACGCACGATAAGCCCCCATGAAGACCGCCAAGCGAAGGGCGAGGCCGTATATCGTCGCACACGCCATATATACACTCGTCGATGAAACACATGTATATACATAGTTGCATCTAACATTGCGCTCTGTATCTACAATGCACTGCTTCAAGGAAGTTTGTACGACGATATGACTCCTGCATGTCTTCGAATAGTCATCGCGAGCCGCAGTTACAAGTCTACGCGGATTAGACTGACGAGCTGCCCCTAGTTCTAGTAACAAAGTAATCTTCAGTTTCTCGGTAAGTTTTCCCAATCCGTTTCGGCTCAGCATACGCCTCCTGTCGCAAGGCAAAGTCAACCCTAGGTCAGAAGCATAGTTTTCGGTGTCAGTTGTCACGTACCTCACACAAATTTACTTCGTCAGGTCCAATGCTTCTCTCAATGCTGTAAAGCCTCGGTCCAGCTCGTTGTTGGCCGTGCCTAGGTTCCTCTTCAGACGACGGCGAGTGACGGCAATGTCAACGTAGGGGTGTGTATTCTTCACAGCGAGCCACCCACTCTCCAACTCACCTATTGCCTCCTCTGAGATCACGTCGTACTTTGCACCCTGTTCGCACAGACCAAGCAGTGGGGTAACGACCAGATAAATGCCGTAGGAGAATGAGTGGACGAACAGGCCGGCTTCGCGTTCTTCTGCCGACATACTGCGCGCGACCGCTTTCCAGTCTAATCCCTGAATTGTAGTCGCGAACCGAGATAGAATGTCTTTCCCGCGATGGCAGATGAGATTTGTTTCCGCGCCAGATAGTGGTGTGTCTTCCGAGAGCGCACTCTCCAGACACCTAGCGACGCCCCTAGCCGCCTTGATCCAAGATAGGGATGAGTCGAAATCTCGAAGCTCTGCCAGGTCCACGTCTTCAACCCGCCGCTCGTACACTGTTAACACTATTACACGTATCAGTAACCGGACACGCCAAGGGTTCCAAGTGGAGACGAACCATTTTGACACGCCCTGTACGACAACCGCATGCCTCGCGCTTGGTACATTGCAAGCTGGTGTTCGAGTCTCGACAGAGCCAGCTCGACAACATCCCCACGTCCACCTGCAACCAGAGAGAACGTCGAGGTGCAGAGTTCCACGTCAGGGAAGGGCACGTTCGGAAGAAAGCGCTCCAACAAAGACTTCGAGTGCGCCGTCCACTGAACGTACATCTCTGGCGAGCAAGTGTCTCAGAGCCATCAACACCGGACGGACGAGGAACTCCTTGCGGACGCTGTGCGTGTGCCGCCACGCGCTCTTTCCCCACTGTCCCTCTCACGCCCCGAAGATGTCCTCGAAGCAGAGCGTAATCTGCTCTCTCGGCAGGTCCGAGAGAACGACGTGCAACGTCTCGAGGTAATGTGTGGATAGTGTGGTAGTATATGGCATGACAGCGATACTCTGGTCGAGCTCCCTTGGCGCGTGCGGGATGTCCGACCGTTCCCGCCCACGCCAGCCTGGAGTTTCCTCCAGCCTCCGGGCCCACAGATCCAAGGTAGCGAGGGAGCGGAACAGGTACCGGGTGAGCCGACGAATCGACCTGGCCCTGGCGTGAACCATTCTGATCACACCGTTTCGGCCGATGCTGTAAATGATGTACACAGCCACCGCTTGTGGGGAGCGGTAACAACAGTCCCATCGGATTGTCGGCAAGATCGTCACGACGAGTTGGAAGACCACGAGTGCACCGACGAACGCCGACGCGGAAACGGCCACCTTGGGATGAAGAGACCACAGGAGGATGAGCAGCCCCGTGAAGAACACAAGGGCAATGTGGAGCAAGAGCGACGGGATGAACACGATCGCACCTACGCGCCGTCGCAGGCGACCATTCAGACGGTATTGACGGAGCCAAAAGACGGCTGAATCTGATGTAGCGGGCGCGCGGGCTGACTCAGTTGAGGTAGTAGCCGTTGAACGAGAAGCCGTCAATTTGTTTGGATATCTGTTCAAGGACAGCGAGAGTGGCATCGTTTGGACCTGGCTGCAATGCCATCTTGCCGACACTGACCGCCGCATTGCGTTCCTTCACCTCCAACTTGAATCGCTCTCGGTCTGGCAGGCTATGGTACTCCTGGGATGCTGCCTTTGTAAAAATACTGACGTTGCCTCGACCGTTGCGCATACCAGCCGTCTGCGGTCTCGATGGATGATCGCTAGCGAGGAAGATTTGCTAGCCGTTGGTGATGGGAGGTGGGGGCACAGAGGGAGACCCAAGCACCATGTTGGTGAAAGAAGTGGCTGCATGAACGTCCGACTGCAACTTGCGGGACTTGGACCTCGATGGGGACTTGTGGGACTGCGACAACGAATCCGGCTCGCGAGCCGTTACGGCTCGCCGGACATGAGAGCGGTCATGCTGGGGTTGGATCTTAACTATGACTTGTGCGCATCATGTTGTCGCTTGGGGCTGAGCTTTGCGATGTAGGTTCCAATACGCGGGCCGCAGCGTTAAGCCGACAAACATGCATAATAATACCCTGGAACTCACAGTCGTGATCGTCGACATACGCAACTCAAGATCCTCTTCGGCTTCGGGTGGGAAGAGGGAAAGCTTGGCTCGCGGTTGCATTTTCTGACGCGTCGCAAAATCCTCCGCCGTCTCCTCGCCAAAGCAGCAGTTGAACTCTTTCTTGTAGGCTCTCATCAACCAGTCGACGGTCTCCTTCCACCACATGTCACTGTTGTCTTCAGTCGCACGTGCCAGACGTGATTGCCTTCAGGACTGTTGACGAGTTGGTCGAGAAATTGCTCTTCTTGCAATCTCCACGTTTTGCGACCCATCCCTTAGTGTGGTACGTTAGCCAACATGATTACAGACAGCGTGGAATGGAAATGCTTACGACTAGATTCTTGTGTTGCAGTAATCACATTGGAGAGTTGCGTGCATCAGCGCAGAAGTACTAGCTCCTCATGGCGGGCGTGTGCAATAGTCTGTTGCCGACCTAACAATCTTGACATCGTCTCGGAACGAATTCGGAAGACCGTCCATCAACGTGATACGAATGAGTGCAACGGTCTCCGAAACAACGGAGGAATAATTCTATTAGACTATTCTATAAGCAGCATAGACTACAGGTTCTAGATCTAGCCTAATACCGAGGTCGGCAGAAAAATTCAGCGGCGCGAGCCTGAAGACAAAGAGGAGGCTGAAAGCATCATGTGGTGGGGGGAAGCGAAACACGCACGGGGATGGTGGGAAGACGATCATACTTGCTGACGAAGGTACGGGTGTAAAACTCAGCAGCAAAATTCAAGATACGACTGAACTCATCCGCGTTGCACCCGAGCAGTCGTTCATGAGTACCTTGCAGTGTCGGGGGGCATCCAGGCCAACGTTCAAGCATTTCGACGAAGGCGCATAGGTAGGGTCTAGAAGATTCCCAACCTTCTTCGGGGGGTGCGAGCCAACAGAACGTCGGTGGTCGCTCTTCACCGTCCAACGGCGGGACGACGTCCAAACCCGATGTACCCGAACCCCAGACCTGCGAGACGAGCGACTCTCGCATCCAACGGAGGAGCTCGGACCACTCATTTGATCCCGTCATCAATGCATCCAGGGCGAGCAGTTCGCAACGCCAGTTGGTTTCATGTGCCTCCCAAACCACACGGCGCTGAACTCCATGATCGGACAATGCCGAGTCGTACGAGATCGCCGAATTGCCGAATAGAGGTTGGGCTTCTACGCGGTACGATGGTAGCGACTGAGCCTTGCCGAAGAGACGACGTATGTTCGCCTGACGCTCGTGACGAACTTTGGCGCGGCCGATAGATGGACGGGAGTTGTCCTCCGCTCCCTCATTGACGTCGTAGTCGCCCCATAGCGCGTCGCGCCACTCGGAGACTGTTAGTGGCCGCCCGGCCACCGTCTTGTCAAAAAGTCGAACCCGACAGAAAGGACGTATCGAGATCCACTGGTGGAGATATCTCGCCGTCTTCGCAGGATTGGTCTCAAAACCGACTAGGGCATCCAGTAGCCAAGGCGGAGCAAAGAAATATCTGACGGATGCGCGTGGCTGGGGGAGCGGGCTGATCTTGGAGAGTGCAGTAGCCCATGCAGGCGGTATGAGGACGTTCTGCGAGGGGTAAAACTGTCGGAAGGGGTTCATGACGAAACTTGCCGCCTGAGGAGGGCCAGTAGGATTGTCCCCAACCGTAGCGGCGGCCGCAGCCCTCTTGGCGTATCTTGCTCGACTGCGCCTTGACGGTTGCTTGGGTGAAGAGCCAGACGCGGACTGAGACGACTGAGATGGTGCGGCAGGGAGATCGTGTCCGAGCGCTCTGGCATCCCGAGAGTTCTGCAACACGAAATTGGGGGCGGCGGGTCCCACCGTCGCGCTATCCTCGTTGAGAAAAGTGGCACCTTCTCGTAAACGTTTGGCCGGTGGCAGAGTGCCGTTCCCTTCGTCCTCGAGAAGCTCAGGGAGCCGGGAGTCACACAGTTGACGTCTGACCACCGTCGTCATCGCCCGCCGCCACTCTCCCGGCAAATTGAGGGCACCGGAAAGGTCGCGCTTGGCAAGAACAAGACGGGGATATGACGGTCTCTTCGAGAAATCGGGGGGAATGTCGCGAGGCACTACTGTCTGATAGATGACTAAATGATCGCCATATGGCTGCAGTAGCCACACAGGGACACCAGCACGGTGGAGCATCTGGGCAACGCTCGGATCAGAGGTGTAGGCCCCTAGGACGTCCAGGACAGCAAGTCGGCAGTCGACCTGCTCCTTGACCCTCATGCGAACTTTCTCCAGCCACTCGATGAGGCCGTAGAGCTCCAAGGTAAGACGTTGTACGTGAGCAGCCAGAGAGATGATGACACCGGGGACAGCAGGGAGACTCCGGAGCCGATCGAGGGCGTGGTGAACACAGACGACGAGGAATTTGCCGATCTCGTTCCAGCCCTTGTCGTCAGAGGGGCATTTCCGAAAACGCTCGATAGCATCCTCCACCTCAGTCGCCAGCTGCTTCTCGAGCTCTTTGTCGAGGAAGCCGAGACCGACAACGCCGCAGCTGAAAGGCTTCCAGTCCAGTCGGTACAACGTGCGCCACAGGACATCGTGAGGGCCATTGCGTCGAGGTTTCACCGGTATGCAGTGGATGTGGAAAGCGTCCCGAGTGAATTGCTGAGGCCAACGCGAATACTCGTGGCGCCCCCATCGGCCGTCGTCGAAGGTTGTAATCTCGCTGTGCGCGACGGCAATCTCGGGGACCCACTTTGCATTGGGCGTGGTGACGACAAAATTGGTCGACCATCCCTGAGCGTTGTAGGCCTCTGAGGCTACGAGTGCCTCCCACGGACCCACAGAGCCGGGTAGTGCTATGCAAAGGTCAGCTCGGAATTTGTGAGACGTGGATGAAGCAACTCACGTTGTCTAGTCTCCGTGGGCTGAAGCCATCGGGGAGGGACACGTGAGGTATCTTCAGAGTCGTGGTGCGTCGCTGCCCCGTGCTCGGCAGGAGGCTGGGCGTCAGAATTTGCCTGGAGGCTAGGGACTGAGGGACCAAGTGAAGAGGATTTCTGTGGCGATGTCATTTAAGGCGTGGGCGTAAAGTGTCCGGGAGGATGAGAGTCGGTGCGAGACAAGGGACAGGGTGTGATAAGTCGGCGGAAGCGGAGGAAACGGCCAAATCGAGCTTGCCAAAACGGTTGAAATTTGATCTCCGATTTGTCGTAGACAGTGCGTACCCTGTGTTCGTGTGCATTGCTGTCGGTGCTTCCAAAGGACTCCCGGAGTCACCAGAGATCTGTCTGGTTCTCCCGGAAGGTATCGTATCTGAGACGGAGGGAGGGTTTCTGCCCGTCTCGCCAGCCTCGAGGCTTTTGGGTCCGCGTTAATAGAATGATGAAGCAACTTAGAAGTGAGTAGAGACGAGACGAGGCCCGGGACAGGTCGGATGTCGAGAATTATGTTGTCCAAGCAGTCGTAGGCGATGTACAGCTGGTTTCAGCTCGCTTGTCGTGAGAGGGCCGCGCCGCATCTCACGCATTTGCCTGTTTTCCCCTCCTAAGCGCCCCCAAAGGAACTTCGGACGACGATATCTCCTCGACAGCTCAATGTAACCCCTTCATTCTTACGTATTCTGGCTCAGGATTACGACGCGCAGGGCACGGTATTGGATTGAAGTTGCGCCAACTCGACGTCACCAACTTCTGGGCATTCCCGCTCTTCCAGCTCCCTATTGGACTCGGACAACGTTGTTGGCTGAATGGTATGGCGTACTCTCCCGGAAATTGTCGGAATGGTGAAGACAAGACGCTACCGAGGGCTCTGCCCCAAAAGGCGGAGTGTCCAGCACAATCACGTCCACCATAGGGTGGGCCCGGGTGGCAGCCCTCTGGGCCAGCTCAAAGTCCTCGTCGGGGAGCACCAGACACTATGACTTTGTGAGTAATCTGCACCTCCATAATCTCTGTGGTCTTGCAAGGCATTAGGGGCCATGTGGTCACTGTTGAGTAGGGAGGAACAGACGAGGTGGGTAGATTGGAGCTGCAAAGGAGAGCTTGTAGAACACTACGATTAGCAACTGGTACGATTGTAACAGTTCGTAGGCATGCAGTGGGCACATTTCAGATGTTTCGTAGCAAAGAATGTGTTGGATTTGACGATATACGACAGAGCGGTATACTCGACATGCACCAGAACCCTTCGCAGAATATAGAATACGTGGATCGTCGGCCTCTTCTGCACCATATGCACTCCGTAACATCCACCAACAGCTTCCAATGAGCCTTCTGGGTATCTCCATGGGTTGTCCAAGGATATATGCGCGACAGATGCAGAAGACGGCGTGAGATCGACCGAAGGCGAGTGGAACGTCCGATATACGAGCGGCCACCTTGATTCCAGCACCGTGCCCTGCGCGTCACATTCCTGAGTCAGAATATGCAAGAAAGAGATGAATATGTTGAGTAGTCCAGGAGATATCGTCGTCCGAAGTTCCTTTGGGGGCGCTTAGGAGGGGACAACGGCTGTACGCCAAAGCGTCAACAATCCAGACGTGATCGTGTTGGCGCTCGCTTTCGTATCTCCCCAATCCTCTGCTACATAATGCGTGCATCCTGCCTGGGTATGAGGGACCGCGAACCCTCGAACCTCTCTCTTCATGCCCTTATCGTTCGCCCCGCCGACCTTTGCTCTACTCCTCTACCCTCTCAATGACCTCACGATGGCCTATCGAGCAGGCCTGGTCGACAGCTACGGTATCGCGGGAAACCTAGCTCAATCATTGGGCTGGCCGCGATCCAAGTAGGTGCTGATTTTCTGTGTTTTCAGCGAGTATCATCCCCCTTCGGTGCCCCGTTTCTGGCCATCATCCCACCAGCCAATGGCCCTCCCCGGAAGCTCTCCTTTCGTCGTCTACCGTAAGCACGAGGAGTCCTGGTTTGAGATGGCCCCGGCCTCGACCTATACAGCTCGGACTGCTACGTGGAAGCCGCACACCCCTGGCACATTCCGACGCCTCCAATCGCGCCCTCTACTCCCATCAACGTGCCGCACGGCATCATCAAGTTCAATCAATTATGCCAGCGATGCGTACACGGTCCCAGCGTATGGCTCGAACGCTCCCTACGTGCCGGCGGGCCAGGGTTCCGCATCCACATCTTCAGCCTCCTCCGTCCACTGGACGTGCAGCAACGCCGCCGCACCCGTGTTCATCCTCAGTGCAATACAACAAACGGGCCAGTACCCTTCGTCCATCCCCAACGCTGCACATGCACACGCCCCTGGGGACATTTTCCTCAAGGCTGCGGTGTTGCTTTTCGCATGTACTAGGGCATTCTCTGCGAAGCGGGCGCTGCCTATGTTCAGCAGACATGATGTATGAAGGCGTCCCAGTATTCTTACTCACAGACGATCCTGGAAATCGCACTCTGGTAGTGAGGAGACTCATGCCGTCCCAATGGCACGTTTGCTAGCTCCAGTATTGATATGCTTTGTACTTATACTCATACTCATGTCTTAGGTGGAAACGCTTTCATTCTGTGCATCTGGTCTACCGTGGTCCCTAAAATAACGTGTTATCCTAGGATATGACTCATACTCATGTCTTAACCATGCTATACAGAATGGGTGCCGCTCCTCCAAACCTGCTTGAGGTTGCCACCTGTCCGCATATATCCAAGTATGGGATGGAAACATTGATCACGCACTGCCTGGACATCCTATTAGATCGATTTCCTTACGACTTCTACAAATGGCTGGACCTGGGAAGACCACGCGTTCCTACGCACACTAGAGGAGCAGGTGGAGTTCCTTGTGCGCCTTGTCAATCTCGCGCATCTACTACAGTACTGCAACTTTGTTACCGCCCCACTTCCGCTCGCACGTACGATTCCAGAGGTCAAGCGTCTCAACGGGCTCACACTCTCCGAAGGGACGACGTCAAGCTTACCCGATGCATCGTCGCGTTCTACACCGGCAGTTCTGGGAGGAAGGTACCTGTGGAGTCTTCCCTCTTACCTGCATCCCCTCGCCGTTTTGACTGTTCTTCGCGGTCACATCGCACCATGGTCCGACGTCTCAGACATCGGAGCTGTGCGACTTCTTCCTCAACGAGGAACTATGCGCTCCTCTTGTGGAAGAGGTCGAGTGAAGCTATGCTGAGCCTTCTGGAGCATGCGGTAGTGATAGGTGAGCGTTCCTCGATACAGTCTTGAGCTGACTGTCCTGAGACCAGCTCTTTCTCGAGCCAATCATAGGCGAGGGGTCGTTGGGGACTATTGCGGGTGCTGGTCCTGTCGGAAGCCCCCGAGCCGTCGCAGTCCGTGCCCCTCTGGCCACAGCCGTTCCCCTCGTATATGCCGCCCCCACCTGTGAATGACCACGGCCCAGCCTTGCTTTCACAAGCGTTACTGCCATCGCTCATCGCGTCTCGCCATCAGCTCAATGGTCCTTTTTCACCAACTCGCGTCCAAGACCAGCGACGCGTCGCGTGGACGTATCATTCCTCGAAGTCGGGCTCGGGGCGAAGTTCGCGGCAAGCGGAGCGGAAGGGAAGTCGACAACGGCAACGTCGGTGAGGATGGTTTGATCGGCGCTATGTGTGCTCCCCCTCGCACTCCGATTCCGTCTTATAGCTGGCGAGGCGGAGAGGGGAGATGTCACCTCCAAGTCCGGAAGCGTCGCGTCGTCTTTGGACAAGCTCTTATACATATAGAGTGGTCAGTGATGCCCGGAGGACGATCAGAGTGTAAGCTGCCCTACTGTCAGCGTAGGGACTCGCAGCCCGGTGTCGCCTCCGCAGGAAGTAGAAAGCCAAGACAACAAGGCTTGCGAAGACAGTTCTACCCCCAACGACACTTCCCGCCACGATTCCATCAAGGTTCGTCTTCGACGCCACTTGTCCGCTCTGCCACGTCTGCGATGTAGTAGGGGTGGCTGTGGTAGATCTGGAAGGAGTGGGTGTCAGTGTTGAAGTAGCAGTAGCAGGTGCCGAAATGCTCGGTTGTGGTCCTGGGACGATGGCTGGGATCTGATTTTCCTCCGGGTCTTATTTGACAGCAGGTCGAGAATGGTCAACGGCAGGGTTCATAAGTAGAGACTGACGAATTGCTGCCAGCCTTTGACCTGTGCTCAGATCAAAGGTATCATTCTGTATGTACCGTTAGTGATCTAGTCGCTGGTCTCATAGAGGGTAGGACACTCACTGCGATAGGTAGGTACGCCCAACCAGGTACTGCAGTGTCGTTTCCGGGACTGTAGAACCTGTGATCTGGTCATTAGGTGCAGAAGATGTCGCAATATAGTCACACCTACTGTTGCATGTAGAATTGGACACATCCCGGGCCCTTCAAGTATACACTCCATCTGAGTGACGCGTCTCCGTTAACGCAAGACACGATGGCGCAGTAGCGGTGTGGCGAGGTACTCAGGGATCGATCGCGAGACCGAGGCCCTGACAAACCGCGCACGCTGCTAGTGTCGAATACCAGACCGAAAAAAACACGGACATATCCCTAACTCCACCTCACCCATCATATTTTGGGATGACGTGTAGTTGGCGCCAAGGGCGAGGGCGGGAGGGATGTTGCAGTCGTCACAGCCGAACCCGCAAGACCTGAATAGCTTAGATGTAACTTCGCAAGAACTCTGGTCCAGGGAATTCAACATCTGCGAGGCCGATCAGCATGGTAATTTAGACGTGAGGGTGTAATTGCAAAGCACTACTACCCAGTCGAATCCTGCGGAGCACGTCGCATTCGTCGTGGTGATAGAGGCCATTGATGAGCAAGGTGCGAAGTCAAGAAAGCAAAAACAGAGGCCAGACTACACCGCGCCGCGTCGTTAGCAATAGGGAGGATGTGCCCATCTGGGAACTGTCGCAGCGATCTGTATTATGGGACACCGAGAGAAAGGTTTCAGCTACCATGCACTTGCCATCGTTGCAACCTGTACTGCATGTCAGATTCAATCAGCTCTATGAGTTAGCCGCGCGTGATTCTGCACGCAGAGGGCTAGACAAACGGACTCGCTGTGACCAGCACGACGTGCCATCGATTCATCATCGGTTTCGCAACTTTCGCTGGGGACAATCTCGCCGAGAAGCATCATACTACAGTGCGGTGACAGAATTACCGAGTCCGAATTGGAACAGGACGCGCATTCGGATTGTTGCTCTAGGTCTGCACCCCTGTTCTGAGCTGTCAGAGGCTCTCGACGCGCGACGGGGGGGTGATAATAAGAGGTCCAGCGAAACTCCGTGGCCGCGAGGTGGTCAGCGACGCTGAACGTGACCGGATCAATGGCCGGTTGGGTTCCCGGTGGCTGTGTGATGGACGCAAGCGCTATCAATATCAGACCAGCATCGTCCCTCGAAGGGGCCCCTCTAACGCCCTTGCGCGAAGGATCTCTGCTCCGCCATGTCAACATGGCATTGACACATGTGCTCAGTGAACAGGAAAACCTCAAATTCTGTGACCTTCCCATCACCAAGTTTCTGCAATGAGTACTCGACCGCTCCGGACCATAATATGAATGCTTATGCTTGGGCCTGAGGGGTATGTGAATAGCCTGCACCCGACACATTATTGTTCTCTTCGCTTTGGGATTCTTCAGCGACATGCCATTGACCATTATCACTCGAGGTGCCGACCATACAGCTATGCTCCGGTTGCGATCAGGACCAATGGACAGATTGTCGTAACAGGTTGAGGGTGCCATTGGACTCGGAGCCTGAGAGCGTAGTAAGCGGTCCTTTGCTTTGGTCTTTTGCACTTTTGATCCGCTACTTTCCGTTGAAAGGTTTGCGTGGCTTCAGGGGCGGCCCTGATTATGCAAATCTGTGGTCACGAGCGCCCCCGCAAAGGTATAAGAAGAGGCATACATGTCGCACAACTCCTCCAACCCAATTGCAACTCCCATCGCATCATGTCCTTCTCTACCTTCTAATCACCTGTCTCAAAACAAACTCTCGTCATGCTCACGCCCTCATGGGTTCTGTCTTATTCGTGCGAGGCCGATAAGCTACTATCACATTACTTGCCGGTTTATCTTGAGGCATCTATATTTCCGCGTCAGTACGTGTCTCCGAAACCAAACCCGCCTTGTCTCGTTAGCTGACTGAAAGAAAAACAACGTTGACGCATCCACCAGCTATTACAGACCGACTACTCTGCTGCAGGTAGCTGACGCATGATGCCGGCGGGTTCCGGCCACCAACGTACGTCCCTGATCATGTCTGTAGTTCGACAACAATTCGTTGAACTACTGAACTTCTGCAGGGTATGCGGGGACGCCTCCGCAAACGCGAAGGTATTCAGACGTTGCTGTGCACGCCGATCAAAATGGGGAGCTCGAGCAGCACGTCACATCCGCGCTGTCGACGCAGCCACTCCAGGACGCGCCTACCATCTCGATAAACAATTGGCCAAATATTCGGACCGAACCTCTGACTTGGCAACGCCAGCACATATCGACACCCTACTCCGCCATACCACCGCGTTCCATTTCTCCGCATCGGGTGTCGATCTCGAGCTTACCCGACACGTTGTCGCGTTCTACACCGCCAGTTCTGGGAGGAAGCTTCTGGTAGAGTCTTTCCTCTTACCCGCATTTTCCCCGCCGTTTTTCCGTTCCCTCCTCCGACCTTCTGTCCAGCATCATGATCGGAGCTCTGCGACCTCTTCCTCAACTACGAACTGTGTCCTCCTCATGTGGAGGAGGTCGAGCGAGGCCATGCTGAGCCTTCCGGAGCATGTGGTAATGATAGGTGAGCACACATCGATGCAGTCTTGAGTTGACTGTTCTGACACCACATCCAGCTCACTCGCGGGCATAGGCACCGACCTAGAGTCTTCCCTCTTTCCTGCGTTCCCCCCGCCGTTTTCATCGTTCTTCGGTGTCCCGTCACTCTCTTCTCCTCTTCTCCTGTCGGAGAAGACTCGACAGGAAAAGGTTCAGGTATATCGCAGCTCGTTCTCGAGCCAGTCATAGGCTGCCAATCATTGGAACTAAATCTATGGGGGGTACCGCTCCTGTCGGAAGCCCCCGAGCCCTCGGAGTCTGTGCCCCTCTGGCCACAGCCGTCCCCCACGTATATGCCGCCTCCAACCTGTGAATGACAACAGCCCAGCCTTCCTACACAAGCACTACTACAACTGCTGATCGCGTCTTGCCATCAGCTCAATGGTCCGTTCGCCAACCCGCGTCCGATACCAGCGACGTGTCGCGTAGAGGAATCATTCCTCGTCGCCCATGGCCTCTCCATACCACAGTACTCCGCCCTCGGGCTCGAACACTCCCCTCACGCAACCCCGGACCTGACTTGGATGGTGGTCTTCGTGATAGCCCAGACTCACCGCCTTGTGCCGCTGGAGAGGGCTTGCTGCATCGCCAGACTCGACGGGGTCCGCGCCTCTCCACCGACTCACCTCACCAATCACAGTCATCAAATCACGTCCTCTTCGCTCCCTCGCTTCTAGGTGTCCCAGTACCTTCTCGTTTCGTCTGTATGCTCTGGCGTATCATCTTCCTCGCACGAGGCCGATAAGCTACTCTCCAGGCCAATGTTGGTCAACATCAGCCCAGTGGACCGCACTCTCCTGGGGGTTGAAATGGATCACCACCTTAGGCCACGTTAAAACGCGGCCCGGAGAGGGCGTCGGTTGCATCGGAATCCTCACGCGCCTGCTGGAGAGAGGAGAGCCAGTCCGCGTGATGTACCGTTGACCTGAGGTTCACCTTGTAATATCCACATCTCTGCGACGGTATGTGCCTGCCTGACCATCTTTGCCTGAGTTTGACTGCTGACTAGACCAAATGTTCCCCAGCCTTCACATCACGAGATGAAACCGACACAGGAAGTCTGTGATCTTCCAGAGCGCCGTCTCGCCACCGATGTAAGTCGTCCGTCATGTCGCCAAGTCTATGGCAAATGACTGAACTACTGTATTGCAGAGTGCGTCGCGCGACCTCCTACGAGACCAGTCCCAGGATTCCCTTTCATCTCGTTGAACATATCCTGGAATACCTGACACAGCGAACAAAGCACACATCGTCGCCCTATGCCCTTTGTACCTTCCTCTCATCCTTCCATCTTACCCCAACGGCAGTCTCGCCCTCTCCGACTTGTACACCCCTAGCCAACTCACGTTCTTGACGCCCGCAGGTGCTTCAGAAGGCTACTACAGTGGGGTCTTCGTCCACGATTACACGGAGCGGCGACTCCGAGTGCCTGCACATGTCGGTGCAACCCGGCTTCGCCTTCGATGCCACCATTCGGATGCCCCAGCCTTTGCATTCCCTACAGGACATCCCAGCCCTTCGACCACGACGCGGTGTTCCAGGCAGTTATCGAGGTCCCCCGTCCCTAAGCATTCGGCTAGTCCGAGAGCCAAGGGCCAGCATCGTCGCTCCTCCCGGTCCCAGCCACGATTCCAGTCAGCGTTCTCTCCTGGTTGGAGGCGCGATACGCACGATAAGCACGCGTGAAGACCGCCAAGCGAAGGGCGAGGCCGTATATCGTCGCACACGCCATATATACACTCGTCGATGAAACACGTGTATATACATAGTTGCCTCTAACAATGCGCTCTGTATCTACAATGCACTTCTTCAAGGAAGTTTGTACGACGATATGACTCCTGCATGTCTTCGAATAGTCATCGCGAGCCGCAGTTACGGGTCTACGCGGATTGGACTGACGAGTTGCCGCTGGTTCTAGGATACAATGTGATGTCCAGTTTTCTCGGTAAGATGTCCCAATCCGTTTCGCCTGCCAAACTTGAGCTTTCTACTCTTCGGTGAACTCCTCTTGAAGCTCTTTCCTCAATTCCTGCAAATCACATGAAAAGGGCCGCGCTTGCAGGATCACTAGCATGCATTATTCGACGCCTTACCTTGCGGGTTGGGAGACTTTAATTGTCCCGCGACGGGAAGTCTCCATTAACCTCATCCAAATTGCCCATGCTTGTTCGAGTACAGTAGACACTAGGAATCAACATTGCAAAGAGGGATGAAGCGACTCGGAAGGAGTGCACCATATGCAAAGGAGTGTAGGAGAAGTGGAGTAAACGCACAGAACACCGTTGCCATGTACGCACATTAAGGTTCAACGTTCAACGCCAACGCGCAAAAGGACACTGGCATCGGAAAGGGAACAGACGCTACTGCCGGGGCCTCAAGTAGAGAACGCACCCCGGCTCCCCGTCGTGCCCTCCCAAACTATACTGTTTGGGGAGCAGGAGCCGTGAGAGATATCAGAGCAAGGAAGTAGTTATAAAAGCCTAGCTAATTATACCTGCATTGAGAACAGTACATGGTGTCGTCTTCAGAGAACTCCGACGGTGACAATATTATCATTGGTGTCGGGCCTCGGCACGTTCCGGATGCAGTGCCCAAAGTCGCCGTTCGGACACACCCCACTGGCACTCTACCCCCACCACTCCGAGTCCCTCTGGCCAAGATCCGCTGTTGCAACTTCATCGAAACATACTATCAGAAACCGGAAAGATGAATACGAAATCGACCCAGGTATCTATCCATCGCTGAGTCCATGACACGACCGGGCTGTCACGCTTCGAACAGGGAAGTTCTTTCCGGATCGTTTGACCACGGAACATGTCTACAGCAATTCCTCCTGGTCTTTGCGCATCTCTGTGTTTCACAGGAGCTGCTGGGCACGTTGTGTGGAGCAGAAGTGTTGCAAGCATTTTTTCACTTGAAAGGTGTGACCACTGGCAGCGAGCTTGCCCAGTGGCTGCGAGTGCGTCCGGAATGGCAACATCTACCGAGCCCGACATGCTCCTAGCCTGCTCATCCCAGATGCCGACCAAAAAGCTATGCTCCTGTCGCGAGGGAAACAATGGTCATTGGTAACAATTCGGAGGACGTTTCCGCAGCACATTGTAGGTGTCTTCGAGGCGCCGCAGCCAGCCATTTGCTTTGACCTTTGGCCCTTTGTTCATTGCTATGGCGCTTGGAACAGCTTGCGTGGCCCAAGGCAGCCATGTTCATGCCTGTCCGTGGTCTCGGGCGCTCCTCCAGAGGTATAAGAGAGGCATGTGTCTCCTCCACCGCCTTCAACCCAACTGCACCTCCCTTCAGAGCACCTCGCTTCTAAGTCTCACAGCTGCCTCCTTTTTTCATGATTGTCTGGGTTTCATCTCTCCTATGCGAGGCCGATAAGCTACTACCACATTACTCTCACCTTACGCCATTATTATCTCCGCAACAGTATGTGACTTCTTAACCACCTTGGCTGTGGCTCAACCGCTGACTGAAACAACTATCCCTAGCTTTCACACAGCGACACGCTACTAGGTGCGATCGACGCAGGGAGCTCGCGAGCTGCCGTCGCGTTCCGTCAACCAACGTAAGTTGTCCATGGTGTATCCAACTCCCCAGCACATGATTGAACCACTGGTACAGGGTGCGCGACACAGGCTCCAACTCACGCTCCTCGCGAAGCACGAGTACCGAGGTACCGAGCCGTCGGACGCCAAGGACGAGTTTCACGTCGACAACGGCTGTGGGCTCTGCGGAACCTGAGAGCCAGAACAGTGAGCTGAGCCTAGATCGGTCTTCTTGTCCATTGTGCGGTAACACTCCTGTAGTTTCTGGCATCAAGGAGATACACTCGAAGCCCCCATACCCCTTGGATGTTGAGCAACATCTACACGTGGGGTCACTTCGTTTGTCTAGTCGGTCTTATACTTGCTCTCGTAGTCCTCGCCTCGACTCTCCACGAAGGTACGTGTCTATTGGGCTTAACTGTTCCTGGTCAAGACCATCTGATGCATCCAATGAAGGCGTCGCGGTACCTCGTAGTCTGACTACCAGGGTTCCCCACTACACCCTGGTGAGCCCGAGGGTGTCTCGTCCCCTCCGTGTCTGCTTCATCCCCATCCCTCATCAGGTCCTTGACCACCCGATTTACCACCCATGGTACATATTTCGCGCCGACCTCATCGCTCTCGGCGTCCGTGCCATCCCGAGGTGATAGGTCGAGAACTCGCCGTTCAAAGGGCGCTTCAATTCCTCCCGCCGGTGCAACCCATTTTGTACGTTGCGTCTTGTTTGCGCCGATCTCCGCTCTCCTAATCAACCACTCGCTGTACCTACAGAACACGACACCCTCGTCCCAGAGCTGAAATACCCCTGAACCACAGGCATCTGCACTCCTCCTATCGCATCGTCGACCATTCCCGGCGCTCGTCACTCACCCACCATCCACGCTCCCATATGCCCTGCATCGCACACGCGCATCGCGACGGCATCCCAGAATCACATCCAGACCACTACAGCCATACCCCCTTGATGGACACCCTCGCGTATCACCCCATTCGTGCGAGTGGCCCAAATCTCTGGGGCTTCCGCATAGCTGCCATAGAGCCACGGCTCAAAATCCATGCCCCGCTCCTCCATCGCTTCTTGCGCACCCTCACATCTATTCAGCCGCATCATGTGAAGGTATGCGCTCACATTCGCGCCGAGCTCGGCGTTCGGTCGGTTCGCGAGGCGATGGGCAAGTTGCGGAGACACAATGTGAGCATTGGTACCTCCCTCGGCGATCGCTTGTTGCTGGACGTCCAGCGTAGGCAACGCCGTGCGGACCGCGCTGCCCAGCATATGGTGCATCGTGTCCGTCTGCCGGTTCAGCGCGGACGCACCAGTGCTGAGCCGTCCACATCAGTGCGTCTGAGTCGATGGCTGTCGATCCGAGGGGTTCAGGAACCCTCGTTGTAACACCAAATATGTGTCTGATTGCCTATAAAATTGCAATTTGCATACTGTACATGCATCGTTGTCTGATCATGTCGACTGTGTTTTGAGCCCAGTAGCTTCGCGCAAAACTTTTACCGTGTACTCGAGAACCTACAGGTAACGTTCCCCCCGTATAGCAGATACACTCAACCTTGGGACAATGTCGTCTTGCACTCTAACGACAGAGTTGATCGTCCGCACAGAAAGGTACGTCCCGCACAGCGGCACCCCTACTTTGGCTGTCGTACTGTCGCACGCGGTTCGGAGGCGTGCATCAGCGGAACCAAACGCGGTAGCACACATCCTGGCATCCTTACGCCCCCGATCGCAAACCGTCTCCTGCAGCCCTGCTCGCTGGATGTTTCCAGACGCAAAACCGCAGCGTCCTCTGCGAGAGGTGCGGATGGATCCGCCACGCGTTGTGTTCCGATCCAGGGGTGGGCGCGGAGCTTTAAGCGTCCGGCGACGTCCTCGGATGCCCATTGCGGTCATACGTCACGGTGCACTCGTGGCCGTGGGGAACAACGAGCGCACCAACTACAGCTGTGTCGGTGTGCCATCCAAGTGTTGCGATTGTCTTTACGCCTCGCCCGCCAAGTCTCAGTGCAAAAGTCCCAGTCTAGCCTCCTCGAGATCCAGTTCTCAACGTAACGAACTCGTCACCTGTTCCAGCAGCTTCGGGAAATAGCGATCCGGAGCGACAAGGCAAGATATACGGCGTCATCCTGGGTCATCTTCCCGGCTGCTTTGCCCGCGTGCATTCCGTATGGCATCAGGATGTCCTTCAGATACGGTCGCAGTTACGAAGGGACACGCTGGAGATCCCGGTGAGTTGCGCCCGAGTTAGAGGTTCACTGCCGGTTATGCAGGGAGTGTTTTGAAGCATCGTCCTCTCCGCAGCCACGTCCGGAAGAATCTCTCGCACCAGCAAAGTGGGTGCAGAACTCCGCAATCGGGGAGCAACGACGCCTAAGACGGAGATGGCAAGGGATCTCCTTTGCATGGAGTGGGAGTGGGGGTCGGTGACGCGAGCGCAGTTTGCCTCGCCCCTTCAACGTGGCGAGGGGCCGTTTAAGAACCTGCGCAGCGTCGGAACCTATCAGCCGACGGGGACGAGGCGATTCCACGCACCTGGGAGAGAGCGATGGCATCGAGCTTGCTGGGTACTGCGTCACTTTCGTCGGTGATGAAGTGAGGTCCACAACGCTCTGTGGAGGGAATAGTCTGGCTATAACGGTCACGTGCGAGAACACCATCCTGCCCCTGGAACAGAACAAGCGTGATCAGCATGAATGTACGGCGCATATACAAAGACCGAGGCTCACTCTGGCAAGTCGTGTCGCTGGGCATGCAGCATGCGAGCAGCGTCTTGTTGCCTTCGCTTCCCATCATGACGATACATGACGGCACATCCTCGTGTGCAACCTAGAGCGGCGCGTAGCCCGCGATGAAGACGTCCTAGACCATCCGAGATGAAGAAGCTAGAGCGTGGCATCTATCGCGGCTGTGTAAACAACCGTGTGGGGCAGGCAATGGGAGCCGCAGCGCAGCTCTAGCACGTCGCAACAAAACGGTGTCCTATGGCGCTCGGTGGTCGTGTTCTGCTAGTCACCGTTGGTCATCCCTTGAGCTTGGAAAGGGACAATAGTACGCTCTGCTTGCTCAGCAAGGGGTTGCAATACAGTGTACGCAAGGGTTAACAGCTCGCAAACTCGGGGTCTGGCGCAGTCGTAGGAAAACGAGGTGGCAACGTTGCCAGCGGAGCCGAGGTTTTTTTAGCTTTAGGTTTGGAGATGGCTAGAGTAAGGAATGAGCGCATACGGGGAAGGAGGCATAAATAGGACGACGTACCTGCTGCGGGGTGGAGCAGCTGCAGGGCGACTGGGTGAGTATGTATGCGCGGTCTGCGGAGGTGCTTCGGTTTCGGACGGACAGGAGCTGCTGGATGCGGGCGCTTCAGATGTTGCTACATAGGGTTTCACGGCGTAGCTGACGAGTGTCAGCTTAGAAGTTAGGCTTTGGTGGGGCCCACGCCCATGGCGATAAGTAGGCGTCGAGCGAAGGGTGTCGGGGTCGGGATGGGCAGGCCCAGTACTGGTATAATAGTGGATGACCGTAGATCTCCGGCGGGGTTCGATAGGCTTCGCTTGCTGGCGACGGAAACGGATGGATGTGTGCCGCATGACTGATTTGCGGATCGGCCGATGGTGCAGGGATTCACGTTAATATTAATGTCGTCCGTCAGTGAAGCTCTGGGCGTCGTTCGTGGACGGGTACAGTATCGAGCGTGAGCGTAGAGTAGATGGCCACCACGGCGGGCACATACTATTACGGCGGGCACAGAGTGGACAGAGAGGCGGCAAGCGCCGGATCGACGCGGGGAGCATACGTCATCATCAGCACGTCGGGATGCAGCCGCGGCGGCTGGGAGCGCCGGCCGAGTTGGCGTAGTGCGGAGCTGGACGGGCTCAGCGGCCTGAGCCTGGCTGCACGCACGGATTCGATTCGAGCCCGAGCCGGCCACAGACCGTGCACGGCTCCGCGACGCCAGCTGCAGCAGCTCTATTTCCAACACCCAATCTCCTTGCGGCTGAACGCTGCGAGGCCTATGTCACCTGGGCCACCCAGCCCCAGCATCCCCGTGTTTTTGCCCCCTCCGCATCTTCCAGCCTACCACACACCTCGACGGTGTTCGACTCACGTTCACGACTCTTCATGTCTACGACTTTTGCATCAACAACCCAGGCGCAGGAGGCTACCCCTACTCGGCCCCAGCTCCTCGTCAGTCCTATCTCGTTCGCGCGCACGCGCCGCTTCCTGATCTCAGCCGATTATAGGTCCGCACAACCCAATTTCTGAAGAAGGTCTCCACCTTCCGCACAAATAGCCGCAAAGCCAGCTCGTTCAGCAGTTCCCCCGAGCTTGCGACGCTACAGCGATCCGCTCGGTCCATGGACCTCGGCTCGAAGGCTCCCACCAAGGTGGACGTTCGCGCACAGCACCATTCGTTTGACCAGAGCAGAGACTCGGACGAGGACTCTCCCTCGCATGTATCTCTTCGGGGCTCCTCACGTCCCAACTGTACGTCGTCCTCTACTCCTGAATCTCCGCCCTCTCGTCAGATAGATGGCGTCCCCCACACTACCAACCCATTGCGTCCACCGATCGAGCTCTTGCCAACAAGATCTGCACACGAGCGATCGCAAATGCTCCCCTCCCGCTCCCCTCCCTCTGCTAGTTCCGCGACCGCGCCATCTGCAAATGGACATGTACAGCGATCCGCCGCTCGGTTCATAGACCTTGGCTCAAAGGCTCCTGAATCTCCACCCTTGCGTCAGTTAGAAGGCGTCCCCCACACTACGCGTTCCCCGTCTAGTGCCGATGAACTCTGGCCCCTAAGTTTCGCACACGAGCGATCGCAAACGCTCCCCTCAACCAGTTCTGCGACCCCGCCAACTGCAAACGGGCATGCACAGGCATACTCGACGCTCAACCCGTCGGCCCGCAGGGCCCTCGCACCCCGTCTCGCGACGCTTCCTCCACCTCTGATGGCACAGTATACCGCGGGAGGCAGCGCGCGGCTCACCCCGTCCCTCGTCACGCGACAGCCCCCGATGCCGCTCATGAACCTGCCCACCCTCCCCCCTGCGTCCCCTTCGCAGCCTCCTCGACAGACCAGAACGACCGCCCCGCTGCGCAGTCTGCCAGCGTTGCCCATGCGGGGGCCGGGCGACGCGGACCAGGAGGCGGACCACGAGAACGCGAGTCTGGAAGAGGAGGACGAGGACGAGGATGAGCACGCGGGCAGCGCAGAGCACGAGCGCGAGCCCGATTCCGACGACAGCAGCAACGAGGACGACACGTTCCCTCTTCCGTCCTCCTCCCTCGCCGGCCCGTCCCGGCCGCCCGCTCTGCCCGGCGTTGACACCTCTGCGTTCAGCGTCTCCTTCGGCGCGAGCACCCCGGACGCGACCGCTCGCGCCACCTCGTCTGTCGACTACTTCACATCGAAGCCGCCGGAGAGCGGGTATGGGCCCTCGGAGCGCACCCCACGCCCGAGCGACTTCGACTTCCGCGGGCCCGGGCATGGGAAGGCGCGTGCCGTGCCGGATCGCGCTGGTATACTGGCATCACAGCCGCGCATCGTGCCCATGCCACTCGCCACCCCCGGCTCCCCCGCGCGCCCGAACTTGTACCACCACGCGTCGAAGAGCATGGTGGACCTGATGTCGCTCGCGCGCAAGGACAGGGACACGATCATCTCGCCGAAGCTCGGGCGCACGCCCCCGAAGACGGCTCAAGGCCTGGTGTCTCCCAAGGCAGATCCCCCCGCCGTCCCCGCCGCCACAGTTCCTACCGTGATCGATGCGAACAAAGAAGCGGACGCGCTCCCGCCCCCGCCGCCAGAGTCGCCCGCAGACGTGATCACGTCCCCCATGCTGCGGCGGCGCCGCTCGCTGCCCGTGTACGAGCCCTCGTCGGACCCGCCCCCGTACCCAGATCCGCTCTTCCGGCGACGCCCCGCTCACGTGTACGCGTATGCATCGCCCCCTGAAGAGGAGGACACGGAGCCGCTGCCCCCGTACACGAACGCGATATTCCTCTCGGGCGTGATGCCGCGCAAGATGGAGTTCACGGCCCCGGGCGTGCAGGCGAAGGATCGCAAGTGGCGGCGCGTTTACTGCGTGCTCGAGGGCACCGCGTTTAGGGTGTACAAGGCGCCACCCGCGGCGAGCCGCGTGGGTGCGCTCGAGCAGTGGTGGGAGAGCAAGGTCGGTGCGGGGGATTCGACGAGTGTGGACAGCTCGGCGGTCACGGCGAGCGGGATCCGGGTGAGCGCAGTGAGGGAGCGGAGGGAAAGGGACAGGGACACGGCAGGGGAGGCGGGGGCGGAGGAGCGCATCCCGAAGATCCCGGAGGAGACTACCCCGAAGGGCTCGGGCGTGGGCGCGGAGCAGCCGCCGTCGGGCGTGAGCGCGAACGGGCCGCAAGAGGCAGAGCTCCCGTCGACGAAGTCGCGGCTGGCACTGACGTCGCGGTTCCTGCGGCGGCAGCGGTCGAAGAGCTCCTCCCGCCCGTTGGCGAACGGCACGCCGCCGCGGATGAGCATGGACTCGCGCGTGGCGGACCCCGCGACGCGGCATCCGTCGCACGCGGCGGGGCGGCACTCGATGGACACGCTCGGGTCGGCGAGGCCGTCGATCGCGACGAGCGCGTCTGGGTCGACGTCGACGTCTGCTGTGCCCTCGGACCGTGCCTCGGCGTCGACGTCGGGTTCAGGGTCGGGGTCGGGGTCGGGGTCGGGGTCGGGAACGTCCGTGCCGACGAGCATGAGCGAGAGCGCGTCGCGGTTCTCGCGCAGGAGCTTCCTCCCGCACTCTTCGTCGAGCACGAGCAGCGCTGGGGGCGGTGGCGGGAAGGACAAGGAAAGGGAGAAGGAGAAGGAGAAGGAGAAGGAGGAGGCGTACGTGCCCGACGCGAAGGACCTCATCAAGCAGTACACGCTGCAGCACGCGGAGAGCGGGCTCGCGAGCGACTACGTGAAGCGGAAGAACGTGATCCGGGTGCGGATGATGGGCGAGCAGTTCTTGCTGCAGGCCAAGGACGTCGCGGCGGTCGTCGATTGGATCGAGGTCAGTTGCGGCGGCGTTTTATGGGATGGTCTCTGGCTAACACGTGCGGCGTGGTTCCAGGGGATACAGATGGGGACGAACGTTGCGCTCGACCTGGACGAGCGTCCGATGCCGCGGGGCCCGATATTCCCCAGGTGCGTGTCAAAGTAGTGATTGTCGTGCGTGCTGCGTTGCTGACGGTTGTCGCGGTGTTGCATTTGTAGGCGGCGGAGGCGACGTCCACGCACTGTCGATGCTGCGAACCCTAGCAGCACGGCCGCGGCCGCGGCGGAGTCGTGAGATGCAGGCATCGTTGTGCTCCTTCATGACATCTGCATGCTAGTATACACGCGTCTACTCTGCCCGCGCCTTTGTTTCTACTTGCGGGAACAGATATCTGTACTTCCTTTGCTTAGCGTACTATGCGCATAATAGTTCATCGTTTGCATTGCTCGTCGTGATGTAGTAGCTATAATCGTCTGTAGAACACTCCATGCACCACATTCCTTGACGATCCACACTATACCCGCATCCCCGCTCGTTGCAGTCTATCATGTACTTTTCTCTCGTCCACCCTGTAAATGAGGTATTGGATTATCATGCTGTCGTCGCCTCTATGGGATATGATCGCATTTGACGCGAGCGAGAGCACGAACACAATTGAGGTCGAGATCAAGTTCAGTGAGCACCGAGCGCGGGGTTGAAAGCCCGACTGGACTCCGCTCGGTGCTTGTGGCGCACAAGGCACGAGGGATGGCCGACTCAGCATCATCCGACGCTCGTTATCTTTCGCCGCGTCCATCCAGTCCCAATTTTTCTCTTCTCTCAGCCGGCTGACAACACGCTCATCGCCGCCAACGTCGCCGCCGACATCCCCCACAGCTGCCCCAGTGCCGGGTGAATTTTCGCCCAGAAAAGCCTAGACCAAAAGCGTCTAATCGTCCTTGTTCTCCCCGCTCGCCCGCCTGCCCGAACCTCACGACCCCAGCCCGACCCTCACGACCTCACTCTTCACGACTGGCCCGCCGCCGAGACGCTGCGCTAGACATGGCGGACACCACCACGGAGATAGATCTCGACTCGGTCATCGACCGACTGCTCGAAGGTGAGCTTCCATGCCTCCCGGCCGCTGATGCGCTGGAGTCCGTCCCCCGCTGGGCCCCGCTGACCGCCCGCAGTCCGAGGCAACCGTCCAGGAAAGCCCGTGCAGCTCCAGGAGTACGAGATCAAGTATCTGTGCACCAAGGCGCGTGAGATCTTCATCAACCAGCCCATCCTGCTCGAGCTCGAGGCTCCCATCAAGATATGCGGTGCGTCTCCTTCGTAGTGTCTCTCGCCAGCCATGTTCGTCGTCCCGCTCACGCCTCGGGTGTGGCGCCGCCAGGCGACATCCACGGCCAGTATTACGACCTACTGCGCCTGTTCGAGTACGGGGGCTTCCCGCCAGAAGCGAACTACCTCTTCTTGGGCGATTACGTGGACCGTGGCAAGCAGTCGCTCGAGACGATCTGCCTGCTCCTGGCGTACAAGATCAAGTACCCGGAGAACTTCTTCGTGTTGCGGGGGAACCACGAGTGCGCGAGCATCAACCGGATTTACGGGTTCTACGATGAATGTGCGTTGATCCACGCCGCCCTCGTATCATTGACTCACCCGGGCTGCACCGCCTCCCGCACTCCTTGACTCATTTCGCTTGCTCGTTCCATTGCTCGCTCTCACTTCGCATGACGCCACCGCAGGCAAGCGTCGCTACAACATCAAGCTGTGGAAGACGTTCACCGACTGCTTTAACTGCTTGCCCATTGCCGCCATCATCGATGAGAAGATATTCACCATGCACGGTGGCCTCTCGCCTGATTTACAGTCGATGGAGCAAATACGGAGAGTAATGCGCCCCACGGATGTTCCTGACACCGGTACGCCTGTCATCCGTCCTTGATGTCGTCTCCGACCCCTCACACTGTGCGATCAGGTTTGTTGTGTGACCTGCTTTGGTCCGATCCCGACAAAGACATCACCGGGTGGTCAGAGAACGACCGGGGAGTGTCATTCACCTTCGGTCCAGACGTCGTGTCGAGATTCCTGCAGAAACACGACATGGATCTGATTTGCCGAGCGCATCAGGTACGTACTTCTTACGATTGAGCGTGCCACGTTCTCGAGGCTCGTGGCGAGAGGGCGTTGATCACGAGCCGTCGCATGACGCCCTGGTACTCTTGACAGGTCGTCGAGGACGGGTACGAGTTCTTCGCAAAGCGACACCTTGTCACCCTCTTCTCTGCACCAAACTACTGTGGCGAGTTCGACAACGCCGGCGCGATGATGAGCGTCGACGAGACGTTGCTTTGCTCCTTCCAGGTGAGTCTATATGTGGAGTATTCGGCTGCCGTGGCTCACGGCGCTTCTCTGCAGATTCTCAAGCCGGCTGAGAAGAAGGCAAAGTATCCCTACGGTGGTGTAAATATGGGTCGGCCGGTAACACCTCCTCGCAAACAGAAGAAGAAGGACGCGAACAAGATGGGCTGAGGGCTGCACCGTCAGTACTTATACTCTGTCTCGTGTTGTCGTCATGTCACAGACGCTCCTTGCCTCCCCCTCCCCTGCCCTCTACCCCCTCCCCTGGTTGGCTGTCGTGGCGCCTGGCTTTTGTTGTGGATATACATGGACACGTGTTATCAGATATGTTCGGCGCGTCGGACGGCCGGTGCGACGGGCGCGGAACCCGCGAGGGAACGTCAAGACGTCGAATGTGCGGGTAGGTGGTGCAGCCGTCGTGCAGAGGGGAGGAAGAGATCGCCAAGCAGTCGATGTTGGAGAGGGAGCAATGCAGATATGTAGACGCCATCGCGGACACGGGAATGCCGTGGCAAGCTGGGTGGAGAAAAGGAGCAGCAAGGGCTTCGATGGGGCGATCAACGGGAGGAGCTGCTGTAAAACCATCATCGACAACACCAAGACGGAGACGACGACGACGATGCGCGCGAGACGCACGCAATGCCGGACATTATCGCTGCATACTTTTCTTCTGTCACGTTCGGTTTATACGAAGGGGTTCTGTTCTTGTCTTTGCACGCCCATGGATCCCCAGCTAGTCCAGTTCGTTCGCTCCTTGCTTCACGCCTCCACGCTCGTTCTCGCTTACTTCGTCTCGAGTTTCCCGCATCCGCACGTATCCCATCTGCACGTACCCGTACAATCTCGTCGTCGAAGTGGCATGACCCAATCACTATCTATCTCATCCCCAACGGTGTTCTTCTCGCTTTCGCCTGTTTTACTAGCCCGTCGTGCCGCCTTCGCCTCCTCTTGCACTTGTCCTATCTATCACATTCCTTCTCCTACGGCATACCCTTCGTGTGGTGCCACGTATAACCATTCCCATTATACAACTCCTTTCGTCCGTTCCTTACGGCTTTCCTCTGTCTCAACAACTCTTCCGACGCTCTTCCTTACTCAGCTACGGTTTAACATATCCGTCTCTCATACTGTGTGTACACTCAAGCTGCTGCCCCCCAATTCCCTGTTTCTCCCTATCTCTTTCTCTCTTGTCGTGTTCTCGTGTCCGCCCGCTCTGCTCTGACGATGCGTCGATGTGAGAATAGGCTTAGGCTACGTAATACAACTCTAGTCTCCCGCTCGCTCTGCCGGGCGCGACGATCGTCCATGTTCGCTCGAGGCTCGTTCAGCCCACTCGGGGGCTGTATCGAAGCGCTGATCTCCTGAGCTATGTAGACTGAAGATTATTTCGTAGAAGGTTTAGTCGGGACTCAGAAAGCGTCCGGCGCACCCCGCGTGGGGATGTGCCTGTTTTACGACAAGAGAGGCGGCGACGTTCGTTTCCAGCCATTGCCATAGCGGAGCCAAATCCTGGGGCTGCTTCCGTCGTCCGGACTCCGAGGAATCCGGGGCCGGGGAGCGTCGCGCGCGGCGCATCCGCCCCAGGCCGCTTGCCACCTCCCTCCATCACCATGTCTGCCACCATGCTTAGTTTCGCTGCACGGCGCTGCCTCCGGACATCGCCCATGTCATCTACATCTGCGACAGTGTACTGCCAGCGACTCCTCTCAGTGACCGCGCGACGCGGCGCGGACCCGTGGCTGCTCCCGAATATGCCCGGGCACCTGGAGAAGACGACGTCGCCTCCCGACGCGCCTGCGCCGGAGCCGCTGCCGCGCCCCGGGGAAAGCGTCGAGAAGATGCGCGCGAGACTGGTGTACCAGAGCCGGAAGCGGGGCACGCTGGAGAGCGACCTGCTGCTGAGCACGTTCGCGCAGGAGAGGCTGGGGTCGATGGGCGAGGAGGAGCTGCGGGAGTTCGATAAGGTGCGCGTTTATCTCGTGCCCATGTAGCCTCTGCGGGGCACATGGAGACAAGGGAATATAGAGAAACTGACGGGGTACGTTTGCACGGCCATGGCGGACAGCTGCTGGACGAGCCGGACTGGGACATCTACTACTGGGCGACGGGGAAGAAGGCGCCCCCCGCGAGGTGGGCGGGTTCGAGGGTGCTCGCGAAGCTGGCGGAGCATACGAAGAATGAGGGCAAGGTCGTGCGGAGGATGCCTGATCTCTCGTAGCCCGGTTCACTCGCTTGCGTTCTCGACGTGCACTATTCTCCCTGTACGGTGCTTGGAAGCACCAGTAATGGAGGGTCATGTGGATTGTGTTCGATGGGAGATGCTAGCCAACATCCAACGTTCCTCCGCAACAGGCTATTACGATTGCAAGATTTCGTTTAGGCTCCTTATGCCCAGAGAGTTTACAATTTCACGCAACTGGCTACATAGCCACGCATGCACGCAGTCGCGCGTTCGCTTTCGCAGTTACAATACAAGGGTGCAGTCGTGTAATCGCAGAGTCGGGTAAGCGACGCTAAGGATCCTATTCTTGGTTCTCAGTGACCCCTGCAACAAAGGTCTTTCCTTGCGCAATGTAGATCGACTATAGTCCAAATATTCTCTACCATTTATCCAGTACTCAATGCGCTCAAAATGAGTCTACTCAAGGGGTTTGCAGGATGTATAGACTTGAGCCATGCCCTTCGCCGAACCCCCTGCCACCGGAGGGCGCTCCAGTTACAACATACAAGTGACGCGCAGTTACACGACTGCGGGGCACACACACAGAACTTGGCGAGCTTCGCCATCAATCGACTGCGTGAATACGTGGTTAGGCAGCCTGCTACGTAGCCAGTTGCGTGAAATCGTAAACGTTCTCGCAGCCGCGGCATTTGCCTGGCCTCTCTTTGGAACTTCGGACGACTATACATATTCCTCGGCAGCTCAACATATTTACTTCGTTTCCGCATGCTCTGGCTCTGATTGTAGTGTCAAGAGCAGAATGTCCAGAATTATCGAATACTCGGAGGTATGTACTACCAACGATTCGCAAGGTATGTACAAGCGGGGAGTACCGCAACTCCCGGATGCTGCAGCACGCACAAGAATGTGCGCACGCAACGTGTCAGAGCAAACACGTGTCCATCTCCCCAATCACGCAACTTTCGTCTTCATCAAGAACTTGTTCCAGCCGATCACCTTCCACCTCACGAGCGCGACAAGCACGAGAGTGGCGCCCACCGTCGTGCCCGCGAGGATTGCCAATAGTCATAACTCCCGTTTCGACGATGGAGCCGGGACCACCTTGAAGACGCGAGTGGCGTGAGTGTCGACCGAGACGGAGTACGTGCCTTGCGCGTTGCCCACCGGGGCGCCCCACTTGCCGGACGGATCCTTTTGCCAAAGGTCGTAGAGCGTGAACGTGCCGGAGCCGAAGGACCTGCCTTGGTCGACGAAGACATCAAGGAACGAGATGTCGACCGTCTGGTTTACAGGGGAAGTGTTCAAGACCGCGAAGACGTATTGGCTGCGAAGGGTGTTTCGGGGTCAGCATGCATGCGTGGGTGGCAGGACGGGGAGCACATACTTGTTAGACAGGCTACCTGACCAGAGTTGGATGTCGCCGCCCTGGGACGCTGGCTTCTTCCACACACGGCCGGCGGGCGAACCATTCGAGTCTTGGTTCACAGCGATGATAGCGTCGTTGGTGATGATCTGCTTTGTTTCATCCGACTGCACGCCCAAGCACCTTGCGTAAGCGAAACGGCATAGGCACCATGTGCAAGACAACAAACCATGCTCGTGATCTCGTTGCCGAGAATGAGAGGGCTTTTCACCAAGGCCCACATTGAGAAGTGCGTGACTGCAGGATCCCGTCAGGCGAACACTCTCATAATGCAGAGAGACTACTCACCATACTCGTCGTAGGTCATACCACCGTTGCCGACCTCGAGCATGTCGAGATCGTTCCAGTGGCCCTTGCCCGACTTCTGCAAGAGCGGAGCAGAAAAGTCGATGATGCGAGACATAGCGCAATCTGAGGCGGATAATCAGCACAGGCGTTCAGGTGTAAGTGCATGCATGTCGCTCACGGAAGCCAGCCAACTTGCAGTCCAGCACGCTTGTACACGGACAGCGGTCATCGTAACGGTCGAAGTTCTACAATGCAGTCAACATGATACCCTCTTGACCGGATCAGCGGAACTATCTTACATCGTAGATATCTCCAGAGATGCGCCAACTGTTCGCAATGTTCTGCAAGAAAACGATCGTCACGCTGGGCAGACGTGCCAAAAGCTACAAGTATATGACCTTACAACGGCGAAGCTCCATGGCCCATCCTCGCCCCAGTTGCACATGGAATATAGAATGGGACGGCCCGTCGCTAACAGGGCCTTTGACATGTTGTTATAGCGCTCGTATGAGACTTGGGGTGTGCCTGCGCGGCCTTCGTTGTTGCAGTTGTCATACTTCAGGTAGTCGACTCCCCAGGAAGCGTAGGTCTTCGCGTCTATTTCCTCATAGTCCAGGGAGCCGAACTTGCCGCCGCATGTGTACCTGACGTCGGAGCTCAGTCTGATTCACGGCACAGGACACCGCTTGAGTAGGTAGAGCTGATGCTTACGTTCCCGCGCTGCTGTAGATGCCAAACTACGAACACTTGAAGTGACGGAGAGATCGCACTCGTATGGCCGCGTACTAACCTTCAGGCCCATGGAGTGTATCTTGTCTGCGACGGCTTTGATCCCATCAGGGAACTTGCTCTTGTCCTCTACGGGAGCGCCAGTGTTGGGATCGCGAGCATCAGCTTGCCAGCCTGTTCCGATGCGTCAACATAGCTGTGCCGAACGGGAGGACGAGGAGGAACTTACAGTCGTCGACGAGGACATCTGCGGATGAGGACGTGTACTGGAGATGAAGCACTCAAACCTCAATCGCAGCTGCGTCTGTCATGCTCACATTCGTAGCCTAACTTGTACAAGCCGTTGGAGATGAGGGCTTTGGCCGAGTTCTCAATGGTATCCTGGCTGATCCCGCAGCCAAAATGGTTCCAGGTGTTCCAGCCCATCTGGGGGGTGCGTGCCAAGCCATTGTTAAGGGCCAGAACTGCTGGCACTGCCGAGACGAGAGTAAGGAGCGTACGAGCCATGAGAAGTGCGGGGTGTGGCTGGACGGTCGAAGGGCGATTTCAAGTTCATGAACTTGGAAAGCATGAGGAAGGGTTGTACTGCGGGCAAGGTCGGCTGGGGTGTGCCTTTTCTTGGCCCGCGTAAGTACTGAGACGGTCCATGCTTCTTCGCCCGCTGCCTCAACTCATACACCGATATCTCAGAGGTCCACAACACCTCCGTCGCGCTGGTCCTGCGTCATGTCTCGCGCACCCGCTCCCGAATATATGACAACACTGCTCACGAACGGATGCCATTGGACCACGAAGGTATGCAGATGTCGTTGAGGAGAAATCGCCAAGGGTGAGCTTCGCGGGGGGAGGAGGGGGGGTCCGTGCCCAAGACGCACAATAGGTTGGCGCGTGGCCATGCGCGGGAATGCTCAGAGAGCGAGAGTCTGCAAGAAGTGAGTGAATTGGCGCAGCAGACGAGGATTGATGCATGATGGTCGGATGCAGATGTGGTGCGGATTTGCGCGAGCGCCAGGACGATAAGCGAAAACGCTTTAATAAGTACATAGCCTATGTTCAGTGTGGTGAAGTCTGAATGTCCCGTAGCTGCATTCAGTATTTCTTCGTTCACCCATTTCGCGCGATGACACCGGGAATGTCGCGAGTCAACGTAAACGTTCATATCTGGACATGTTTGTGCTCGTACCATATGATAAAATATCCCAAGTGAAGGAATAGCAGACTGGCAGATAGATACAGCGTGATATAGTAAGTCATCGAGCTCAGCCCATCCAGCCCCCCGCCAACGGCCAACGGCACAGCAGCCACGTTGACACCGCGGCAAAATGTAAATCGAAACGCAACTATGAGTCGTCCTCATCCAGGACCTCTTCTACGCGGGCTTGTCTGCTCGCGGGGCGTGAGTCGTCCGAGTCGGGCACTTCTTCAATGCGTGCTGACAGGCTTGGGGAAGGGGAGCCCTCGCCATTTGTAGGCGAGACGGCCGCGGACTTGCCCTTCTTCTCGGACTTCTCGCTGCGCTTCTTCTTGGACTTCTTTTTGGGGAGGTCCCATTCCCAGAGCGGGATGAACGACTCGACCTGGGGCACGAAATTGCCATGCGTCAGTCATGTGTGCTGTTAGAATGCATGCGCCTTGACGGGGCGGGTAGGAATGCAAGCGAGACAAAGAGGAACACTCACGAATCCAACGTCTGCGAACAGTTTCGGGAATATCCAGATACCAGGGCTCGCGACGATGATGGTGATGATGAAGAATATTAGGCGGACGACCGCCAGCGCGAAGAACAAGCCGATCAAGCCCAGCACGCCGATCGAGAGGTACCACACACCCAAGCGCATGATGGGCGGCCAGAGAGGGAACATGACTCCCCCGAGCATGACGGCAACCATAGCCACACCGCCCAAGTACGTCGTCAACTGCGAGCCCTCATAGAACCACGCGTAATAGTCCGAAAGAACGAATGTCTGCATCTGAGTGATCTGGAGCGTCTTGGGGGAAGAGGAAGCTGAGCCGGAGGGCGCGCCGCGCTCGACGCGGAGGAAGAAGGCGAAGGGAATGATAGAGAGGAGGAGCTGGGTCGCTTCTTCTTCGGTAGAAACCTTGGGGACGTTCTTGAGCTTGGCGTACGCGGGCGAGGTGAGAGCCTTTACAGCGGCCTTGCCTGTGGTTGTACGACAATGTTCTATGAAGACATGTCTAGGGAACATATAGTACTATTCGGACGTACCCTTGAAGTAGTCTATGCGCTTCCCGTTCAGCACGCCAACGCGGACCTTCATGCCCGCTTTGCTGCTACGCAGGAAGTTGACGACATTCCGGATGTCCTGCGGAGCCTTGGACTGCTGCTCCATAGCGAGGTAAAGGTATACCTGCAAGATCCCCACGCTCCAGTCAGCCATCACATCACCGAAAGAGGGGCTAAGAGAAGGGCAATTATACGCACTAGCGGGGAGTCGTAGTGTAGGAAGAGACCACTCCCGTGGGCGGCGAAGACGGTGAACGAAAGAAAGACTGTGCGGTTTGAGCTGGCAAGCCACCTCACCGAGGCTGACGGGCTGGCAGGCATTCCATATCGGGTAATACTAGGCTGACGTCAGCATACGAGACGCGGGGCGCCTATCAGTCAGTTTCCCTTAGCGCCCTCCTTCGCTGGACTCTGCAGTGCTTGTGCTCAGACCGCTTTGACGGCCCTCTCCGTCTCGTTTCAAGCGAGCCCGGTCTCTCCCAGAAACACCCCTTCTTCTAAAATCATGGCTTCAGCCCTGCGGCTTGTCAAGCAGTTCCGCGTACGCGAACTCGCTCCCGTCCTCAAGGCTGCTGACCCGCAGTTATCAACTACGCGGCCAAAAGTCCGGAACCCCTTCCTTCCTTTCAAGAACCCCGATACCGGTCGCTGGGCCCCTGCAAAGTACTCTCTCAGGCGACAAGCGGAACTTGTCAAAAACGCGCGTGCTAGCGGCACGCTGCATCTCCTCCCTCCTGGACCCAAGCTCTCCCACAAGGAGCTTCCGGCAGCATCACAGACTGTATCTCAGACTGTGGCTGCGCCGGCGAACGGGGACGCGGTCGTGGAGGGCGAGATCCTGGTGACGGACGCACAGCTGAAGGGGCAGCCGTGGTGGAGTGGGCAGGTAGAATGGGAGGGCGAGTTCAAGGAGAAGGAGGTCAAGGGCGCGGACGTGGGCAACCGATTGTATGCGGGCAGGAAGCGGATGTTCAAGGGCCACAAGTGGCAGCGGACGCAGCAGGGGAGGGAGCGGGAGCAGAAGATGCTCTTGAAGGACATGAAGGCCCGCATCGAGCGGTTCAAGACGGTGAGTAAACGCGTCGATATGCTTTCTGCTCTCTTCCCGCTCCTCCCGCCCTATCATTTCGTGTCGACCGCTGTGCTCCGATACATCCGGCGGTCAGTCGTGGCGTTACCAAAAGTGCGACAACGAAGTTGCTCAGTCGGCTGAACGGGCGGAAGACTGACCGTAGCTTACGACCGTCCGGACACATGCTGACACGACTGCTCTCTTTTTCAGACGTACAGGCGCAAGACGCCTTCGCCCATCAGCCCTGCCCGACCGGTGTCATACTCCAAGCTTCCATTCTAATATTTACTGTCACATATTATACAGCGCCGTCGCGCTTGGCGTTCGCATAATCTCTTGCTCTGCTCTGGTCTTGCTTGGCCATCTTCTCGGTTCTTCACTCGGGCATACCTCGCGGAGCGTCTCGCGCGTCGCTGCGCCGGCCGCTTCATGGAGAGGATTCGCGCCGATAGCTACTGCGACACGTCATCGTATCATTGCATACGAATGGCCACCTTCGTCGTTCATGCGGCGTATGCGAGGTGTGTGCTTCTTCATTATGCTTGGCCCTTCTCTTGCAGCATACCCAATCCTTCTATGTGTGTGGCACCTCATACGGGGTCAGTCCCCAGCCCTAAGGAGCGTTTGACGCAATCCTCGATCCCTGGCTCGCTGCGCCACAGGATAAGGGACCACGGACGTAAATTTCTTGGTACTTCTGGCGTGCGCACTTGGCGTCGACCGTGCGTAACTCCTTTTCCTTCTCTGAGCGTTATTCGGTGCGGTGCACGATCGTTCGCAATTTGCTCGCGCACCAGCGGCTTTTGAGACGCTTCAGCATTAATCGCTCATCCGCCCGCCCGTCCCTGGGAACTCCGCACGGTCGAATCGTCAGTTGATTTGCATCGACCGTTCGAAATGTACGGCATGCGGACGGCGTCGAGCGGGCATATCGCGCCTCTCTTGCGAATCAGCCGTCTGCTGTCTGGGTCACGCGTTCCAAGAATAGGTGTTAAGCCCCGTGCTCAGTCGCGAAGGCGTGCGCGCCACACTCGTGTATGGAGCGGGAGAAGCGTACGCTATTTGCGGTGAGGTACGAGTGGGCGTGCGGTCCGCCGTGGGTGCAGGCTTGTGACGACGGTGAGCCTATTGCTGGCCCGTACGTCGCGACGTGGAGCTTGGTGACAGGTGAGTATTCTCGTGTTTATGTAGAGAAGTAGAGGGGCCTTCGAGCTCACTGTTCGGGCAGTCTAGGTGAACGGTCGAGGCGGAAAATGTCGTTACGTTCCATCCAGAGTGCTGAACAACTCCGGGAAGCCGTTCATCTTGGACGTTTCGGCGGAGGCTCGCCCGGTCGCCTGCGTTGGCCGTCACTGTAAGCGGGCTGCCAGGACCCACCGGAGTATCTCGGCGTATTTTGAGGATGCAACCATGGTCGGATCTCTGAAAACCAGCGAATCCGGCATATTGGCGGGGCTGGATCCATCCAGTCGCACTGGAAGCAGTTGTGAGTCACGTCTAGACTGCGGCCAGAGAAGTCTGTGCGGTGCGTGAATCGCTGTTTCTACTCACGTTTGTTGATGGGATGCCTAATAATGATATTTTGTTGCTCAGTTCTTTGAGTGGCCTTTCTTTGCGTCAGACGCTAGGAACGCTCCTGTGCAGCGCCATCACGCTACTTGCATATATGTGAACGGCCTCACAAGGGCAATACGAGTACACAACCTCGCGTGAGTCGCTGTGCCATATATGTGCAACGCACCACTTTCTCATGCCCAGCCCGCCAAGAAAAGAGACTTCGAGCAACGGTGCAGGCAGCTGAGCGGGATTATGCTCGCTGATGTTCACACACATACACAACAGCCTACATGTCGCAACTAGGAAGATGCGCTGGATCTGTGGTGGGATGTGCGCAGTGTCAAACACGGAGAAGGTCGGACGTGGGAGGGACACCAGGAACGGAGAGCAGTAAGCTATTGAGTTGGTCAACGCGGCCTCTTTTGCGCATGCAATCGTCCTCATATCACACAGGATACCATTCTGAACATTCGCCACGAGCCCCGAGCTAGCTATGCCAGGCGGTGTATTGATCCCTGCTGAGGGTTTGGTATGATGGTGGCTTGCGCAGCAAGCGGCCTAGCACCGATAATAAGATGGTGGATGCAGGCAAGTGGACCGCCTGTCTGAGGGGATTTTGACGACAAGGATTGGAAGACAAACCTCACTCAGTATCGCAATTGCCACAGGAGACGCTTCCGGGCTCATGCTGCGCAGTCACTGGAAGACAATTGATGCATGCAGTTCGAGAGAGCGCTTCGAGTATGGCCTAATTGGACATTTTCTCTTGCTGTGTCTATGCGCTGATAAGTAGCACATATGCAAATGCTCATGTGTCCGACCTGCCTCAGTGATTTGACAAGGCGAGCATGAGCGGAGTGCGTCCGAATGCAGTGAGCGCCCCGGATCCGAGAACGGCGCAAATACGGAGGCCAGGAAGCGAAATCTAGATCTGAGGCCGATCTTGCGGTTGGGTGGTTCTCGTTTCACGCCTGCCAAATTGGGTGAATTACGCCATAGCCGTCACGGGCCACTACAGGCACTTCGCCTGCATATATGCGGCATCCATCCCTTTTTCTTGCCCACCCATCAACGGGCATCGTCTTCAAAGCCCCCCGCACCCTCCGCGCTGTACCACCGAATTGCTCTGCATATTTCCGGCTCCTTATCAAAAATCAGCGGCACGTATTAGTGCCCGAGCGTTCGGAATCAAGCCGACGGCCGGCTCAGGCTTTGAAATGACGCTAGAGCACTCGGCAAGGCACTCGTCCTCGTCTCCTCCCGCCGCCTCGTTCCAGCCCACAGCCATCCCTCCTCCCGCTCACTCGCACTCATCCTGCTCTCGTTCTGCGGCTATGACAGCCTTGGCATCTTCTTCATCCTCTCTGTCGCCTTCAGGTTCGCGCCCACGCCCACGCAAAGACGTGTTCAAGCCCAAGTTCCCCCTCGATCCCTTCCATGGTCACTCGGCAGCCGCTCTCGGAGAACCTTGGTCTCTCAAGATCGACGCGTTGCTCAGCGCAACTGCCCTCCAGAGGCAGAACGTAATTTTTGTCCTGGGAGGTGCGTCCCCGTCGACTACTTCGTCTGCGCTCTGCGGCTGACTCCGCAGTTTTTCCCGCGCGGAACAGCTCCGTCATTGGCAGAGCTTGGCCCCCTGCTCCAGTCGCAACGCCTTGCGAAGTCCCTCGTCATCCTCGCCACCCACAATCCGCCCGACATCCCTGGGATAGTTTATCCCACTGTGCGTATCCTCCGTCTCACCACACCACTTGCCCTCGAAGACGCGGGCGCGGTTCGTTTTGTGAATGTTCTCGAGTGGGCAGAGCGTGTCGCCCGTACTTGGCGCAAACACGGCAGTTCGGGGGTTTGTGAGTTGTCGGAGGAGCAGGATAACAATGGCGAGCTGAAGCCCCCGTCCATCTTCCGTCTTGGTACGCGGTCCGCATCGTCGTCGCCACGCAGTTCCACCATCCAGCTCCCGGGAGATTCTTCCGCAACAATCTCGAGGCCGCTTTCTCGCCCCCCCTCTGTGGTCGGCGCACTCTTTTCGAGACAGAGTCATGCATCGCTCCCACCATCCGATCCATTTCAACGACCATTCGACGTCATGGTCAACTTCATGCCTGTAAATCTCTCGGACAAGGCGCTCCTCAAGAATTCCATTCTCGTCACAACGATCTCTAGGCCCTTTCTCAAGTCGCCCGTGCATGGGAGTGGCCCGCCACCACCCACGCTGCGTACGCGCACGACTTCGTCGTCCTCTACCACGCGCCTCGCTCGGCCGCAGTCCATATTCAGTGCCTTCTCCCGGTCAACTAGCTCGATATCAGTCTATTTGCCGCCGACGCCACCCTATGAGTCGGGCGATTCTCTGCCCCTGTCATCATCGTCGCTTCCTGCACCTCCAGGGAAGGCGCTTCTCGTCCACCTGCTCCCATCGCCGCCTCGAGGCGAGCACCCAGCCGCAAGACGGAAGCTGGTCGACAGCATGGAAGCCTTCCTGCTCTCGTTCTCATACCAGTCGACCGGGTTGCCTTCCTCGCGCACTTATTCGTCTCCCGCGGGTGCAGGACCCGGGCTTGGCGGTGGCTCAGACACCGATCGCGCGCGGCCGTACGTCATGCATACGTCGACGTTCTGTGATACGGTTGGGTGCGACCCCGCACTGGGCGTCGTGGACTGCGGGGAGTGGAGCGTCGCGGACATCGTGCTCAGCGGCGCGCTCGACGCGGACACTGTCTCGTCAACGTCCCCGGCGGCGCCTCCCCCTGCTGCGGTTCTCGCGGGGGCGGGAAGCGGCAGGAAATCGAAGCGTGCGTGGATCGCGGCTGCGGCCGACTTGGTGATATTGCCGTCCTCGGACAACCCGACGCCCGGGCCTTCCTCGTCCCTTCCTTCGGGGACGGAGGAACCACCGGTCCCGGTTCCTGCGGCCGAAAGGGGCATGCTTCAGCCTTCTGCGTCGTCGCCGTCTTCACCATCATCCAAGTGGCTGAACAGAGCGACAAGGAGCACGTCCGCGCCCCTGCTCTCCGCCGACTGGACACCCGTGCAGTTTGGCGGGAGGCCGATGTCGCACCCTTCTCATCAGCAACAGTCGATGCCGGTGTCGACGTCGCACCGGCACCCGCTTGCGCATCTGGTGGCGGAGGAGGGCGAGCGTGGCTCTGGTACTACTTTCAGGTCAAGTCCGGGACATACAGTTCCCGCGCCTACGCCCACACCCCCGGCGACGAGTCGCAGTTCGACGGCGGCTTCTTCGCTTGGCCCTCCCACCCCGCCGCATTCGTCCGAGGAAGGAGAGCTGCCGCTGGACGCGATTAAGGAGGCAAGCCCGGGCGCGGAGTTTTCCGCGCCGAGACATACGATGGGCGTCGCTGTGATGGCTGCCAGCACGGTGGATATCTCGAGCGTGGAGGGAGAAGGGGGCATGCGCGGGAAGGGGACGGTGAAGGTGGCGAAGTGGAAGTTCTGGCGGAGGAAGACAGGCGCGAACGTCCCGTCTGCTGCGGTGGTGGCGTGAGGGGGCGTAGAGCTTGACATCCGCGGCCTGCCGGGCGCAATGTGGGGCAACCATTGCCGCGTGTGGATGCTCGGAGGTTGGTACCCCCAGGCTGTCCGCTTGGGACGGCTACGAACGGCTTCCGGCGATGTCGCCACACGATAATGTCGCGGAGGACACGCAGGTCAAGAGGCCGGTCCTGCTTGCTGTTGCTGCCTATCTCCCTCTCCATTCCATGCCCATACGTCTCTCTTCCCTTCTCATGCATACCGTCATCTGTCCCCACTCACCCCGCCTCTTTCACACTATCTACTCTGGCATCCTCGCTCTCGCTTCTTGCTGCTTCTGTTTGGGGACTACAGTATATTGAGGTTGAGGCTCGCCCGACTGTATGATCAATCTCCCGGTTCGATTCTGTCGTCTCTTCCTTATGGGCTCGGACGTCTTCACTGTATAGCCATAGCACACCCCAGACGCTTACCCCAATCACAATCATGCACACTTCCAACCCATACGACCCTAGCATACTCAGCTACATCATATATATCGATATCTTGACCTTCTCTACACGAACGGACCCGACCCGCCTACACTCGTTAGCATTATTTTCCCTCAATTGACACTTCCCCCGGCACGCGCAAAGCACGAGCCAGACCCAATGTTTGGGCACCCGCACTAGAACCCGCAGCTTACTTGATCACGCTATAGTTTATCCCCCCTACGCCTACCAGCGGCACGTCATACCTAATTTACGACTTCCACTAGTCTAATCCCCTTGCCTCACTGTCGTCCAGCGTTGTTATGACCGCGGTCATGACCGAAGCCATGACCGATTTTGACCAGCTTGACCGGTCATGACGGTTAGTCAAGGGTCAACGCGTGATCTAGGCGACCAAGCGCTTGTGGGGTCGCACCAGTCACGGTGATTGGGATCAGTAGCTACAGAGATTGAAGGAGCATGTTTCGAGGGGACAGTGAGCGGGAAGATATAAAATCATGTGCGCTGGAGGCAATAGGGGTGGCAAGCATCAAACTTCAACGTCAGCAGTAGAAGCAAGCTATTCGGAACCCCCGAGCCTCAACTACTTCTCCGACTCGGACTCCTCTTGCTGGCCAGAAACTGCAGCTTGAGCCCGAAGCGGACGATGTGCTCGAACATCGCGACGGGCACAGGGGAGCACCAGGTTTGGCGGTGGAGACGACTTGCGCTCGCAGATCGGGCGGGCGATGTCATTTGTGATACCATTCGCATTGCTCTTCCTCGCGAGCCGGACGACTTCGTTCTTAGGATGAGGTCGTGTTGTCGGAGCGGGTGTTCAGTACTGTCTTGTATGTTCAACCACAAACGTCTACATACTCCTTCCCTTCGTCATTTCAGTCGTTACAACGGCCTCGTACACTGTATCTCTTACACTTATTTCCGTCATTACTTAGCAATCAAATCATAGCCCCATGTCGCATACTCAACTGTTACTGCAAGAATCCTCATCTCGTAGGATTCTTTTCTGACGAATCATATGGTCAAGATGTGGCCACAGCAAAGGCGCCTGGTTGAGGTCTATTCCCTATGAACTGATTTTTGATCCAGCATCCGTCGGCCACCATTCTGTCGGTTGGCAGCTAAACATGGCAGAGTATGGGGTAGTAGAATACTCAAAGTAAAGGACAGGAATGATTAATGGACAGTCTCATCAACCTCCAATATGTACCTCCTCGCGGCCTGAACGCACTTGGCCTATCCGAGCCATGGCCCGCCGTCAGGCGGCTCCCTCGGACATGCCGGAGATCTCACGTGCTAACTTTTGACTGGTGGTCATGACCGGGTCACACAGTGACCGGTCATCCGTCGTCTAAAAGTCATGACCGTTGACTTGACCCGTAACAACGCTGCTGTCGTCCCAGTTCCACGTGCACGTTCGACGCCTCCACAGACACTGCTTGGTAGTGCTTGGACACCGCTTAGACAGGACAGCCATGGACCTCTGCATGCACAGCATCGTACTCCCATTGGACGCGTTTCATTTGGTTCGGGTACTAGAGAGAAAGAGAGAAAACGCAGATGACTTCAAGGAACTCTGGAGGCTAGCTTGCTACGAGATTTGGTCTTTCACGCTTGGAACTGGACGAGACTGATAAGGGAACCTTTTGCGGCGTAGGCCCTGGGTGCGAGTTCGATGTGGGCGCGAGTGCGCGAGTGTCTCCGAAACTCTCCATTATTCTTCCTTCCTGTGCCTTAGATTGTTACCTTGCTGTGCGAGGAGGTGCCAGAAGGTGTACCCCGGATTTGCACCCTGAGTTGACGAATGCATGTGTATACGTGAGTATCGCTCCATATATGAAAGCATCATGGTGACAGATTGGGATCTCCCACCCATAAAGTTGAACTTCGAACATCAGCAAATTGTGCAAACAATGGTCATCCATGACCACGGCGCCCGAAACTGGCCTACCCTTCCCAGAAACCGCAAGCGCCTACTAATCCTGGCCGACTCCCATCTCGTCCGACGGACTCCGGCCGTTGAGCATCTGCGCGGAAGGATCCCGGCAATGGTAGGTAGGCACTCATCCTGTACTGTTACTTCATACCACTCACTTGTCATTAGAGAAAGTGCGGATACATCGAGACTATGCAAACTTCGCTCCGATGTACCACAGCCGCCCCTCCTTACTAACATCTCCCCGATCTCCTTCCCCCTCTCCCGATCACGCTCTTCGTCCTCCTCCATCCTCCTCTCCGCATCCGCACTCTCCGCCTCCTCATCTACGCATCGGCCGCCACAATTTTGAGTGGCGGCATGCGGTGGCATGTCAGATTGCAGAGTGTAGAAGCCGGCCGGCCCAATGGTAGAACACGGGGCTTAAGCTTGAAGTGCCGATGCGGGCAGAGCGGGTGAGTACGGGGCAACTCAGCAGTGTCGCGTGCTGTCAGATGGTGTTGTCGCTGTGGACGACATCGTCCACAGCCATTGTGAGCGTCTGCCCGGTGTGGTGACGTTCCCTTCATGATCCGCTCCCTGCCTTCTTTCTACGTGTGCTCTCCACTGATAATTTTTCGATCTTGCTCATCGATGACGCGTTTTCTAGGCTTGCAACTCAATCAATGGCCTGTCATTCTGCCAGCCCTGCCCTGAACCCTCGCTTGCAAAACCCCCACCTCTCGACACCACTTTCGCATCTCTTCTCTATCACCCGCTACGACATGCCAATTCTACAACATGCCCCTTGGGCTCTAATTTTGTGAGTCGTGACAAGAG